AGAGGATATCTGAGTTATGAACGCAGGAGACAGCACCAGCCCTCTTTGGAGCTCTGGAGGTTTGCATACTTAAGTGAGACTGGTCCTTGGAGAAGATGGAGCAGGTTCCGAAGGTCCGGGGCTACTGGCAGTTCAAGGGGTTCAGCTCAGAAGACGACTGAGGTCAGTCGAAGGATGAGCCAGGAGTTGCAGCACTCGGGCCCAAAGCAAAGCCAGCGCCTGTGGATCCTGTGGATGCTCGTTTGGGTACTTCTTTGGTCTCACTCAAAAACTCTGGCACAGAGGATAACCTGGGCCTGCTGGGTTGCGTTCAGAGGTGACTTTGAAATCACGCAGATAACTCAGGAAATGAGACTCGAGCAGAGAAAACTTTCAAAAATGGCTTCGCGAAATTAAAGGAAAATCAATCAAAGGCTTAATCTTGAATTGCTATGCGCAAAAAGTTGAAGTTTCAAAACTTGAACTAAGACGATGTTAAAGAAAATCAACGTGAATCAACACGTGGCGTAAAACTTAGAAGACCAAGAAAAAGTTCTAAGAGAAAACAAAGAACGTACCACAGAAGGGTGTGGGCAGAAGAGAAGGGGCATAAGAGCCAGAGACAAGAGCAGAAGCATAAGAGTGAACAAGAGCCAAAGCAGAAGAGAGCGGGCAACCCCACTTCACTGGTTTTTATCTTCTCACACTGGGAGTGTCTCTGGGGTGTGTGTGTGAGGAGAAAGAGCAGGAGGGGTCGTGTGGTCTCCAAGCAGAGGAGACATCGGATCTCTGATTATCTGATCTAACTTATTCTTTTGGCGGGTAAAAGAGTCAGATCTGATACTCACTCACTATGATTAATATCATTGAATGCTAGGTTTCATGATAAATAATTTGATACTAAACACATATGAATGAAGTGTAGGATTACATCAAACATTCTCATTATGTTTTAGGTATCACATTGGACATGCTAAATTACTCTGAAATGGAACCGATAGTAACATGAGAAAAAGCACATAGAAAAATGGGAAACATCTCATTTTAACACAAATTTCATGATTAGACAGATTAGTACATTGCTGAATGCATAAGATGTCATGATAAGTCATTTGTATTCTTTCACCAACGGAATGTAGTCTTTATCAGTGTATGGTCGAGCAGGGTTTTACGACCGAGGTCTGGAGGTCAGTGTCCCCCCTTATCCTGGGGTCCGTATGTTCACACACTTTAAGACGCTAAATCTCAAATGGGAGATCTGGGTTGAGACGTCAATGTTTATTTAGATGGTCAGCGATGGAGTCAGTTTGAAAGGTAATAAAAATTGTCTCTGTTCTCCGAATCGACCAATCGTGAAGAGTCAGAGGTTTAGTCAACCTCCGGTTGGGTCACTTATTTAACCTGAAAGTGTAAACGAGTCTGGAAAGATTTATATCCTGTTTCCTGGGACCAGATAAGGAAACTTTCCTCTGAGGAATATGTGGGTTTCACACCCAGGGTTGTCTTGATTGCTACATGTATCAACGCTGGCGGCACCAGAAAACTTTGCGTACGCCAAAATCGGCGCAAACGTCCAGATTTATCATTGCGAAACGAGCGTCGGTTCCAGTGCTAATCAATGCAAAGTGAGGAGGTGGTGTAGAAGTTGGCGTTGAGCCGATACTTGCGTTGACGGCACTTTGGCGACGCTGTGTGGCGGTGTTTAGTGACTCACTATGTGACAAGCGTTCACACATTGCAGTGGATTAACTGTTAACCCGACAGCTGTTTGTGTGTTAATTGTGTTAATTTGTAACACATTAACACGAACACCTGTCGGTATTACTGGAGGGGCTATAAAAGAGCGCATACAACTACACATAGAGAAGACAACATTGAACAATGGCAGCACTTGCGCTGATAGAAGACATAGAAAACCGTGCCATCCGACGTGAGCGTCACTTTATGGAGCGGGAGGACCTGCTCCAGAACACCGATGAGTGGCTCATGAGCCGGTTCCGGCTACCGCAGGCCATCCTCTTGGAGCTGTGCGAGGAGCTCCGCCCGGTGTTCCAGCGATCAACGGCCAGATGCCGAGCGGTGCCCGTGCCAACGCTGGTGCTGGGCACACTCTGATTCTTGGCCACAGGGTCCTTCCAGCGGGAGATGGCGGACCGTTCTGGGGTGAGCCAGTCCACCATCAGCCGGGCCATGCCTACGGTGGTGGACCAGCTGATTCGCCTCTCTAACAGGTACATTAAATTCCCCTACGGTGCGGTTGAACAGGCCAATATTAAAACGCAATTTGCAGCAATAGCCGGATTCCCAAACGTAATCGGAGCTATTGACTGTACGCATGTTGCCATAAAAGCGCCGTCCCGTGACGAGTACACTTACGTTAACCGTAAAGGCGTTCACTCCATCAATGTGCAGATCATCTGTGATGCACAGATGAATCTGCTCAACATTGTTGCGAGGTGGCCCGGTTCAACACACGACTCGCACATCATGTACAACAGCACTGTTGGGGAGAGGCTCCAGGCAGGTGCAGTGACAGACGGGTGGCTGCTGGGTGAGTAAATATGTAATGATATAATGTTATTCAAGAAACTTGACGTGCATCAGTGACTTGAACCAAATGTGTGCAACACTGATGTATTGTACTCTGTGTTTTATTGCGAGTACTCGATGGATGTTGTGGGTTATTGATTGCTTATTGCTTGCTGTTATTACAACGCATTAAGCCCAAGACTTAACACACTGTGCTTTTTCTGAAGGTGACAGTGGCTACCCCCTCAGGACCTGGCTGATGACCCCTCTCCACAACCCCCACACTGACCGAGAGCAGAGGTACAACCATCTCCACTCTCACTCTCAGTCAGTGGTGGAGAGGGCCATCGGCCAGCTAAAGGGTCGGTGGCGCTGTCTGGACCGGAGTGGCGGCGTGCTTCTATATCGTCCGGAGAAGGTGTGCCGCATTGTATGGCATGTGGCGTCCTCCACAATGTGGCACACCTGCACCACATCCCCATGGCTGAGCAGCACGTCGCCCCACATGATGAACCAGCAGCAGATGGAGGGATGCGAGCTGATCCCTGCCGGGCCGCCGTCCTCGCGTGGGATAATCTCATCGCCACAATGTGAATGGGTAAGAAGTGAATACACAGTTTAATGAGCCAAATTAATTTATTTTGTCCACCAGACGCTCGAGGACATTTACGAGGCGGTCCAGCCGCTCGTTGATCCCCGCGATCCCCCTAATTATTTGCACCTGTGATTGCATGACCACCTCCGTGAGGACCTTTCCAGTGCATCCAGGTGGTCCAGCGGAAGCGCCGCGGCTGGTGGACGCTCCATCGCTTGTCGGCGCGCTGGTGCTGGGCGGCCTGAATGTCGGTGGTCCTGGCTGACGACTCCGAGCCGGCGGACGGGCTGCCGCGGGCTGGGGTTCCACAAGCCGGCGACACGGCCTACACATTGATTTCTGTGACACAATAAAAATATTAGTTCATTTCAATTCCTGCTTCTGTGTATCTGTTGCGTTTACATCTATGGCAAAGCATGTGGACATTTGTGTGACACGCCACTTACCCTCCGGCAGGCTGTCTGAGTCGCCGCGGGTAGCGGCAACAATCCCCCCCACAGAGGCGCCCACCATAATTGCCACCACCCGCTGCTCAAACAGCGTGAGGGTCTCCTCCCCCGGACCCCCACCTGTCTGGCCGGTACTCCTCCGGAGGGCAGCTGTACGCCGCTTGACCTCCACCTTGAGGTCCGACCACTTTTTTTTAATCTCCGCGGGGCTGCGTGTCTCTGAACCCACCGCGTTCACTCTCTGACAAACTTTCTCCCACTCCAAGCGTTTTCGTTTTGCACTGAAGCCACTGGACAGGCTGCCAAACAAAACACGCTGTCACTCCTTCACCTCCGCCACCAGCACCTCCACCTCGCACGCCGTGAATTTAGTTTTTCTGGTCATTTTGTCTGCGTGCGAGGACAAGGAGACTCAATTTAAATAAATCTGCATATTTATAGGAGGGCGTAATGGTGGCGGGCCTAGTCACCCCGACATCTGTGCTCAATTCCACGCTGATTGGGATTTATCAAGGAAACACACGTGGTTTTTGGCGCCCGCACACATTGATACATGCAGATTTTTTCAGCGTGACGGACCTTGCGTGCACTTGTTTCTGGCATGAGTCCCACGCAAGTGTTGATACATGAGGCCCCAGGATGACACAAGGGAAGGAGGCAGAGCAGTAATTAGAGAAATTTCAATGTCTGATATTTGCTGCTATGGGAGACAGCTTCCAAAGTTTTTTATTTCTTCTCATTGGATGTTTCGGCTGTAAATACATATCTGAAATGATCACAGCAATGACCGCACCTATTGCCCCAAACCTAAAATTAAAACAATTTAAATGTTCAGTCTTCACAAGTTCCACAATCATCTCTTCAGGGTTCACGGTGACCATGGGGTGGAAAATTTCGATGTTGCCCATCTGATGTTTTCTGTTCAAGGAACTGGAAGAAACAGCTTTATTGCTGGGAAAAGTGTGCATAACCAAAGGTAACCACAAAGATACACACATGCAACTTTAGTACTTAAAACCTGTCTGAAATGTACCAGCATCTATCCCCGGCTGTGAGCATTGGGAGAAAAACAGGCACGCAGCTCTCACAGCGGGAGGTCAGAGGTCAGACCCGCATGTGCTGAAAGCTTGAAAGTGACCAAATGCCGATCAGAGGTGAGTTGCCCGTGTCCCACATGTACGCGGGTGAGGCAGAGGGAAAAGCGGTGTAGAGATAGGCAATTGACATACTCTAAAGATGTCAAACATTTTGATTTGAATCTTTACATCATCCCTTTAGCATACATCTAGATGATTTGTTGTACATGACATCTCTGTAGCATCATAACAGTAAAGGTGATGTGGCGTGACTGGTGAGTTGTGAGGACCCAGAAAGAGACACAGAGACTGAGATCAACTTAAGGTGTAGTTTTAATGTCCAAACTCAGGTTTTAAAGGCAAAAAGAGGAAGTCTGGTAGGCTGGTTGTCGTGTGGGCTGGAGACACTGCAGGGAAAACAGAGGAGAGGGAAGTGAGGAGGCATGTAAGAAATCACAAGGAGCAGAGTTACAAATACTAATTCAAAAGGAGGCCAGGAGGCCTGTACCACTTGGGAGTGAAGACAATACTCAGGTGCTGAGACTGAGGGCTGCAGGCTTCTTAAAGTGCCTTGATTGTAGATGTAGAGCAGGTGTGTAGTCTCACTCAACCTCAGTGACCGGGGGAGGGGAGGAAGCTCTGGAAGAGAGTAAAGCCAGACCAGGCAAACAAAGAAACACAGGAAGTCCAGCCAAAATAAAACAAAAGGAGGAGGCGTCTCATCACAGGTGACAAAAAATGCACTTAAAGGTGACCTGCCATCAAAATTTCATACCCATTTTTATTATTTTTCATTATCCTTCATGTCCTCTGATCATGTTCGCAACATAATTTTAGCGGAAAATTTATTTGATGGTTTGTTTTAGTATGCCTAAAAAATCTTACAGGAAAACCAACTGATTTTGGCTCATTAACATTTATGGTAATGAACTTTGCTCTGATTGGATCGCTGCTGTGAAGCCTGCTGTGCTCTGATTGGCTCAGCAGTGGAGGTTCGGATTTCAGTTTATCTATTTTGCTAATGTGTGCTAAAGTAAGGTGCCCAGATGTCTTTAATAATATCCCGGGATATTCGGTGCGGCGGTGGGGAGGGTGCAGGGGCTGCAGGGGCTGCAGGGGCTGCGTGATCATAGACAAAATCTCGGAACTATTTAGTAGCAGCTCATGCCCCTTGTAATAACCCCCGTAAGAACTGTTGTTCAGGACTGCTTACTTGTGCTTCCTACCTATTAATCCTACCGGCTACTGTAATAACCGTTGTTCGAGCCCACATGCAACATTTTTGCTCTCATTCATGAAACCCTTAAATTTGGGACATTTTTGCGGACAGCTTTTGCCGGGGACAGGTCATCCAATACAGGGACTGTCCCCGGAAATCGGGGACGTCTGGTCACCTTATGCTAAAAGCTAAAAACTGAAGGTATTAAACCATATATTTTAGACCCCGAGTCCAAAGAGAAGGTGGAAGTTGAAGAAGAAGCCGGAGATCTCCAGCGGTGTTTTCTCATTCATTCTGCCCAGCTTTAAGTTCATTTTCCCGGCAGTGAACCCAAGGAAACACTGGTCGTTTGGAAGAGACCCATAGCGGATACAGTGGTAGCTGGGTCTCGCTCTGGCTGGAGAGTGATGTCGACTGTGAATGAGTACAAGAACAAGAGAGTGGGTGCGGCTCACCGAGGACGCGCTCGTGAATAATAATGAGCAAGGTCAGCGCAACGTCAGAGGGACCTGCTTTTTCAATTGGCCTGGTTTACCCTTTCCTTTATTTTAAACCTTTACAGAATGCAAACGACGTAACGGTTTGTTTTCACATATACAACATAAGACGAACATAATATGGACCTTATCTGACACAAAAAACACACAAAATTACATTTTGATGGTAGGTCCCCTTTAAAGAGACACATTCTGTGCTCACATTTCAGTCCATAAAATTCTTTACTCAATCATATTCATAGATAACAGAACAAGACGTATGTAAAAAAAATAAAATAAAAGAAAGGTTATTCCAAAGAACAGAATATTAGTATGATTCACCCGTTGAAATAAACTGGCGCAAGTATCCTGTGACTCAACACTTGTCCTCAACGGAGACCCCATCATCCTCTTGTTCAAAGTGTTTTTCTTCAGGCCAAACTATTTTCTGCAGCAGAACCTGTTGGGGATAAACACAGTGGGTACAAAGAGCACTCAGACCCTTCACCATAGGAAATACAAAAAAAATTTAGAGGGTCTGAATACTTTCCATATCCAATGTTTATGTATAGCAACTAAACACAGATTTCATACCTCTATTGCAAATGTAACTTGCTGTACACCATGGAGCAAAAACACAATCACTCGAGTGATATTGTGTTCAACTTTCTTGAATACCTCAACACTGCACACAGCTGCTGATTGATGGGGAAACACTGATGTCACCGCATCTGGACAGCTTTATAGAAGTGGCCAAATAAGAGAATCCTTTAGCCCTTGCGTGAGCTGCTTCACCTGGCGCATGTTTAGCCGAAGAACCTTAAAAATGTCATAGGGCTCTATTTTCGTGTACGCTGGTGAGGCGGCGGAGGGTGGCGGAGCCCGCGCAATTGTATTTTCGTCTGGCGGCCAGTTTGGTATTTTCGTGGACTGAGGCACACTGAGGCGAGCCGAGATCCGCCAAGCTGGGCGTGGTGGCGTGGCAGGGGGAGGTTTCGACAGAATCAGCGGGCGCAGTGACATTTAAGTGCGCTGAAAGCTCGCCGATTCAAACCTGGTCAGCTTTCAGCTTTGGTCTAGTAGTATTTTGGTAGACCGGCGGCGTATCGGCAAACGTCACACATGCCTCACAGGCAGGTTTCCACAGTGTCCGGCACATTTCAGTGCAATAAATAATCATCAACAACTAATAATCTGAGTCAGCACATACATTTAGATCTATACAGATATATTCTGATCTATATGTGATCTGATGAGCGAGTTTGGCACGCGTTTGGACACACAACCTGACCGAATCAACACAGCTGAAACCGCATCAAATTAAATTAAATATCTAGTAAATAAACACACATGATGAAGTTAACTAGATATGTAATTCATCTCCCTCCTTTTCCTTCTTCCTCTTCCTCTTATTTCTCACACAGCTCGACCTGGACACGTCTCAGTATCTTCTCTCCGTCCTGCAGCAGCTGAACAGATGATTTGTTTCAGTGCTCAGATGAGTTATCTACTTTAAGCCGACATACGGATATTATAATATTCAGTTTTGTGGGCCAAATTCATTTTATATGTCAACATCTATGAAAGATAGAGCCAGGCCACGGAGCGCGATACAACATTTACGCACAGATGGTTCCGATTTTAATGCCATTTTTTGAGTTTATGTTGTGATCTGTGCACACAACCCACCTTTGTCACACAAGGATTGAATATATGCAACTTTATGTGAGTGTCTTTATTTGTGGAAAAAGGTGTTTGTCTTACCACTGGGTCCAACATTACACACACCAAATCCATCTGTGCTCATATGAGAGAGTGTGGAGGACGCCCAATGCAGCGCTTAAAGTGACACTTGTTGAGGAGCTGCACTCTTTCGCCGTCGTGTGGCATTACTGTCTTCAGACAGATCTCTTTGACTACTTCATGAAAATAGTAAAACGCCTCGCCGGTGGCGGATTTAAGGTGAGGAGAGGAGCTGATGTTATTGGTCAATACAGGTCTCGGCTGTGTTAAACCCACTCTACGCCCTCTCTCCTCCCTCGCTACGACTTACACCACTGGGAGGAGCTGAGTTAGGGAGGGGGGATACTTATGCCGAGCTGCGCCGCTCACCAAAATACCAAATTGTGCTTGGGAATGCCTTGTCAACGCGGCGGACCTGACTTACTCTGCGCCTGCATGAAAATAGAGCCCTAAAGCTTTAATAAAAAGACATTTAATCTTCATTGTTTTCAGCTTTTACATATGTCTGGTTCCATTTTCATAGCCACCAGACCGTGATCTGAGATGGATACAGGCTCAATATGGCAATCAGTTACTTAATGTGCATCTTTTTTAGAGACAAGAAACATCAATACGAGAGTAGCTGTTACATACTCTTAAAAAAAAAGTCTTTATCTTTGGGGTGTTTAACACGCCAAATGTCTACTAGCCCCAGTTCTTCAATCATGCTGCATACCACTTTTGTGATTGGGATCCCAAGACTGATGGAGATTTATCTACGTTGTTATTGATTACACAATTAAAGTCCCCTCCAATTATTATTTTCCCCTTAATATTTCCTGCAGTAGTTGATGCTGCATCTATCAAAAATCTTGGCTTGTCCTCATTTGGTGCGTATAGATTCACAATTGTAAAATATTTATCCCCAATAGTACCTACGACCATAATAAGGCCTCCCTCTTTATCTCCTTGTACCTTCTCAGGAACAAAACAAAAATTTTATGGCACAATATAGCTTCTCCTCTTTTTTTCCCCTCCTTACAAGATGAACTGAATACTTGACCCACCCACACTCTGTTTTTATTTTTTTATGCTCAATTTCATCTAAATGTGTCTCTTGAAGCAAGGCAATCGAACACTTCAGGTTTTTTTTTTAATGGCTGAGGGTCTTTTTTCTTTTTATGGGATTGTTTATCCCTTTAATATTATAACTAACACAAATAAAATTACTCATTTTCTAATCAACTACAACTGGCAATATGCCCCCCTTCCATGAAAATATATACTTGTATGCCTATACACCTGTTTATATGTGTACACATACCAAGAAGTATTAATCTGGTAAGCTCATATTGGTTTCCATACATGTCAACATAAAATGATTTATTGTGTAATGCTTTAAACATGTCTGCCGTCACACAAAATGCAATGAAATAAAAGAAAATGACCCTTAATACCCTCTGTCATAAAAAGACCTCCAAATAACCCCTGGGGTGACTAAAAAGGAATACATTATGTCAACCCCACCCCACTGTACTTTGGATGGAGAAATCAATTTCTCCGGATAGTGCACAATAAGTGCAAGTGTAACAAACCACCACTTAAGAAAAAGTCTGATGTCATGTTCTTCTACTTGCCCGTTGTGGCTTCCTAAGGCATTGTCTTCTCTCAAAGCCCCTTCTCATTTACTAGATTGTCGCATGCCACTCCCACCTTGCCTAAAATAAGGCAGAGGGGGCCTGGATTTTGCCCTTAGATTTAAAAAATCATTTTTAATATCACTTTAACAAAAAATGTCTCATATCACCCTGTGATCTAAAGTGCTCACCACTGTGTTTTCGAGGATCTTGCAGTGGTTTGAGGAACCATAGTCATGGTGAAGGTGGTCCTTGTGGTCTTCCTGAATAGTTGATGGTGTCTGCATGGACAGATTGAGGTGCCACAGTTTTTCCCAGTCCCTTCTTTACCATCCATCCTCCATACAGCCTGTCCCTCTTCAGTGAGTCCACATCAGAAACCTCCATGTTGATCCCCAGCTCTATTAGTAGTGGTTGGGCCTCCCCTATGGAGTAAAAGGTCCTTGTCCCAGAGTCCAAGAAAAGTTTCAGCTGAGCTGGGTAAAGGCAATGTGCCTTAATGTCTTAAAGTTTGTGGCTTTCTTTGTAAGACTGTATCTGTGTTAGGTCAAAGCTTACCTTTTAACTGTGATTGTCATTTGCAGCTTAACCCTTGTGTAACCCTTAGATTTACATCTGTTCTTAACGCTCAGTGGCTGAAAACAGCCACTGACATTGACTGCTGTAAAAACATATTGGATTCATTTTTTTTCATATATTTCTTAATTAACTTCTGCTCTATTCAAAACTAGTAAATGTTTCATTAAGAATCCAAATTTTAACCCTTTAAGGACCCATTTAAAAACATAAAGTCACTAATATTGGGGAAAAAATGGGAGGAAATGACTGATTTTTATTAGATTTATTTTCCACCATATCAATGACATAATGTTTTGAATGGACCCTCAAAGGGTTAAAAAAAAAATGTTTTTAGATGAAACATTTACTAGTTTCGATCAAAGTAGGCGTTAATTAAGAGATACATGAAAAAAATTGGAAAAAAATATTGACCCAATAGGTTTTTACAGCAGTCAAAGTTAGGGGCTGTTTTTAGCCATTGAGCGTTAACAATGGATGAAAATTTGCCCAGCGCGTACTTTTGACCTGGTGAAAATTTTGAAGTCATATTCTCAAAGTGTCCATCAATATAAGCATCTGCACAAAAAATCATCCCATTTGCTGCAGTAAAAAGTTAAAGTTAAAGGAAATTAGTGGCTACATTTTGCCCCCAGTGGCTGATTTTAGCCACAGCGTTACACAAAAGCACCACCTCTGACCTGAGCCAGCAAACCTCACCTTTCCCCCATTGTGTCTAAGGAAAGTCCATGACTGAAAGAGCTGCTACAATTCTCTGACTTCAGGCCTCCTCCAGCAAACCTTTGGAATCTTCAATTAAAAGTTTGTGGCTTTTGTCTGCCTTTGGATCTTTCTCCTGAGCTTTACACCCACACCCACCAGCTCCAATCAGAACTTCTACGAGAAACCAACAGCCTTGAAGTGCAGCAAATGCCCTTATGCATTACATGGATTTCAACCTAAGATAAGCTGTCTCCTTACCACCTGGAAACATTTCTGTCACATTCTCCATATGCAAAACAAGAAATAAAAGGAAGCTGCTTCAGATGTTCCAGTGCAAGCTATAGTCAACAACCAGCAACAAGCTGCCATCACTTTCCCTACCAACCTTTGAAGCACATCGGCAGCCAGTGTCTCCACCTGTAGTCTCCAAAAGCACCATCAGCTGAAGACTCCACCTTCCATGCAATCAATCTACACAAAACAGTCTCCACTAGATATCAGCTGCTTCTACCTCTGCCTCTCCAGCAGCCACCACAGCCATATGAAAGATTCTGTATCTGTGTCAGTTCAAAGCCTACCTTCAACCTGTGATTGTCATTTACAGCATAAAGCACCACCTCTGACCTCAGCCAACACACTTCAGCTTCTGACTCAACTGTGACCAAACATGGACCATGTCTGAGAAAGCTACAACAATTCTTCAACCTCAAACCTCTTTCAGCAAACCTTTGGCATCTTCACCCACGATTTGTGGCTTTTGTCTACCTCTGCCAACAATCTTCACATAACAGTCTCTACTCATTGTCAGCTGCCTCTCCCTCCGCCTTCATAATTAAAAGAAAAGATGAAATCACTGCTTACTCAAGCCTCTGCCAGCCAACTGAGGCTGTTAGGTAATAAATTTAGCCCATGCTTTTAAGCCTTGACATTGAAGAGGAGGTAGAACAAGAGCTATTCGCATTCATGAGACAGGTGATCTATGGAGACAAGAGGAGTAGCACCTTGGCTGATGCCTGTGCCTCCAAGTGGAAGACCATGAAGAGAAAATCGTTTATCCATCTCCCTCCAGATGCAGACAGCTTACGGCAACGCTGTCTCCGCGCCAACTACTTGGCATATTGAGTGCGCCACCCCACACTGAAGAATCACCCCTCGCCACCCGGACATGGTTGGGAATTGGTGGGTGGTCGCTGTCGTCCTGTTCGCCACACACGGGCTGCTCTCCCCACACACCTAGCTGCCCCAGGGCCAGTTGAAGAGGAGGAAGAAGTTGAGAGTGAGGAGGAGGAGGAGGATGTTGCTCAGAGAAGGGTGGAGTCATCTGAATCCGATGAGTCAGAACGCAGTGACACAGAATTCTCTGATTCAGACTAATATGTGTTTTGTGTGGTTTTGGATATGATGTTTCCGCTATTGGTGATGATATATGCAAGATATTATAAAGGACGTTACGAACTCAACTACCTCTCCACATATTCAGCACGCCCTCTGATGTGCATAGGAAAAAGATACCAAAAAAAGACCAAAAAAAAAAAAATTTCCCTCTCCAGGAACCATCTCCTTACCGTGGTGGAGGGGTTTGTGTGTCCCTATGACCCTGAGCGCTTCGTTGTCCGGAGCTGTGTGCTCCTGGTAGGGTCTCCCATGACAAACTGGTCTCTGGCAAGGGGGCCTGACGAAGAATGGTTCAGGGCAGGCCAGCAGTCCCTGAGGGGGAAGCCCCCCCCAGCTATCTGTATATCTGGCAGTGGCACAACCTAGAGAACATCTTCTTGTTACTTAACCAATCAGAAATAGCCGGACTGACTGAAAATTTATAAACTAAAGCTCAGTTTTTACTCTACTGGATGTCAGCCACCTTAAATTTCAGTGTCAAAATGAGGTCTTACAATTAAAATGGTGTCAGATTTGAAATCCTCATGGTTGACTTTTATAAAAAAGTGCCTTCATACATGATTCTTGGTCATCCAGATCAAAAGTTAATTTTTAGGCATTGCGCCAGGCGCCATTTTGAATTTGGCTGTCTAGCAAAAGATGCAGGGATTTTTGCGAGGGACCTGGGGGCTAAATCTTTTCTAAAGGGTCAATAGAGGTCAAATCAATCGTCAAAACATCCTTGCCAAAGGATGGTCAATAAAGGGTTATTTACAAGAGTGGCACACTGGAAGTCTCAGATGTGAAAAATATGTGGGAGGGTACCACTCTAGTCCATCTCTCTAATTACCCCCCCCCCCCCAACACGCACACACACACACACACACACACACACACACACACCTCTTTTGTTCCACTGTGGGTGGTAAAAAATAGTATCTCAGTTCAAGAGATAACCACAGGAAGACTGGCCTTCAGCTCTCAGTTTCAGCACAGAAACCACAAGCTGCAAAAGCTGTGGCTCTGTCACATTGAAGCACCTTGTTTTTATCCTCAAGCATAGATTAGAGGCTCACTAGCTGAAAATCGCCTTTTTGTCTTATCATACGCATGAAACTTCACACACTTACACAGTGGTCCATAATCAACTAGATATGAATGAGCTCAAGTAATCAGCATGGGGAGGCAAAAATGCAATGCTCTGAAGGAAGACAGATTCTTGTTTAGTTTTTGAACCATTTATTCATTTTCAAAGGTAATGCACAGATAACATCTCAAAGGAGATGCAGTTTGGACAGCTACTCATTTCATATCTGCAAAGATGGTAAAATGTTCCTCTCTGGAGGAAGCAGGAGACCCTTCAGTGTTCTCATAGGGGTATACTTCTCCTGCAGAAGAGTCTCCACAACCTGTACGATGACTAGACTGGATATCACATCTCATATACTGACAAAAGAGAGTATTTTAGGATTGACTAGACCAAAGAGACTTCCGCTATAACGGCCTGAAAATTTGGGTAAACTGTGATATCTGGTCATCCCACACCTGGAAGATCCAAGTATATACCAGAAAGCAACTGAAAGTTCTGCAGTCTTGGTGAAGGGAAGCAGGTAGTCCTGGAAAAGACAAAAGAGCTCTAGGGCCAGACCATGACCTTGTCTGTGGAGTTTCTGCAGAGGATGACCGTGCTGGTCGGCAAAACCTGCACAATCATCTTGTCCTTTTTGGCCTTCACAAGGACACACCCACATGACCATTACTTACATCCCCAGGTGGGGAAAAGTGTCCTGCTGAGCTCCAAACACCAAGAAGTCAGTAAATTATTCTGAAAATGAGTGGGAGATGATTTGGTCTGACCATTGGCTATAGTAGAGGTGTCGTTAATACCTAACCCTGTTACAGGTTGGTTATACTTACAGCTCCTATTTAAAACCACACAAGAGTACATTTAGACTTAAACATAATTGAAGGTAGTTCACAGACCCCCTTTTTCTCCACAAGTCTGGAACCGAATAGAGAAAGAAGGTAGGTAACATAAGACACCCCGCCTCTTCTCATGTCAAGACTCCTTTCTGGTGCTCTGTACAAAGTTACGCACACAAACACAGAGATTCAGTACCCTCCACCAAGATGAACTTGACCGTGGTAACAGCTTCACTTCTCTGCAGCCTCGGTAAGTATTAAATCATTTATAACATCTCATATTATTATTAGCATTTGTGGGCCTTATCTGCAGTATATTCTATTCTTACATGCTAACTTGCATAAAAAGATGTATTCTGACATTATGTTTGTTTCAGGCTGGCTCTCTGTCTCAGGCTCTGAGTCTCAGACTGTGGAGGTCCAGTCTGGTGAAGATGCCACTCTGACCTGCCCCAACATGACAAACAAAGACGGTGTCCGATTCTGGGTCAGACTTATCAAGAGATCACAGATCAGCTGTATTGCTGTTCAGATAAAGTCTGTAAAAAATCCAGATTTTTGTGATGGATACGCTTATGGAAAATTTAGCATGTGGTCCAATATCTCAACAGTCTTTCTTAAAATCGCATCAGTGGATTTGTTCGACTCTGGACTTTATTTCTGTGGAATTTATGAAGACGCACGTCCAGCTTTCAATCTGATAAATCTGAAGGTCCAAAGTAAGATTTTCTTGATTTATCTTCCCATTGTCTGACTGCAGTGCCTTCTTGTGCACATTTTTGTAAAAGTTGTCTTTATATAAAATCTTCCATGTATCAGAGTGGCTTTTAATGGTTCAAAAAGGGTTCTTTCACATCATTGACAGGCCTCAACGAGGTGCGTGATGACAGCAAGAGTACAAGTAAGAATATTTTAACTACTTATTTCATTGTGCCGATGTCTGTCGTCTTTAAATATTGTTTAAAGTCCTACAATGAAGTCTGGATAGAGAAAATAATGTTCCTTTCATAGAGATGTGTGATAGAACAACCACAATGGCTAGTGTGATCCTGGGTGGTGTGTGTGCTGTCCTCATGATGGTCATCATCGGTCTGTTTGTTAAAAACAGGAAACTTCAGACAGGTACATGAAGCCACTCATTGATGGTTTTGATTTCTGTTGGAAACCCTTTTTAAAATCTTCAAATGACAATATCTTACTGACTTACCAGATTTTTTTTTTTTTTTTTGCACTCAACAAAGACGAAAATCCAAGACAGAGTGAGGTAAATCTATTTCTATATTTACTTGTTAAAAATTGTTGAAAGGAAATACATTTTACTCACTGGTGCCAGACTGAGCTTACTATACTTGTGTTAATGCTAACTGTGCCTCCTTATTTACTATTTATGAAAATATGACAAAATAAAGAGAGTCTACGTGTCTTCAAACTAAGTGTGTGGTCTGATTTATCAATATTAAGTGTCTGAATATCAATATTGTTGTGGTACCTGCCTTAATAGCCAATAATGTTGACTCCTAGTGAGTTTTAATGACCATATCAAAGTGTAAAATCTCTGTCTCTTTTTTTCAGAGTGTGGTCTCCACTGATCTGAACTACGCAACGGTAGCATTTCGACCCAAGACAAGAAGAAGAGAGCCGGAGCCAAACGTCACTTACGCTGCCACCAGATAGAAAGAGAAGGCAACTGGAAATTAACTTTGTATCTTACGATTTTGCTGTACTTTGCGTTTCTATATAACTTGAATCTGGAACAAGAGCTGATGAAGACCCAATAAATCACATATCCCATTGTCTATTATATTTTAAATCAAATAAAAACCATTGATTAAGTGTTTTATGAATTGGATTCCATTAAGGTGAATGGCTTTCAGTGTTTCCTAAAATCAGAGATGACAATCTGCAGCAGCCAAAGAGGGGTTAAAGAGCATACCACTTCCTCAAAGAAAAAAAAAAAAAAAAACAGCAGTGTGGTTTTAGAGTGGCTGAATTTAAAAAATAAACTCACAGCCTGGCAGACCATAGCCTTTGAAAAACAAACAGCCAGAAACATTTAAGTACTCATCCAGGATATTCCTCTTAAGGTTCATAATGAGGTCACATACACTGTTGGAATGAACATTTGACCTGTAGAAATAGATTCAGTTCACAACACGTGGCAGATATCTATACAAGAAAAACTGGAGGTTAAAAATAAACACAGACTATTAGAAGTCACAATCTTATGTGTGACTGAAAAGGCCATAAACCACAGAGCTCAGAAGTTCTTGGTTCATCCTAAGCAGGGGATAATGACGTTCCATGGTTTTCAAAGGGAATGTCAGATTTGGATTAATTAGACCACTAGACAGTTTTCCACCATGGTATTTCTTGATCATGTTCAAATGTGGCTTCCTCTTGGTATGAGTCAGATTAAACCTACATTTGTGTAGGCAGAGACAAGCTGTGTTCACACGTAATGCTTCTGGGAAATGATGATATGTTGCACTAATAGGAAATAAAGAATATCTAAAAACTTTTTGTTTGTTTGTTTGTTTACTTTAGAGAGTGAACACAGCCAAATAGCCCTTTGCAATCAGCTGTGTTCAATACAAAATGGACAACTAGCCCATCCTCACAGCAAGGAATTTTGGGCGTCTGTAAGTCCTTCTTCCTCAAAAATTAGTCACACACTAAAGGGTTATTTACAAGAGTAGCGCGGTGGAAGTCCCAGATGTGAAAAAAATATGTGAAATGGTACACGTCTTGTCCGTTTCTCTCATCACCAACCCCCCCCCCCCCCCCCCCACACACACACACACACACACACACACACCTTTTTGTTCCACTGAGGTAAAAAAAAAAAAAGTATCTCAGTTCAAGAGATCACCACAGGATGACTGGCCTTCAGCTCTCAGTCTCAGCACAGAAACCACAAGCTGCAAAAGCTGTGGCTCTGTCACATTGAGGCACTTTTTTTTTCCTCTCAAGCATAGATTAGAGGCTCACCAGCTAAAAATCTCCTTTTTGTCTTATCATATGCATGAAACTTCACACACTTACACAGTAGTCCATAATCAACTAGATGTGTGGTCTCCACTGATCTGAACTACGCAGCGGTAGCATTTCAACCCAAGACAAGAAGAAGAGAGCCGGAGCCAAACGTCACTTACGCTGCCACCAGATAGAAAGAGAAGGCAACTGGAAATTAACTTTGTATCTTACGATTTTGCTGTACTTTGCGTTTCTATATAACTTGAATCTGGAACAAGAGCTGATGAAGACCTAATACATCACATATCCCATTGTCTATTATGTTTTAAATCAAATACAAACCTGTTATTAAGTGTTTTATGAATTGCATTCCCTCAAGGTGAATGGCTTTCAGTGTTTCCTGAAATAAGAGATGACAAACAATCTGCAGCAGCCAAAGAGGGGTTAAAGAGCATACCACTTCCTCAAAGAAAAAAAAAACAGCAGTGTGGTTTTAGAGTGGCTGAATTTCAAAATAAATTCATAGCCTGGCAGACCATAACCTTTGAAAAACAAACAGCCAGAAACAGTTAAGTAGGGAAGGCCAGGGCTTGGCGTCACACTTTTTACACTCTTATATATTGCTTGGATTAAATACATCATATATAAACAAAATGTGTACCAGATGAAAAACCAAAGTCTCATGTATATATTTCGTATTCATGTCATTTTCATATCTTTTGTCAGTACAGAGTTATAAGCAATCAAATAGAGAGTGTGAACATGCGACATGTTGCCACACCATCGGGCAAGTTGTCTCACTCCATGTAGTAAGATGTCTAAGTGGATTTTGCAGCTAATAAAACAAGGATAAAATTATTTCTGTTTGCATTTTTTCAGTTGAAAGTGAACATCAAAGTCAGGCACAGAAAATGTTTATCATTGAGTTAGAAAACGTCATTGAACATAGCCATACAAGAAACATTAACAAAATATTATGCAACATGCTCTGGAGTTTGGAGAGTTGTCTGACTCTGTTCTTCGGCCGGGATGAATATTTTGCAGTACCGAGCCAAGGTATGGTAGTTGACATTAAAGTCCTTTATTGTACTCCAGATTGAGTTATAAGCTTGGGTGACCTGCCTGACTGCCTGACTCAGCATCACGTTCAGGCACTGCACTGTCACGTTCAGTTTTTTCTTTAGATTCCTGACTACGGGGTCTATTTTCGCACAGCAAGTTTGGTACTTTGGTAGACTGAGAAGTACCGAGGTCTGCCAAGCTGGGCGTGGTGGCGTGGTAGGAGGAGGTGCCGACAGAATCAGCTGGCGCAATGACATTTTTGTGACCACTGGCTGCATGAAAAGTGCGCTGAAAGCTCACCGATTTAAAGCTGGTCAGCTTTCAGCACAGGCGGAGGGCAGCTGGTCTAGTGGTATTTTGGTAGACTGGTGGCGTGGCGCGTACACGTCACCAATGCTTCACCGGCAGGGTTCCACAGTGTCAGGCACATTTCAGTGCAATAAATAATCATAAAACCAATATTCAGTGCAACTATCTGGATCAGCAGAAACATGTAGATCTATATCGATATACACTTGAGGCCACAATTATTAGCCCCCCTATGAAATTTTAAGTTTTTTCCCAAAATTTTCCAAGTACTGTTAAACAGATTAATGATTTTTTTACGCAGCTTTTCCAAATATCCTAGTTTTGTTTTGGATCCTTACATTATTTTACTTTGCACACAGAAACAAAATTATTTCACAAAAAAAAAACTACCAGGGTCAAAATTATTAGCCCCCTGAAGAATTGACGTTTTTATTAAGCCAAAACAAAAACCACTGTTGTGCAATCATGTGCTTTCACTTTCAAGTGCTCACAGCTTGTCATCAATCAATCAATTAAGTGAAAACAAAGGGTTGTCCTACACTTTACACACAGTATAAAAACCTAGTTACGCATTTGAGCTGTCACCTGAGAAGGCATCATGGCAAATACAAAAGATTTCAGTTTAGATGAGGAAAAGAATTGATGCTCACAAAGCATTTTCAAATATGGCTTACTCTTTGTATGAGTCAGATTCAACCTACATTTGTGTAGGCAGAGACAAGCTGCGTTCACAGATAATGCTTTTGGGAAACGATTTGAGCCCAAGCAATGAGTTCCACTACAGAGCCATGTCTGTTTTTGATGAAGTGCCACCTGACGGGTAAAGATCATGGTATTATGCTCATGTCAATGACAAGATCCTTTTACCTGTTCACGCAGTCTCTCACAAGTGGGGGACCTCTTTTTCTCTGTACTTTTGGGAGACTTTGTTTATTATATTTCCAGACGAATCTGAAAATATGTATTTGATAAACCTTTCTTAAAAAAGTGAATAAACTGATGTAACTGGTCTGTGATAATAAAAATGCAGGCGTTGGCTGAAAGAGTAATGTGTCGCCAGGCTAGATGGCACCACAACAACCACTTGTCAGTACGCAGCCATGTTACAGTATTTCCAAATGATCTGGAGTTGAACTGATATGATGAAAAAATGACTTGCTTTATTGGACAATGATCAGTCATATATTGTTTGTTTTACCTAGGTGGCCAAGTACAGAGTGAAGAGCAGAAAGAGGTAAATGAAATTTAACCAATATCTTATGTGTCTGATCATATGTAGACACCACATGAACACTGACTTTTCACAGACTGAGGCCTCCAATGATGTGATTTAATCAGCTGTAACCCATGGAAGGAGAAGAGAGCAGGAGTCAAATGTGGTTTATGCTAACATCAGATAGAGAGAAGAGGTTCCTGTAGCTTAGGATTTTAGTGCTGGTTGGTTAGGTAACAATCACTCTTGTTGGGGAAGAAAATAAAAAAAAAAAATTTTCTAATCAATAAAGCTTTCTTTCTCAAACTGCCCTTCTGGACTCTTTTATATTAGATGGTATATGGGGGAAATTAAAAGAAGAGGACTACTGTTATGGTCTCTAGTAGGGTTCAAATGGAAATTTACAGCAGTAGACGAGTGGTTAAAGTTCATACCGTGGTCAGGAAAAAACAGCACAGTTTGGTTTTATCTGAAACTGAAGGGCGTTATCTGTGGCCCAGAGGATCAAAGGTGTCAAAAAATAACAGCTAAGAGAGTATTCAGTACTTGCCAAGGACATTCAAAGCCTCTTCAGTTGAGTGTGTGCTCACAAAGTCTCAAGACACACTTACTATAATGCTTTAGAAAAAGATTGAGGCTCCGATATATTGGAGCCTAGTTGGTTAACACTGAAACTTCGCCACACCATGGAGCGTGATCCTGCTATGTTCTCTCCTTGTTTGTGCAGAAGAAACCATAGTGACTGAATCTGGGCATATCAAATTTGAGTTGAAGCTGGTAATGTTGTGCAGCAGTGGATCATGCTTTTATTATTGCAGAGCAGAAAAGATGAGTGATGTCTGGCTAATCACAGGGCTTGTGGTCTGCATTGAGTCGAAGGCGTCAGCTATACACATAGGCTTCAGCGCAGGATACAGGGCAAGAGCATAAACCAGATTTAAAAAGGACAAACACCAGCAGTGAACAACAGGTTTAAGTGGAGGGGAGAAGTCGGTGTCTTTACTTTCAGGAAGAGACAGTACCGTGTGGTAATTCAAAGCTCAGTAAAAATAAAGTGTGAAATGATACTGTGAGATGCTGGTTGCTGATAAATCTCATTTAACTTTGTATTCTACATTCAGCATTATGTGGATCAGCAAAACTCTGCATCTTTGACCACTTTTTAAAGTTTGTGCACAAAGCGGGCACATTGTCTGCAGCATCACTTGTTTGTCAGGAAGAGACAGCACAGTGTGGTCTGAAGGAAAAAAAAAAAAAACAACACCATCAGTGCTACAAGCATTAGCTCAGGATCCCAGCAGAATGGTGAGTCGTCTGTGTTTGACGAGGAAAAGCCATGATGCATCAAGTTTTCATGAAGGCAGCAGTTAATCCCCTGAAGAAAAAGTATAGCTGTTCACACAGCTGACAAAGAGCAGAATCCAAGACAGAGTGAAGTCAACTTATTTATTGTTGTAAACTTGAGACTTCTGTGTGACGGTAGATACTATAAAGCCTCTTAACCATAGACTGTATATAGAATGGACGCTGTCTGCCTCCTCACTGGGTGAAGCCACCGCAAGAACAGCACCCTCTGGTGACGGGCTGCAGTATAGGTCATAAATCCTGCCTCTGGCAGCAATCCCTATAGAGCTGTGGACAAACTTTCAAAATTGATTACAAAGAATATCATTTCTCTCTCCCTGGTTGCAATGTTGATGTGTAGTTATTGTAAGACTGTTTTGTGCTCAAGTCCTCTTTTTTCTGTGCAGCTCCATTTTTAAAAGTTATTAGGGGTTCATGTTTTCTATATGATTGACATTTGATACAGCCTATGGGCGTATGAAGATTGCGTAGCTTACCCGGGGATACGCTGTTTGAGACGAGCATCATCACAACAACTCTCTGAGACTCTCCCTCTGAATACGTACAATAGTGCTGCGCAAGTGGTGGTTCCAGGAAGTGGAAAAAATCCTGTAAATACCAAGAGCAATTTGGTATTTACAGGAATTTTGGGAGGCATCCCGGCCCATTGCTGCAGGGGGCGCCGTCACAGGGACCACAAGCCCGGCAGACAGGAGGCTCCACACCAAGGTGTAGAGCTCTCTGGTTCCACCCTGGCCAGAGCTGTCCCCAGAACGGCGCCCCCACCAACAGACCAGAACCCGCTCCCGGTGAAGCAGCCCCCAGGAGGAAACACTGGAAAAACTGAGGGACTAAAAGAACAAGATAAGACATGAAAGTATAGAAACTAAAACTGAAGGAATAAAACTGTAATCGCTAAGACAGACCCAGTAAATAATGTAAGATAAAATTATTTTGTGCACTGTAAAACACGCCAGACTAAAAATAATAATAATAATATTGATCGATTGAAGTATAAAATAGAACGGAAATAAAAAGTGTTAGATAGTGTAACAATAAGAGTGAGCATAAAAGGGATTAAAAGAGTTAAACTAGTCAGTTAAAAGCCTGATTAAAAAGATGAGTCTTTAGCCTCTTTTTAAAAACATCAACATTCTCTGCAGCCCTGAGGCTCTCCGGGAGGCTGTTCCATAATCGGGGGCCATAATAACTGAATGCCGCCGCCCCGTATGTCTTGGTTCTTACTTGTGGGATTTTTAAGAGACCAGCTCCAGAGGACCTCAGGGTCCGTGAGGGCTGATAAGGTAAAAGTATCTCGGATAAATAAAACGGCCCAAGACCATTAAGACACTTAAAAATTAGGAGGAGAACCTTAAAATCGATCCTGAAGCGGACAGGGAGCCAATGCAGCGATTTTAAGACAGGAGTAATGTGCTCCCGCCCTCTGGTCCCCGTCAGCACCCGTGCGGCTGAGTTTTGTAATAATTGTAGGTTTTGCATGTTCTTTTTGGGAAGACCAGTTAGCAGGGCAATACAATAATCCAAACGACACGAGATAAAAGCATGCATCAGCACCTCCGTGCTGGCCTAAGAGAGAAACGGGCGGACTCTTGCTATATTCTTAAGATGGTAGAAACCTATCTTTGTTATGTTTTTTAATGTGTAATAAACGTGAGCTTGGAGTCAAAAATTATGCCCAGATTTTTTACAGATTTTGAAGGTTTAAAATCCTGTAACTTTGGTAAAAGTTTCTCTCTCTGGCCTTCAGGACCAGTGACTAAAACCTCTGTTTTGAGTTAAATACAGTTAAAAAGGGCATCAATTGGCCTTTGTTATCAGGAGACACGGCGATGTACAGTTGCGTATCATCAGCATAGCTATGGAACCTGATGCCGTGCCTCCAGATGACATCCCCAAGGGGTAACATGTAGAGGTTGAACAGAGTTGGACCTAGAATTGACCCTTGGGGAACCCCACACTCTATTTTATGGGTCCTTGAGGAACATGTATCCATACTTATAAAGAAATTTCGATCAGTCAGGTAGGACGTGAACCACTTAAGAACAGTACCAGTACCAAACGTGATGGTCTACTGTATCGAAGGCGGCTGTTACATCCAGCAGAACCAACACTGTGAGTTTGTGGTTATCTAAGTCACATCTGATGTCATTTAAAATCTTCAGAAGTGCTGTCTCTGTGCTGTGGTTCCTCCTAAAGCCAGACTGATGGGTCTCTAAAATATGTTTTGAGTTTAAAAAATCATTTACATGGTTAAAAACAAGTTTTTCTAGAACTTTACCTAAAAATGGTAGGTTGGATACAGGCTGGTAGTTATTTAAAACATTGGGATCTCAATCACTCTTCTTCAGAAGGGGCTTCACCATCACCGTTTTAAAGGCGGTGGGGAAGACACCCGTCTGAAGAGAGCAATTCACCAAACACAACAGCTGTTCCTCGAAGAATCCATAGTTTTTTAAAAAACGGTGTGGGAATTGGGTCTAAAAGGCAGGTTGGGGCCTTTACCTGGGAGAAAACCAAGTGTCCTCACATCAACCAGGGCAAAACTTTCCAGTGTTTCCTTGGGAAAACTCGGTGACCCGGGTGTTAAAAGCTGTTGGGATAAAAGACTGGATCGAATGTCATTTATTTTTCTTCTGAAGTGGTCTGCAAAATCCTCACAAAGGGCATTATCCGGTGGTATGGAGGATCTTTTAAAATTTTTGTTTGTTAAAAGGTCTATTGTGGACAAAAGGAATCTGGGATTATTTTTATGGTTATGGATTAGATTTTGGAAATGGGAGATTCTTGCTTGTTTGATTGCAATATTGTAAATTTTAAGAAGCTGGTGTAATATTTCATAATCCACTGTCAGCTTTGATTTCCTCCATCTCCTTTCAGCACTCCTGCATTCCCTTTTCAATGTTTTAATGTCATCAGTTCTCCACAGGGATGTAGGTTTTGATTTAATTGTTTTTATAAAAAGTGGAGCCACTGAGTCCAGTGCTGACTGGACTCAGTGGCTCCACTGAGTCCAGTCAGCACTGGAGTTCTCTGTAAGATCTGGATAAAATTTGCAGCCACTTCAGAAGTTAGGTAACGTTTCCTCACTGTTCTCACCGGGGCCTCCCTCTGATTAAAACTGGTGATTGTAAAAAAGACACAAAAATGGTCAGACACAGCCAGGTCCACAACAGAGGGCGCTCCAATGGACAGACCATAAGATATGACCAAGTCCAAGGTGCGCCCCCTGCTGTGGGTCGGCTGTGTGACATGTTGGTTGAAATCAAGGCAGTGTAAAAGGTTTAAAAATTCTCTGGACATTGGGTCTGAGGAGATGTCCACATGTAGATTAAAATCACCAGTTATTAAAATCCTGTTAAAAGTGGCATAAATAATTGATAAAAGCTCTGAAAATTCCCGAATAAAAGAAGTGGAATACTGGGGAGGTCGGTAGACAGTTATACAGAGGATAGGTGGGCTGCTAAAAACGAAGGTATGGTACTCAAATGATGAGTAGCTGTTAAAAATGACTTCATTTGTATGCATGTTGCACTTTGTAATTGAGGCAGTACCACCCCCTCTTCTGCACCCCCTAGTTGAAAATAAAAAGTTAAAATTTGGTGGGGAAGCCTCGTGAGAACAACAGGTGCATCAGTGCCAAGCCATGTCTCTGTAAGGAGAATGCTGTCCAGGTTATTGTCCGTAATTATGTCATTGATAATAAAAGATTTGTTTAAAAGAGAGTGCACGTTCAGCACAGCCATTTTAATTCCTGTGCTGAAGGTGCGCTCAGTGCGTTTTTCTAAGGGAACATTAAAAACACATTTTGGTCTAAAAGCAGTCCTCCTCTTCCTCAGTAGTCTATGTGTGGTTATGGTTGTGATGGTGTAAATATTGTCCTGTGCCACTGAGGGCACAGAGGGAGGGGCGTGTATAGTGTCAGTAGGGAGTGGTGAAGGTGAGTGTAAATGAGGTGCAGAGGGCATGTGTGCAGACAGTCAGGAGGTGGTTGTGCAGGACCGGAGCGTCAATATTTACTGATAAAAGCCTTGACCCCTCCTGGTTCGGGTGAAGGCTGTCTGATTTAAAAAGGTGGGGTCTGTTTAAAAAAGCAATAACATTGTCCACATATGGGATACTTCTCCCCAGACAGAAGCCCTTGAGCCACAGGTGCAGCTGGCGGAGGCGACTGGTGGTGACATCGCCATAACGCGGCGGGGGAAGTGGGCCGGATATTACAAGTCACTTCCCTGTATCCAGCATGTGGTCCACCATGGATATGAAGTCGCGCTTGAGGGTCTCAGACTGCTGGTCTTTGATATCGCCGATCCCGGCATCCAGAACCAGCGTAGAGGCTGAGCTGTGCTGAGCACACATCTCGAGGACAGAGGACTCAACCTCCTTGATGCAGGCACCAAGGCGGCAGAAGGTCCACCGTGTACCTTCACATGCCTGACCATCGAGGTCCCAACGACCAGCACGGAGGGGGAGCGCTGCTCCGCCGGCTGCCGGGAGTTGCGCCGCTGGGAGTTGCGCCGTTGGTGGGATGGGACCGGGGGTTGGCGGCATCAGGCCGCGGTTGTTCCCGGCCCAGATGGAGAGGAGGGGCCAGGCTGAACACACAGCCCCCGGCTCCTAGGCTGATGAGAACCACAGCCAGCTGGGTAGACAGGACCCGGCGGCGAGCTGGGCCGCGTTTCCCCCACGGGGGGGAAATCCTGCAGGCTGAGGGCTTAGTACCTGTCAGACAGCTGGAGTTCACAGGTGAGCTGCGGGCTGGTTCTGTGTAACCCTTCTGCTACCTGCCACAGACTGCCAGGGCTGATGCCGCGGAGTAGAGCTGAGTGCTCTGTGCCTCGGGTTTGGTGTAAAATCCAGTGCTGTAACAGGCAGGAGGTTGGGCTTAGCACCCAGCGAGTGCCAGTGGTCGTCGCGTTGACCGGGGGACCTGCGCCCAGTGTGGTCACAGAGTCTAGGAGTTTTTCCTCATCCCGGATCCAATAAAGGTTGGAAATAAGGCGCTCCAGTTCAACAATTGACTGAGATTGTTGTAGGCAATCATCGCACCTGTATGGAGGGGTAGGTGGAGCTGCGGTGGAGGCAGTCATAGCGCTTCACCAAGCGAAATGAGCTAACAGGCAGCCCAGCAGGCAACGGGGTAAAACTCTTAAAATCCCCGTCCGATTGTTGAAATCGTTGCTCTGATGAAGAGTGTACTCTGATTGGCCTCTGGCCTCTGATTATTATGGCTAGTTAGTAAGACTTAAGATATCCTTTGTTAAGAAGAAATACTAAATATCCTCTGTATGTCCTAAACTGTATTTTTTTCAGCTTAGGACAGAGTTCCATTCAGTAAATGATTACTATCAGTGGTTCAGCAGTTGAGGAGTGGTTCAAGAGCACACAGCGTTTTCAGCACAGTGTGGTTTTAAAAGAGCAAAACTTAAAAATAAACTATGGCCTGGCAGATTAAAGGTTACTGAAAACAACAGCTACAAGAAACTATTTCACACTAACCCAAGATATCCAAAACCTACTCAGCTTGTGGACATAAAAGTCACATGTATTGTTGTTCAATAATATATGACTGAATAGTTAAAATGTAAAAATCATATCCATTTAAATTCCAGCTGTAAATTCAGGTCAGTGGATGTGGATTAAGAGAGATAATGTCAGAACATCTGACCTTAAACCAATGACCTGAGGAGTGGACCAGAGGTGTATTTCATTGGTGTTGGACTGGCTGGCAGGTGGATACTAAAGCTGTAGCTTAAGAAGAAGAATAAGAAGAACTTTAATGATCCCCAAAGGGAAATTTAATAAAGTAAAAGAGTAAGGTAAAGAGGAAAGTAAGAAAGTAAGTAAAGAGAAATGTGTTTACAGTAAAAATCAAAAGCATTGACTCAGAGCAGACTAACAACTTTAACTCCAGTGAAAAGAAGACAAGAGTGTCACAGGGTCAACTCATGACAAATTCTCAGCAAAGATGCTCTTTGAAAATAGTGGACATCAGGGTGGAGCCTTGACTTTTCACATAAGGTACATTTTTCTGAAATATCTGACTTTAACCATTAGAAAAACAGAAACTTAAGAGTAAAGCTCATCTTAATTATCCTCTGCTGTTCAATTAGTCTGTATAAATGCAATAAAAAAACAACTTAAAAACTCTTAAATTTTCACAGAAAGAAAGCAGTCAGTGAGAGCTGAAGGATCAGCACAATGTGATCTGAGGTGGCAAACAGCCAGAAGTTTGTGACCCACCAACCCAGACAAGGAAACAACAGCAGGCTGTTGGTCTGTTAAGCCTGTTTGTTGAAAATTGCTTGTCTTTCTTCTGTTGTCACAGTAAGAATTTAAAAATGACAATAAATTCTTTGAGGAGAAAACACTTCCTACATTCATGGTTAGAGTCAACTCTTCCTGTTCAGAAAGCTGTGATTCAGATGGCACTAACTGCAGTCTTGGACCCCATACCACCTCTGTGTGTTGTTTGGCAGCCTAGAATTCTGTTCTTATGACTACCTCTGCATCTAAGCAAAATAACACATTAATCCCTCATATTATTATCTATTTTATTCTACCTGGGAAAAATTCCTTTGACCTTAACTTCAGCAACATAGACTGTATATACTGTGGACAGCTTGGCTCTGCCATCATTATACAAATTTGAAGCCGAATTGCTCTCAGTATTTCCAGGATTTTCTTCACTTCCTGGAACCACCACTTGCGCAGTAGCATTGTAAGCAGAGTCACCGAGAGTCACTGAGAGTTGCCGAGAGGTATAGAATAACCGACTGCAAAGCACTCCTTCTCCTTTTCTCCTGACATACGTAGATCACCCATTCTTGAGAGTCGGGACAAAACATGTCCTACATAGAAAAGTCTAATTTATTCAAAACAATTAAGAAATTCCAAATGTTTGACATACTCAAAAAGTTAAATCTAACAGATTTGTGCATCCCAATCCTATTTTTTAGCACAGATATTTACTTTTCTGGGGGATATTTGTTTAAATGAATCGTCTGTGGTTAGAAGGTCCATGTTATTGCTTGTGTCCTCAGCAAGAGGTAACAACATTGACCAGCCCCAAAAAACTTTAAAAAACTCTATAATTGTGAAAACATATTCATCAAATAAAAATTCAGGACTATAAATATATAAAACAATGCATGGCCTGAACATCAAATAACTTTTTGCCTAAAAATCTGCCTATCAAAGTTGTGTCCTCAGTTTCTGTCAACTCCATCAGATTATTCTATAAACCTCATTATATCATGCAATATCATAGTCAGATAATTCCCTGAGCACCCCTTTTCATTTCCTGCTTCTGGTGAATGTAACACCACCACACATGGTCTGGTAAGTTTTACAGTTTTTGATATTTTAGACAAACAATGTCAATATTTGTATGGTCACAGCTGGACCATGTCAACACCGTCTCTCCGTTATTATACTTTTTTTTAAACCATAGTGAGTTCAATTAAAGTATTATAGTGAGATTATCAGGACAGCTAGCAACTGCCAAAAAAGTAGCTAGCTGCACTGTACAATAAATGTTTTGGAGGGAAAATACATGCCCTTATGTCAACTCCGTCAGACATCAACTCCGTCAGATTTTGTGTCTGACGGAGTTGACATGTAAGCTGATGGAGTTGACAAATCCACCTATAACCTCTTAATGTGCTGACATTATGCTATTATTGAACATGGTTAAGGAAAACAATGTTATTCCAGGGTCTTATCTGCACATAAAAGTACATACAGTATATAGCATATATTACATTATTTTACCATATACTTCTGACTTGTAGAGTAGACCATGGGCAGGCTGTGTGCTTAATTATAACTTTAAAACTTTCCCAACACACACACACACACACACACACACACACACACCTTATATCATTGATTGATTGATTAATGTACATTCGTAAAGGTGCAGTGTGTAGTTTTCACTACCGAAAATCTACACACTGGCTTCTTATAGAGTGCACAAGAAGTTCTATGTTGCTCTTTTAAACCCCAGTGTAGGTGGGATACCAGTTAGAAGAAAAAGGTTATTGTTTTTATATTGTTAACTTGGACCATCAGACCTTGGGCTCTATTTTCGTGTCCGCCGGCGACATGGCGGAGGGTGGCGAACCCCGCGCAGTGGCATTTTTTGTCTGTCAGAGCTTGGCGTACAGCCAGTTTGGTATTTTCTTGGACTGAGGTGCACGGAGGTCCGCCAAGCTGGGCGTGGATGTGTGGCAGGGTGAGGTGTCCACAGAATCAGCTGGCGCAGTGACATTTTCGTGCTCGCTGCCAGCGTGTAAAGGGCGCTGAAAGCTTGCCGATTCAAACCTGGTCAGCTTTCAGCGCAGGTGGAGCCGGATAGGCTAGTGGTATTTTGGGAGACCAGCGGCATATCGGCCTGACGAGTAGGTTTCCACAGTGTCAGGAACATTTCCGTGCAATAAATAATCAATCACAACTAATAATCTGAGTTAGCACGTACATTTAGATCTATATAGATATATTCTGATCTATATCTGATCTGATGAGCGCATTTGGCACGCGTTTGGACACACAACCTGACCGAATCAACAAAGCTGAAACCACATTAAATTAATTATCTAGTAAATAGACACACATGATGAAGTTAACAAGATATTTAATTTGTCTCCCCCCATTTTTATCTTCCTCTTTCTCTTATTTCTTGCGCAGCTCGACCTGGACACGTCTCCGTGTCCTCTCTACGTCCTGCTGCAGCTGCTGATGCGGCGGCTGAACAGATGATTTGTTTCAGTGATCAGATGAGTTTTTTACTTTAAGCGGATATACGGATATTATAATATTCAGTTTTGTGAGCCAGGCCACGGAGCGCAATTTACACACAGATGGTTTTGAATTTAATGCCATTATTGGAATTTATGTTGTGATCTCTGTGCACAACCCACCTTTGTCACGTGAGGTTTGAATATGTGCAACTTTATGTGAGTGTCTTTATTTGTGGAAAGGGTGTTTGTCTTACAAGTGGGTCCAACATTACACACACCAAATCCATCTGTGCTCCTATGAGACAGTGTGAAGGACGCCCTGTGCAGCGTTTACAGTGACACTTGTTGAGGGGCTGCCTTCTGTCGCCATTGTGTGGCATTACTGTCTTCAGACATCTCTTGATCTCTTTGACTACTTCACGAAAATAGTAATACGCCTCGCCAGTGGCAGATTTAAGGGGTTTTCTGTGGGTTTTATGAAGGAGGACGTCCAGCATTCAGTCTGATTCATCTAAAGGTCAAAGGTGAGATCGATTCAATCCTTTTTTTGCAGTAATTTGTTCTTTTTTTTAATGGGTAAATGTCTGGAACCAACATCAATAAAACAGGTGACACTTTTGGTTCAATTAAATAAAACCAAAGTTGTTGTTTGTTTGTTTGTTTGTTTTCTAACAGGCAGCAGTGGGGCTCATGATGACGAAGTGTGGACTAGTATGATTTTTTATACGAGATAATAATGTTTGAGGGGTTTTTCTGTAGAGGAGACAGATACAGCAGCTGCATCAATGAGTGTGATTCTGGGTGTTGTGACTGTTCTCCTCTTAATCATCAACATCAGTTTGGCTGTTTCTGTGAGGAAACTTCAGACAGGTATACTACAGGCCAAAAATTTGGAAGCAAGATCAGATTTGTACAAAAAGAGATCATAGTTTCATATATGTAATTTGCAACACGATAAACATGACTATTGTGTAAAGAGTAACTTATCAGAAGACATTTTGACTATTAGGTATTTGAGTTATTGTTGCTTTGACAACAGCTTGGCATATACCAGGCATTCGTCCCACAAGTTTTTTAAGGTATGTTCCAGGGATTTCATTCCAACATTTCTTAAGTTCATTAAAAAGAGACTGCTGATTCATGGGATGCGTTTGTCTGACCAATCAATGCAATTCATCCCGCACGAGCTCAATTGGAGAAAGGTCTGGAGACTGAGGGGGCCAAACCATCTTTTGAAGACAGGTAACCCAGACAGAGCCTGACAGAGTGCTTAGGGTCATTGTCTTGCTGCAAAACAAACTTATGAGCCACAAGTCTGAGTCCAGATGGAACAGCATGGTGCTGGAGGGTGGAGTGGTACTGTTCCTTCTTCATGATACCCTTTACTTCAAACAAATCTCCTACTCCATCACCTGCAAAACATCCACATACCATGGAACTACCACCTCCATGCTGAATTGTGGGTGTAACACATGGTGCTTTCAGACGCTCACCAGTTTGTCTGCAGACATAGACTCTGCGTTTTGAACCAAACAGTGCAAACTTCCTTTCATCAGTCCAGAGAACTTGTTTCCAGTCATCATAGGTCCAATTATTTTTTTTTTTTTTGCAGATACACAACCCTTCAGACCAGCCTTTCTCAAATGTCATTTCACGGTTGTCAGAGATATGGGCTTCGACCTTGTCATGTTGATTTCCTCCCTTATTTTTGGTGCTGTCTTTTGTCGATCTCTCTTACTGGTGACAATGATATGTTTATCCTCTGCTTTTGTAGTAACTCTCTTTCTTCCAGGTCTTTTTCTACCATCATAACCTCCAGGTTCCTCTAGTCTCTTCAGAGTGTAGTGGACTCCTTCGTTAAACACCTTTAGGCGTTTTGCAGTTTCTCTTTCTGTGTATCCTTCTTTCCTCAATGTACAAATCTGTACTTTTGTTTCTTTACTCAGTTGCTTCTTTCTAGCCATTTTTGCAGTAGTTTGAACACAGTTGAGATTTATTAGGATTTTTGTATGCAGACTCTCAAAAGCCAAAAAGTTGAAGTGAATAATCCAACTGTGATTTGTTTTTTTGCTTTTGCACTGAAGTTGTGACTCTTGCAAATGTTTTCAGCCCTAAAACTAAGCCCTTATTATCTTTTGCTGACATATATTTAGCAATGGTCTGTTAACATCAATGTATATCTAAAGGTAAATGGAGTAAAATGGTGCATTTCCATGAAAGCAACATCTGATCATGGAATAAATACATCCCAAAATACATGCAACTCATACTGGATTTTAAAAAAAGTATTGTGAACAAAAACTTGACGTTAGTCCCAACTGTTCAGCCATTTTGCCTTGCTTCCAAACTTTTGGCCTGTAGTGTACTTCCGAACTTAGCTTGTGTCCAGTGTTGCGGGAAATTCTGCCTTAAACACAGCCAGTATGACGATTACCTTCAAAGGTCCTAAGTTGACTGATTTGACTTGTCTCATTCTTTAGCTGCTGAGGAAGAGGAGGACTCTCAGCAGTATGAGGTAAATCAAGATAATTGTTAACTTAGAACAATTAACTTTGTCAGTGATGTTCAAATCATTTTAGACATTTCAGTTTTTTTTTCAGCTTGCAGAACCCCGGCCCGCGGCAGCCCGTCCGCCGGCTCGGAGTTGTCGGCCAGGACAAGCGGCATCAGGGCCACCCCGGCCCCCGGCCCCCGGCCCCCGGCCCCACACCAGCACCAGCACCAGCGCGCCGACAAGCGGTGGAGCGTCCACCAGCCGCAGCGCTTCTGCTGGACCACCCGAACACAGTGGAAGGGTCCTCACGCAGGCCTTGAGTGTCTGGTGGAAAAAATAAATTAATTTGGCTCATTGAACTGTGTATTCACTTCTTACCCATTCACACTGTGGCAATGAGATTCTTCCGCGCGAGGACCCCCCCCCCCCCCCCCCCACACACACACACACACACACACACACACACATTAGCTTCTTAAAGGGGGAGAAAATTATTTCATATTTTAACAAAAACACGAGTATTGGATCATGAAAACATGTGAGCATCAAACTTAGGTTTTGTTTTTATGTGTCTCAAAAATGCACAAACAGAGGTGTACTTGGGTGTATAAACAGTAGAGTTAGCTGTCATGGTAGAGAACATTGTCTTTTGGGGACAGCAAATATTACAAATCAGAGGGTGATTGTTTTCGACTTATCTGAATAGCCTGAATTAAATTATTAAAGGCACACGTTTTTGAATGCATCCAACGGTAAGGAAAACTTGAAATATTTAGCCTTTTTAAGTACTTTCAACCGCGCTACCGTTAGGGGTGCATTCTTCGGCAGGGGTGCATTCTACGGCACAACACCGGCAGGGATCAGCTTGCATCCCTCCGTCTGCTGCTGGTTCGTCATGTGGGGCGACGTGCTGCTCGGCCACGGGGATGTGGTGCACGCTTGTCACATAGTGAGTCACCAAACACCGCCACACAGCGTCGGCAAAGTGCCGTCAACGCAAGTAACGGCTCAACGCCAACTTCTACACCACCTCCTCACTTTGCGTGGATTTGCGCTGGAACCAACGCTCATGTCACGATGATAAATCTAGACGTGTGCGCCGATCTTGGCGAACGCAAGGTTCTCTGGCGCCGCCAGCGTTGATACATGAGGCCCCTGATCACAGAGACACGTGGAGACTCATGTTTTTTACACCGGTTGAAAAAAGATTTGGGGTGTTTCAAAGTAGAACTGAAGATTTTACATGTTGCATGTTACTTATGTGTCATTCTCATCTCTTCACTTCAGATAGAGTCTCAGGGTGTGACAAAGCTGTGGCCTTAACCTCTTGATGCACAAGTCCTTCAAATGTGCATTTTCTTAGCGTCCATCAGGGGGAACTCTACTGGCTATAACCAGAAGTGTGTTATCACCGACTTGATTTAATAAAGAAATAAATCTCCACATGTTGATTAGTTTAAGTCTTTTTACTAGAGCATAATGTCCTTTTTAATTGTATGTGCCAGATTTGAAATAAGTTTCAACCACAGCCCCTGAGCAGCATCTCATCCTATTTTTAATCTTGGGTTTTCATCTTGATATAATTTCTTTGCTGATTTAGCTGCTAAATTCCAAACAACACCTGTCACCTATCTAAAGCAGTGATTCATGTATTGAAAACAGCTTTAAAGAAATAATCATTCTTCCTATGGGCTGTCTTGTTTACTTTTTGAATCATAAAGAAATATCAGTGTTAACCTCAGTCTGTTTATCAGCGAGCTAAAATCTCTCACAGGAGCTTTAAAAGCTGCTTCTTAGCACAACTTTCCATTTCTGTTGCTTTGAATGACTGATTCATCTCATACTGCTAAATCATGTTATTTGTTTGATATGTTGGATGAATGAGTTTAATGCATTTCTTTTTGCTCACTGTATGTGTTTCAAGACAATAAAACAAGTTCAAGAATAAAAGGACAACTATTGAATTCATGTTGCTTGACAGAAAGTCAGGGGGTTTGGACTCTGGTGACGGATCTAAGCAGCCGAAAAATCCCCCCTTGAAGTCCTGACACTGATGGATGCTGCTGACTTGGTTGGACCACATGCATGAGGAATGTAAAATGCAAAGACCAAGTGAAGATAAGAAGTGAGCTAGTGATGTGGTGCTTTTAATAGGGTAACTGATTCAAAGAGCTGTCTCCAAAGTGGCTGGTTCTTTTTTAAAGCAAAGTCACAAATATAGATAATGCTTGGCAGAAAGCATGATTTTAAAAAAACGTCTGTTTGCAGATGTCACTTCAGAAATAGAAATAACTGCTGCAAGGCATCATACCTGACCTCAAAATGCTGAACTGATACTGACAGAAATTTGGTGTGCAATGCATCATCTGTTCTTTCACACCTCATGCACTTGTCAGTAAGCCTCTGCTAAAGTTCATGTTCGTGGAAAAGATTTAAAAAAGGTGTAATCTAACTCAAAGTTAAGAGAGCAGATTGTGGTTGCTCCTCAGACCAACAAAAACCTGTTGGTCTGGTCATTTGATCTGAACTTGAGATAGCCGAATGCTTGTGACTGTACTTCTTTTCTCTGTTTCTCATGTTGAGAGTTGTGAGAACTCCACGCCTCATTTCTTTTGATTTCCCGTTTTTTCTTTAGTGTCCAGTTCAAACTTTCTGACAAATCAGAGTTTCAGACGTGCACACAGAGATGAGCTCATCCTTGCTAATAGCTTTTCTTCTCTACAGTCTCAGTAATTTGTAAATTATTTACAGGATCGTTGATATGAAGATGATTGAATGCCTTAATTGCAACATTTTTACCTCCTTCTCACTTGCTAACTTAAATGAGGAGATGTGTTTTATTATCATGTTACTTGCTAAGAAGTTGATATCTTGGTTTGTCATCTGTTTGTTTCAGACTGGCTCTCTGTGTCAGGCTCTGAGTCTCAGACTGTAGAGGTCCAGGCTGGTGAAGACGTCACTCTGATGTGCATGAACATGAGCAAAACTGATGTTGAAACATTCTGGTTCAGAGCTGTCAAGAGAACAAAGATCAGCTGTATCTCTGTTTTGTTACTGTCTTCCAAAGAAACAAAGTTTTGTGATGGACACAATCAAAGTAAATTTATTATGTGGTCCAACATCTCAACTCTGTTCCTCAAAATCAAGTCCGTAGGACTGGATGACTCTGGACTTTATTTCTTTCATTCATTAGCTTTGTATGTACTTATTAACTGTGTATTGTTTTTGCTTTTTGCTTTTACTGTAAAGCGCTTTGTGACCTTTGTCTGTGAAAGGCGCTGTATAAATAAAGTTTACTTACTTACTTACAATGTCCATCTTTCAGTCTGATTCATCTAGAGGTCAATGGTAAGGTGTTTTGTATCTTTTTCTGTATTTTATCTCATTAATTCATGGTTATTGTTGTGTAACAATATCTGTAAACATCTTGAAACAACATCTTCCATGTAATTAGTGGCTTTTACATTTTCGATTTGAATCACTTGGAATGCAATGAAGGTTTCTCTCTTTCTTAAAAGGGCAGGGATGAGACTTATGAAGACGACGCGGGCAGCGAGATGTTTTTTTTAAGTTTGTTTTATGTAGCTTCTTAAAACAACATCCCTGTGTAATATGAGGATTTTATATTTTAGATATGACTCATTTAAAATGAATCAGGACCTAAGGTTTTTCCATATTTGAAATGCAGGAGATTCAATTCGGCATAAAAAGAAGGCATGGGCTTCAAGATTTTAAGTAAGATCTTTCTCAGGACTTCTTTGGTTGAGACTTCTATTTGTTTAAAGGGGACCTGCCAAATTTCATACCCATTTTTATCATTTTTTCATAATCCTTCATGTCCTCTGATCATGTTTGCAACATAATTTTAGCGGAAAAGTTATTTGATGGTTTGTTTTAGTATGCCTAAAAAACCTTACAGGAAAACCAACTGATTTTGGCTCATTAACATTTATGGTAATGAACTTTGCTCTGATTGGATCGCTGCTGTGAAGCCTGCTGTGCTCTGATTGGCTCAGCAGTGGAGGTTGGGATTTCGGTTTATCCATTTTGCTAATGTGTGCTAAAGTAAGGTGCCCAGATGTCTGTAATGATGTCCGGGGATATTTGGTGCGGCGGCGGTGGCGGGGAGGGTGCAGAGGGTGCAGGGGCTGCAGGGGCTGTGTGATCACAGACAAAATCTCGGTACTATTTAGTAGCAGTGCATGCCCCTTGTAATAACCCCCGTAAGAACTGTTGTTCAGGACTGCTTACTTGTGCTTCCTACCCATTCGGCTACTGTAATAACCATTGTTCGAGCCCACAGGCAACATTTTTGCTCTCATTCATGAAACGCTTAAATCGGGGACATTTTCAGGGACAGCTTTTGCCGGGGACAGGTCATCCAATACGGGGACTGTCCCTGGAAATCAGGGACGTCTGGTCACCTTATGCTAAAGGCTAAAAATGGCAGGTATTAAACCATATATTTTAGACCCTGAGTCTGAAGAGGAGTGGAAGTTGAAGAAGAAGCCGGAGATCTCCAGCGGTGTTTTCGCATTCATTCTGCCCAGCTTTAAGTTCATTTTCACGGCAGTGAACCCAAGGAAACACCGGTCGTTTGGAAGAGACCCATAGCGGTTACAGTGGTAGCTGGGTCTCACTCTGGCTGGAGAGTGATGTTGACTGAGAATGAGCACGAGAATGAGAGAGTGGGCGCGGCTTTTGCGCTTTCATACTTTTAAAGTCTTTTAAGATAGCAGAATCATTTCAAATCAGTTTATTTTATTTTTCTCACTCAATCATCTGTTTATTGTGTTTGTCCCTACAGAATGATTCATGTAAAATGCAGCACTGAAGGAAAGGACCAGACCAGAGAGAGAAAGAGATTCATGTTATTACACAGCTGCTGAGTAGACTCAACCTGTTTCAGGATTCAACTGATGCTTTTATCAAGTATTATGTAGTCTATGTCCCATTTGTTATTTTCCATATATACATGTGTACATATATCACAGTATATAGCAGTTGTTCCTGCTCACAGCTAGTTTAGATCAAATTTAACTTATTATGTTGTGACAGGAATCAGTGGAAGTGGATAGTAGACTGATCTTGTCCAAGCAACCTCATTATTTTATATAACACATATTACATATAATTCTTTACTTTCCAATCAGAGGTTTTTTAGCTCATACAGACGACAAGTGTACCTAAGACTGTCTGGCTGTTCATAATATGTCAGCCACTTTGACTTTTTGTAAATATGTTTACATGTTCAAAATAAAAGAACAATAACAGCAGCACTTCTTTCTGCAGGAGTGGAGTAAATGAGGAACAACACTTTGTTTGACATGAAGTGATAGCAGTGTGAAAAGAGGTGATGAACCTCCAATTTGACTTTATTTGTAGAAAGAAAAACACTCCGGTGTCACAGTGAGTGTTCATAAAGCTGAGAGTAAATTTCTTAAAGGAGGAAATACTTCATAAAGTCCTAAGTAGACCCTCTTCCTCCTATTGTTGGCATTTGTTAAGTTGTGGGTGAAATGATATTGTCAGTCCAGACCCCCTCAGACCATCTCTATATGAGGCTATAGCTGTAGTCAAAGCCGTTAGATCACTAGTGATCTATCTGTGCTTTAGCATGCAATTAAAGATCTATTAACTGTTAAATCCTGGAGTGATGAATACAAATTGTGGTTTTGTAAATGGAGTCAGTGTGAAGATATCCTAGACCTGCATTTTCTGTAATTACCAGCAGGGGGAACTGTTTTTCAAATGAAGCGTATACTTGTCATGCAGAAAAAAATGACCTTTCCCTTCAATTCCTGTATTATGAAATAAAACCCTTGAAACCTTTTGTCTTTTCTTCCAGTATGAAATGTTAGTTAAGGAGTTTGAGTACATTATAAACTGAAAGTACAAACTTTTCTTTTGATAAACTATTGCACACATTGTAATATTTAATGTTAAATTAATCTACATTAGCAAAATTCTAACCTTATTTTCCTTTTTTTAAATGATTATTATAATTTTTTAAAATTGACTCATCAAAACTTAGTTTTTAGAAGAAACAGTGAACTTTACCATGTGGTCCAACATCTCAAACCTGTTCCTCAAAATCCAGTCAGTTAGATCAGAAGACTTTTCACAAAACTTTATTTCTGTTGATTTTATGGAGAATGTCCAGCTTTCAGTTTTATATATCTAAAGATAAGCAGTAATTGTCGAACCTAACTTAATCAACCTTACGTCTACTTCAAATGTTGAATTTTTTTCATCTAAGATATCATAACCCTGCACTCACATACCAAAATCTACATCAGGTATACAGTATATCACTGATAGTTTTTGATCGATATTGTTGTGATATCTATCCTGCATGAGAGTCTCTACTCAGCATCAGCTCTAAACAGACAGTCTGGATCAGAGAGGGATGTGGAGACTCAGGTTATTTACACTGCTGGGACAAAGCGCTCTCAATGGCTTTGATGTGTCTCACCTCTGTCCTCAGCTAGTGATAGATATCTCACCCTGCTGTCTTTTAACCGTAGAGCCTTACAAGAATCTTTGCCACAGAAAATGAGGAAGTGATTATCAGCAGCTTGCAGTTTAACCCTTGGCCTGTCACCTTCAACTTAGCGGTGGTTTCACATATTCAGAATAACTGTATAAAAAAATAAAAATAATCCTTCTTATCAACCGTTTTGTTTGCTTATTCAGGGCATAAAATACCAGTGTCCATTTCTGATCTAAAGCCAGATAAAAACTCTTACAGGAGCTTTAAAATACAATTTTTAACCCATGTTTTTGTGTCTGTTGCTTTGAGTTGCCAGGTCACTCAGCATCAGAACTAGTTTAATAAATCAGGGTTGCTTTCAAGGTCAGACCTCTGGGTCAAACATGGTCACAACAAAACTAAACTGGTGGTATTGAGAACAGTAAACTCAAGATACACCATATAATGCTGCTGTAATTTTAATGACCCCTGATGTTTCAGGGTGCTTCTCGTGCTGGTAAATCTTTTCAGCTGTTTTTGATATGTTTCACATTAAATAATCAATTTTTGACAACCTCACCTGTGGACTATTTCAGCACCATCACAGTATTCACCCACACTTTTCAGACATACAATACAATTTTATTTGTAGAGCACATTTTAAAAGAACCGAGATGACCAAAGTGCTTTACATAGACATTAAAAAACAAACAAAATTAACACTCAGTGAAATAAAAGAGCGGACCAGGTAAAAGAGATTAAAAAGTAATCAATAAACAGACAATATGTGATTAGGTTGTGTTAAAAGTCAAAGAATAAAAGTGTGTTTTGAGACTTGATTTTAAAATAGCTAGAATGGGGGCTTGTTTCACATGAGGGGGAAAGAAATTCCATAGTCTGGGGCCAGCGACAGAAAACGCACAGTCCCATCTGCCCTTGAGTTGTGTTTGAGGGATTTCAAGGAGCAATTTGTCTGTGGATCTGAGGGACCGAGAGGGGACATATGGCTTTAAAAGTTAAGTCAAACAAAAAGGCCCATTAAGCACTTTAAAAACAAACATTGAGATCTTAAAATCAACTCTAAAATGTGCCAAGACTGGAGTTATATGGTCACATTTGCGTGTACAAACAGACATGACTGATTCATGCTAAATCATGTTAATTGTTGGATATGTTGGATTGAATGAGTTTAATGCATTTCTTTTTGCTTGCTGTATGTGTTTGTGGCCTTCTGCTTCTGCTTTGTTACCTCCTAAATATCCTAAATTCCTGATATCAGTTCAATCTGGAGAGAAAAGTTCAAGAATGAAAGGACAATTATTGAATTAATGTTGCATGACAGAAAGTCTTGGCGTTTGGACTCTGTGGGGAGATTTTAGAAATTGTATGGTGACTGATCTAAGCAGTGGGAAAATCCCCCCTTTAAATCCTGACACTGGTGGTGGCTGAGGACTCAGTTGGAGCAGATGCATGATGAATGTAAAATGCAAAGACCAAGTGGAGATGAGAAAGTGAGCTGGTGGTGTGGTGCTTTTAATAGGGTGACTGATTCGGAGAGCTGGTTCTTTCTAAAGCGGAGTCACAGATATAAATATTGCTTGGGTTGAAAGCATAATTTAAAAAAACGTCTGTTTGCAGATGTCACTTCAGAAATAGAAATATCTTCCTGACCTCAAAATGTTGAACTGATACTGACAGCAATTTAGCGTGCAACACATTATCTGTTCTTTTACATCCCATGCACTTGTCAGTTGTGTCGTGTTGACTGTAAAAAAAAAAAATGTGTAATCTAACTCAAAGATGAGAAAGCTGATAGTGGTTGCTCCTCTGACCAACAGAAACTGCTCTGAAGTCCGAGGACAGTGGCGCAGTACTTCCTGTTATTTATGGGTGCATTTGTGAGAGGGTAAAAGGGGCATTACAGTTGGAAATGTGTTCTTTGACTTTCACGCACAAATTTAAACTCAAAATAAGATATCTGTATTTTGCAAATCAAGTAAAAATTGAGTGTATATGGGGTCAGAGAGCTGGAAGATTCAAGAGTTTTTCCACCCTCTTTACGTCATGATACTGCTCTCATGCCATCTCCTCATAACCTTCAGCCCTGCATGGCCCTAAAGCTTTAACCTCTTTTAAAGAAGAGCAGTGGCTGAGTGAATGAGGAACAAACAAAACCATGTGGTCTGAGGCGGCAAATGGTACAAGACCTGTGAACAATAAACCCAGAGTAGGTAAACAAAACTGACTGTTTGAGTCTCTTTTTACTTGATTGGTAAAAAATGTCAAAAGCTTTCAAAACACACAGAATACAAAATTAAAGCAAGTGCTTGTCTGAACCCTGTTGTCACAGTAAGTGTTTGTAGAGATAACAGGAAACTTAAAAGGGAAGGTACTATCTAAATTCAAGGTTCGACCTCATCTTCTTTTTCTAAACCTATATTTGACTGGAGTTGAGGTAGCAGTGTCTGCAGCCCCCAAACCCCAGACCACCTCCTTGTGTGCCCAGCAGTGATGGTTCTCATGCTGGATTGTGTGGTCTGACTTGGCGACAGAATAGTTATCACTGATAAACCAGGAACATTCTCGACTGTGAACTGAGACATCTCATCGTTATAATACTCCCTCCTGTATGATCACAGATGTCAAAGGGGACAAAAACAATTGTAATCCATGACAGTTCACCACAAAGTTTTTATCATGATCCAATTCTTGTTTTTCTTGTTCATTAACTACTTAATGACTCCTGTGATTTCATAACTGTATTTTATTATAAACTTCATTTGACCTCAACTTCAGACAGCTGAATGCTTATGACTGTACTTCTTTTTCTGTCTGTTTCTCACGTTGACTGTGAGAACTCCACGCCTCATTTCTTTTGATTTCCCTTTTTTCTTTTTTGGTGTCCAGTTCAAACTTTCTGACAAATCAGAGTTTCAGACATGCACACAGAGATGAGCTCGTCCTTGATAACAGCTTTTCTTCTCTACAGTCTCAGTAAGTTTTAGATTACTTCAGCGTCGTTGATATGATGATGATTGAATGTCTTTATCGCAACATTTTCACCTCCTTCTCATTTGCTAACTTGAGTAAGGAGATGTGTTTTATGATCATGTTATTTACTAATAAGTTTATATCTTGGTTTCTCATGTTTTTTTAGGCTGGCTCTCAGGCTCTGAGTCTCTGGAGGTCAAGGCTGGTGAAGACGTCACTCTGATGTGCATGAACATGAGCAAAACTGATGTTGTAACATTCTGGTTCAGAGTTGTCAAGAGAACAAAGATCGGCTGTATCTCTGTTATGATCAGATCCAACAGCAATCCAACATTTTGTGATGGACACAATCAAAGTAAATTTAACATGTCGTCCAACATCTCAACCCTGTCCCTCGAAATCAAGTCCGTAGGACTGGATGACTCTGGACTTTATTTCTGTGGGTTTTATGGCCAATGTCCATCTTTCAGTCTGATTCATCTAAAGGTCAATGGTAAGGGGTTTTGTTATCTTTTTCTGTATTTTTATCTCATTAATTCATGGTTATTTTTTGTGGAACAATATCAGTAAACATCCTGAAACAACTTCTTCCATGTAGTCAGTGGCTTTTACATTTTAGATTTGAATCAGTTAAAATACAGTTAAGGATTTTCTCTGTGTTAAAAAGGCAGCGATGAGACTTATAAAGAAGACATGGGCAGCAAGGTTTCAGGTAAGGTTTTTCTAAAACTTTGTTTACCTTCAACATAACAAAGTGGCTTTGAATTTAAATTTGTTAATATTTAAATAAATTCAAGACCAGAAGAGCTTTATATCTTTAAAAGGCAGCGATGAGGCACACGGGGACAAGAGCAATAGTCTTACATGTAAGATTCTTTTTTTGGATTTATTCCTAACATAAACATCCAACATCTTTAAATACAGTTGAGGTCACATAATAGAATCTGATGGATATTGCTGATAATAATGATGATGGTCTATTTTTAAAAGGGAAAACTGAAACAGCAACACTGGTGTGTGCGATCCTGGGTGGTGTGTCTGCTCTGCTCCTGATGGTCATGATGGGTTTGTTTTTTAAAAACCGAAAACTTCGAACAGGTACTTTTTACATTTTATATTCTATTGAAGCTATTGAAAATTCATTCAATCTTAATGTTACTTAAAGGTTGCATTTGATAAACTTTTTTTTTGTCATAGCTAATAAAGGAGGACAGAGCCTGGGACAGAGTGAGGTACATCTACCCTGGGTTACTTGAAAGGCGCTATATAAAACTAAGTTTTTATTATTATTAATTTTATTATTATTATTAATATTAGTAGTAGTATTATTATTATTATTATTATTATTTATTTCTGTTTTTACTTGTGTGAAATTGATTGATAGAGAAAAAATGATATTCACCTTGCTGATGTCAGTTTATGTACTAGGCACTATGTATTATCTGCTTTTTATATATAAAGTCAATCCACCAAACACTCAACGTCATTTAGATGTCTTTTTTCAGGCTAAATCATGTCGGCCCATCATGGCTGTAATTTAGCCCAAAAAAAGACGTTGAAAACTGGGTTTTATTTAGACGGTCTGAATCTAGACGTGGTTTAGACATATTGTGAAGACGTCTTTTCAACGTTTTTTCAATCGCTTTTTGTTGGGTGGGAATAAACTAAATAAAAAATGTAAAAATAGGAGAGAATAAACATGTCCTTGAATGTTTCTTTAAAAAAAGTCTTGGTGTTAATAATATCTGTTTGCCTAAAAATCCTTGTATGTTGTTTTATCATTGGTATGAAAGCATGTCATGTGTAAAACCTCTCTTCACAGACTGCGGCTGCTGAGGACCTGAACTACGCAGCTGTAAAATTTCGACCTAAAGGAAGAAGAAGAGAGCCGGAGCCAAATGTCATTTATGCCGCTACCAGATAGAGAGAGGAGGCTACTACAGCAACTTACTGTAAAGTGTCGCTTAACAAGTGAATGAAGAAACAATGTTGTATATAGTAGTTTCAAAATGCTTTGGGCTTTTGGTATGTCTTAAAAGTGAGAGTAAACCAAGCTTTTAAAAGAAGTAAAGATCAGATGAATGATCTGAACTGTGAAGCTTTACTTCTCAAACTGTCTTTTCTTTTATCTGAAGTCTATTCAGGCATGAAAATCAGTACAGTGTTTTATGTGGGATTTACCGCTAAAGTACGTAGCCCCTGAAGGGACATGAAGGGAAAAAAAAAAAAAGAATTTTCTCAAGATTTTTCGCATGCCCTCGCAAAACTACTGTGAGATCTTGCAAATGTTGTCTCAGGAGTTCATGGCCAGTGTATTTCCTCAAAAATATTAGAACATATGCAGCCGTGGGAAAGGTTCATTAATTTTATTTTGAACAAATTTTCTGCCCACCTTGTCCTTTTGCATGTTAGTGATGTCCTCATTCGAGACATCCCTTGACCGTAGGAATTCTTTCAAACCCTCCTTCATGACTTGTGTTTTTTAAGTAAACAGTGCGTGTGTCACATAACTAATTTAATATCTTTTTATCTGAGGCCAATCTCAAAAGAAGATGCAATGAACCTCTCCCAGGGGTGCATGCATTTGGGTTCACTCAACAAGGAAGAAGTACACTGATCTATAATCTTTTTACTTATAACCCTTCGACAACTTTGTGTGCTCTTGCAATAGTTTTGCGAGAGCACGCAAAAAGATCTCGTGAAAATCCTTTTTTTTTTTTTTTTCCTTCATGTTCGTTTAGGATCTCCATAGTAAGGAGTATTATCACAATGTGTTTAACAATCATAGCATGTAAAATATTGTACTAGACACGAAAAGGTGAGATGCTAAAGCTCTGAAAACAATCTTGATATCCGCAGACATGAAACCTAAAACCTGAGGACTGAGCAGCAGAAATGTGAGACAAGAGGTGTGATGCAATGAGCTGCAGAACAAAAGAGCCTGACAGTGAGACTCCTGTACTATAAATACAATCCGTACAGATGCAATAAAAATCCCCTTTAAACTCAAATCTTGGTCTTAGCAGTTTCTATTCATCAACAAGTTTTTTGGGTTTTTTTTCCAAATTAGCTTAAAGGCTATAATTTGAATAAAGTGAATAAATGAATAATAGAGTTCGCAGCAGTGAATGAGGAACATCACTTCTTTGACAGGAAGAGACAGCACAGTGTGGTCTGAGGTGGCAAACTGCCTGAAGCTTGTGACCCACCACCTAACAGCTTTTTTCAGTTTTTTGCACATAAAAAAACACACACACTGCCCAAAAATGAAGCAACACTCTCAGAAGTGAAGATTTGAGCCCTCTCTTCACATTATCTGCCTTTCTAGAGCTGAGCTTGATGTAGCATTTTCTGCAGTCCTGTAGAGGATGTACTGTGTGATTAATACCTGTTAACACCTAATACCTCAAGGCTGGTCACTACTAATCTGATCACAAAAAAGCACACGCTGACACCAGGATAAATCTAAAGTCATTGATTCAACTGGGTTAGAGTCAATAAAAATAAATTCAAACAATAACCATGACTCTAACACTAACTCCATAAACCTCCAATTTCAGGAACTTTACTTTAAATCAGCTGATTAAAACCAGCTGTGACACTTGCGTATATTCTATATATTTGTATATTCTTTTTCTTAGCAACATGCCTGGTTTCACATTGAAAATATCACATAAAAATACCACGCCTTCTTCATTTCAACTTCCTTTTTTGGTGATTTTTTTTTCAAAACAGCAGATGCATCAGAACCTCAGTCGTACACACAAAGATGAACTTGACCTCGGTGACAGCTGTACTCCTCTGCAGCCTCAGTAAGTATGAAATTATTAAACTAAAGATGCTAACATGAATAAACAGATGTATTTCACCTTGCTAATAAGTTCATATTTCAGTCTCTCATCTGTTTGTTTTAGGCTGGCTCTCTGTCTCTGGCTCTGAGTTTCAGACTATGGAGGTCCAACCTGGTAAAGATGTCATTCTGCAGTGCTCCAACATGAGCAAATATGACAGTAACACATTCTGGTTCAGAGTTGTCAACAGAACAAATGTCAGCTCTATCTCTGTCATGTCCAGAGTTAAAACAAAACCAGAATTTTGTGATGGAAACGATCAAAGTAAATTTAACATGTCATCAGACATCTCAACTCTGTTCCTCAAAATCAAGTCTGTAGGACTGAACGACTCTGGACTTTATTTCTGTGGGTTTTATGAAGAAGGACGTCCAGCTTTCAGTCTAAATCAACTTAGGGTCAAAGGTGAGTTCAATTCAACGTTTTTCTTGCACTAACTATTTTTTAACAGGTAACTTTCTGAAACCAACATTATGAACTGAAAACTGAATCTAAATTGTGCAAACTGAATTGATTTTTTTTTTATTATTATTTTTTTTAAAAAAGTTGAATTTTCATGTAGGTTAAATACGAGAGATAAATTAAGTTCCAAAACATTCATTTCAATTTCAAATCCTGCTTTTCAAACTCATTATAATTATTCAATTTCAGTTTCTTGTGGTATAAATCTCAGCCCATACAACATCTAAAAAACAAGTGACTTGTATTTTTGGTTCATTCCAATAAAATCAAGACCAAATATTTGTTTTTTATATCTTTCATAGGCAGCAGTCAGGCTCATGGTGGTGCAGACACTGAGAAGACTGGTATATTCTTTTAAAGATTCATTTTATTGCACTTTTATCTGAAACTGTTTAACAGTTCAAAGTTGTAAAAAGAAATGTTTCTACAAAAATAGATGATGTTTTTCCAGGAGATGGAAGTGACAGAATATTAACTCTGGTCAACGTGACCCTGGGTGGTGTGACCTCTCTTCTCGTGGTGATCATCATCGGTCTGGTCATTGACAACAGAAGGCTTGAAACAGGTACTTTTTATGCTTAATATACTGTTAATGCAACTAGTAATTAAAATTATGAGGAAAAAATGATTTGTTAAAAAAACAATATTTAAAGAGTTGTTTTTCTTCTACTCAGCTGAAAGAGGAGAACAGAATCCAGGACAGAGGAAGGTAAATCTAGTTCTCAAAAACTTCAGATGAACTGTTTGGCATTAGTGAAAAACAGAGAAGTGTTTTTGTCATGCTTAATCAGTTTGTATTGATATAAGACATTCATTCTTGTGAAATTATATCATAAATGAATGAACATTTCACAACTTTAAGAGATCAGAGTGTTTTTCTGTAGTTTCTACACTGTTGTCAAAGTAAAAAGACCAAATATCGACATTATTATCTGTACCTACCCAAAAATTCAGATTTTTATTTATGTGTTTATTTTTTGCATATTTTGAGTAACCACATTCCAACTCTGAATCCTCTTTTCTCAGACTGTGGCCTCTGATGATGTCAGCTACGCAGCAGTAACATTTCAACCTAAACGACACAGAAGACGAAGAGAGCCAGAGCCAGATGTTACTTATGCAGCTACCAGATAGAGAGAGAGGAAATAACTAGAGATTATGTTGTATCCTTAGATTTCATAAAGCTTCAAACATGTAAATGAGAGTTAACCAGGCTTTTCTTTAAAACAAAAAAAAAAAGAAAAAGAAAGTGACTTCAGGATGGGGTACGGTGTTTCTGAAACTGAGAGTTTGTTGACAGTCTGCTGAAGTCAAGTGTCATGAGTTATGCTCATGAAATTTGTTCAATCTGTAGTTTGTCATTTCCTGTTTTATTTTAAACAATTTATCTGGTGTTACCAACTTTGGAGTTATTCTTATTCTAGTTTTGCTGCTGTTGCTTTTCTTTTCTTTTTCTTTTGTTCCATGATCTCCTCTATTTTTTTTTTTTTAATCTCATCTGAATTTAGTGTTTTTAATTGGATTGTCTCTTTGTAGGAATTATAATTTTAAGTGGTTAATTTGTTCTGGCTTTTTTTTTTTTTTTTTTTTTTTTTTTTTTTTTTGCTAAATAAACTGTTTTGTTTTTTTTTACTCTGTGCTTGTGTCCTCATCTTTTTTTTCCACACTGGTGCATCTATAAAGCTCAATAACAATTTCTGTGAGTGATAGCATTCATAACAGCTTATAACCATGTTTATAAAGTGTAAGAGGCAGTGAGGGGGCATGCATTATAAAGATATGCTTCATGACTCATTTTACCTTCATGCAAAAGAAAAACGGCCTGTTTTGAAATCTGGGTTAATTAACATTTTATAACTCTCACAACTTTACCTGTTTATCAAGGTTTATGAAGAAATCATCCTACATGTCATCGAAAAAGCTATAACTTCTCTGGTTCTCAATTCGGAAATGTCTTATTGATACTCTCACATTAATGTGCATTTCTGTTTTATTTTATGGAGAATGTCCAGCTTTCAGTTTTAAACATCTAAAGATAAGCAGTAATTGTCGCACATAACTTAATCAACCTTACATCTACTTCAAATGTTGACCCTTTTCATCCTATACATCATAACACTGCACTTACATACCAATATCTACATCAGATATACTGTATATTACTAATAGTTTACGATACATATTGTAGTGATATCTATCCTGCATGAGAGTCTCTACTTTGCCTTTAGTGTCCTTATGTGAAGATTTCTTTAACTGACTAATTTCATGTTTTGAGATAAAATGTTTTCACTTAATTATGTTTGGTCCAAAGTTTCTGGAAAAATAAAATAAATTCTTAATATTGCAGCAGAGGATGACGGCTCAACAAAGATAGTGACTGTGAAGGGGATCCTGAGTGTCCTGACTGTTCTACTCATGACTATCATAATCGGTCTGATTGTCAGAGACAGAAAACTTCAGTCAGGTATCCAAAGACAACTTCTGGACATCCATTTTTACCCAATATTTACTTTAATTTAAAAATGTATTCTCTTTCAAAAATACTTTTAATTTCAATGTAATATATTCTCAGTGCAACAAATATATAGTCAGCTCACTGATTTAACTAAGGGTGCTAAGCAGTAACAGACTTTTGAACAGTTTGCAGGGAATCAGGCTCTTCTGTTTATTTTGACTTGTGATGGGACTTTCATGATAGATGAACTAATTACATAATATGAGTGCACCAAAGTCATAACTCAGTTCCTTACTGATGCTTAAACTGTCCTAAAAACAAAATTAATCAATAAAAATTGTGAATTAAACAAATAAGAGTAATCAAAATATATAATATTATTACGTTGCAGTTTTATTGTTCAGGTGTTTCTATAATCAGTCTGAGACCTCCAATCGCTCCGCCTCTTCACAATGAGCCAACTTTCACTGCAGTTCAGTTAAGTTGCAACCTAACAGTGGGGCAGTCAAAGTGTGCACACAATGATGGGCCTCACCTTGATACCAGCATTACTCATTACATTCAGTAAGTACATCTGTCAATGTCTGGTCAATATGACCATTTTAAACCTCCTATCAGCATGGTTCTCTACTAAAGTTCATCTATTGTTTGGTTCTTATTGAATTCATTTGATGTTGACTGATTTAGGTTGGATATCTGTCTCGGTGTCTGAGTTTCACACTCTGGAGGTTCAACCTGGTGAAACAGTCACACTGCTGTGCTCCAATTTTTCCAGCTTGCCTGAACACATATCGTGGTTCAGACTGAACAGCACAGCCAATGTCAGCCAAATTTCCTCCATGTCCTACTCTGATGATAATGTAACATACTTACCTGCTTTTCAAAACAAAACATTTGAAATGACGTCCAACCTGAGTCACCTTTTTCTCAAGATCAAACAAGTGGAATTATGTGACTCTGGACTGTATTTCTGTGGATTTATCTCACATAGAAACCCAGTTATTGTCAGTGCAACATATTTAAAAATTCAAGGTAAGTCAGTATTATAGTGCTGCTTTTTGATTTGAAAGAAATAGATTTTTGAACCAAAAAAGGATCTATCTAACTCCAGATTGCTCTACCATTAGATTTGATGGATTATCTTGTTTATAAGTTTGTAAGACAACACAGTCTGACAAATTTCATCCTGGATCCTGCTCAGATTTCCTACAGTAATCTTTTTCTCTGGTTCTCTTTTCAGTGTGATATTTGGGATTGATTAAAAATAATCTTTTCTATATGATAAAGAGACATTAGAGGATACAAATAGGACTTTTTCACAGTTTCTTTAATTGCATCAAAGTCTCCTGTATCTAATATCTAAGGTCAAACACCTAAACCTTGTCCCTAAAGAAACAAAAGACTAATACTATCATTAATTTTGCAGCAAAGGGTTAGAGATTAACAAAGATGGCAAATGTGATTTTGCACAAAGTTTCTGGAAAAGCATCTAACTCAAAGTTTCATATAGTAGCAGAGAGCGAATGCATAACAAAGATGGGGACTGTGATCGTGATCCTGGGTGTCCTGACTGTCCTCCTGGTGACTATCATGATCAGTCTGACTGATAAAGTGAGAAAACTTCAGACAGGTACTTTGAGACAACTACTGATTAACTTATTTCAGGTTAAATATTGCTACACAGTCTGTATGAATGAGTGTCAGCATGAAATACAACTTAAACTTTAAAGTAAGCACAGCATAAACTAAAATAAAGCATGTCAGTTTACACATTTGACATATCATCTCTTTCTTTTAGCTGCAAAAAAAGAGAAGTCTCAACAGTTTGAGGTAAATCAAGTGTTATTATCCATCAACTTTGATTGTAAATACCTAAAAGATTAAAGATGATGTAGCTTTCTTTTCACAAATGTAGTTACTGACAGTTTTTATTTTTTGTGTCCTTGATACAGATTCTGGACTCTGGTGATGTGAAGTATGGGGCGTTGACTGTCTTCTCACCAATGGCTCTGAAAAGAAGGACTGGATCAGAAAGAGAAGTGGAGACTCATGTCATTTACACTGCTGGCAAATAGGATCAGAGTCGAACAAGATCAGAGCTTTTATCAAAGAACTTTTGGAGTTTGTGTCTCTCTGTCTCTCTCTGTGTCTAAAACAAAAAGTATTACGTTTTTAGTATTGATATGAGCGTTTTAAACATTACTCCCATTTATGTGAGTATAATACCATCTTTTCAATTTCACCTTTTATGTCTGACTGGTCCAACAAACAAAAGGTCCTGGAGTGAGATATACTGGTGGTCTCAGCACATGCTCATACAGAGGTGAAAGTCCTTGGTGCATCCGTTGCAGGTCTACTCTTGACCACGACCCTTTCCTGTTTGCCTTCCACCACTCTCTACTCTCAGCATGTTCTGTCTCTCTTTAGCTGCTCTCTCATAAAGACAAAAATTCCCCAAAATATGTTTTTACAATAGCTCAAAGCACGTTCTCATGAACCTGTATTCTTCACAATGGCCAGCAGGGGGAACTCTATTGTTTAAAAAAGAAGTGTATAAAGTCTATAGAGAAGTTACTTGACTCCTCTCTTTATTTGTAACCAAAATAAACCTTCTCATGACGATCCTCTGCTGTCAAATGTTCTTTTTAAGTGTCTTTAACAGCATGAATTCTTTTGATCGTTTTATGGACCCAGGAGTAAAGCAGGTTAGTCTCAGCTGTGTCGTTACACTGTGACTCACAAGTTTCCACAACCTGAACAGGATCATGTCTGGTGTTACTCCAGGGGGATTTTAAAAACATTTAGAAAAACGTCTGACGTTGCCTCAAATCTAAGAACCATGTGCCAACAAGTCACATAGATTTTGGCCAAAGGCTAGGATCTTGCAAAGACTGGGTAGCTAAAAGCAAGACTGGATCTAGATTACTGGGGGCATTTACTGAGCAGATTATCTTCAATAATAGTGGTATAATAATTAAACATATAACTAAAGACTAAAAAGTAATGAGTCAGTCTCATTGACCATGTTTGGCAGCTACACTTTGTGCAGAGAGAAGGAAGGCAACACCTCTGTCTGCACTGCAGCAGTGGTTGCATGAGAGAGGAACTCACACGCTGTTTGACACAAAAAGAGAGCAAAATGTGGTCTGAGGCAGCCAAGACTATGTGGTCTGTGAATCCATTCCTCTGAGAGAACACAGTCTGAAATAAGGCACAGATCATCAGACATCTAATTTTTGTTTCACAGAAATAATGATCAGCCTCTCATCATTGGAAGTAAAGCCATCAAAGCACACACACACTGTTCAAAACATAGTGACAGTAACTGCATGTACTTACTGTGATGTCAGTAGTCTGAAAATGAGCCCTGCTTAGGAAGGGAAGGAGGGGTAAAGTTCACTATGGATATTAGACCACTAAAGTGAAAGGAGGTGGAGGCCATAGGCTTTTAGTCAATTGCTTAATTTGACTCTTTGGGTCCACGACTAGAGTCTTTTCCCTGCATCCTCACCCTGGTTTATACCATATCATATGTAGAAGGTCCAGGTATCTCTGTACCTGTGCAGAAGCCAACCTGCACAGTCTGACACACAGCACCTCAACAATGTAACATGCGTTGAACAACACAGGCCGTGCACATTCCTGGTATCTCTGTCATCCTCTGCCTCAGGGGACATACAGCCCGTCTCCTCGATTGTGTCTCCTCTTTTTTACTTTGCAGTAAATGCAGTATCATCAACTGCTGCACAACAGACATCAAACATATTGTATTCAGGTTCAGGCCCCATGGTTTCCTGTACACAAAAAAAGGAGGAAATCAGCAACATGACCAGAACAGACATGGGTTAGGGTTAAGGTTAGGTGGCATAGCTACAGCATAGAGTCAATGCACAAGCATAAACCAGGCTTTGATTTCGTTCTGTCAGGGAACAGAAAAGCAGAGACTAGAGGATGTAGGGAGGTGTTATTTCATTAGTTAGTTTTAAGAATTAAATTTTCAAAACCCTTAAATGTTTGAAAACATCACTGGTATCTGGTAGGATTCCTGAGGCTTTTTTACTTACATAAATGTGATTAAGGCAATAAAACACCAGAGTTCTGCAGATTAGTGTGGATAAGTGTTAATTTTGTTGTTGAAGTAAAACTGGAACAAACTGCTGCTTTAGGGTTTATCATGCCACCACACCTTGTGATTAAAAAATCCTGCATAAAGATGTCCTGTGTATGAATTTAGTGGGCTTACAGTGTCTATACTGATCTGTGCAAAGGTGCAGCATGCTGCACATGCAGAGAGGGCATGACCCAAGGATGCACAAAATAGGACATTCAAAGGCAGCCCTGGTAATGTTTGTAAAGGCTTTATCAACCCTGAAGTTGTAAGTATCAAGTGGAAAGGTAACAGGAGGTTCTATGCAGATAGGGAAGAGATAAGGAAATGCCAGGAGGGAGGTTGGATAGATGGTATATGAAGACCTAAACAACACTAAACACATAAAACTGTCCAAAAATGTACTTTTGAAGAGATTTTTCATCAACAAGTCAGCCTCTTAGAAATTAAGTCATTATTTGTGTAGTAAGAATGTACACCATCTACAACACCACCGTCTACAACACCACTGTCTGTAACACCGCTGTCTGCAAGACTGCTGTCTGCAACACCGCTGTCTGCAGCAGTGGTTGTGTGAGTGCTGAACTCAGCTCTCAACAGGAAGAGACAGCAAAGTGTGGAGGTGTGAAAAACATATGGCCTGTGGCCCCCAATCTGTGACAAAAAAAGTCTGAAAGTCCTGGTCAGCTGTTTATCATAGTAAGTAAAACCATCAAAGTGGATAACGTAAAAGAGAAGAATATAGCAACTGAACAGCAAATGATGGAAAACTAGTGAGCCTTCAGCTACCGTCAAAACCACAAACATATCCTCCTCTAAGTATATCAGAACTGAATGAAATGGCAGTATTCTTAAAGTCACTTTTAGATGAATGAAAGTAATGAGAGTTTTAGTGGTGGTGAATCAACCTTTAGCTACTCCTTCCATCAAATGTCACACCTCAGACTGTGCACCTGCACAAACTCACATCACCTCCTCCATCTGAAAAGATGCCTATATCATCTAGGTGATACATCACAGTTTAACCACAAGGTGAGGTTCCCATCCATTTCCACCCCTATACAGGTTTTAACCTACTTAGCACTGCAATAACAGAGCCTGTTGCTGTCACCGGCCAGGTAAGATTTCAACAATTTTAACTTGTACCACCTCTATCAAAGATTTAACTGTTATCCAGATTTGTAGACTTTAGCATTCTGCATTTTTCTGCCTCAGCACAGCAGAATCACTAAACTGGTGCCACTGCTTTCCTCTGTGCAGAAGCTTTTGCTGAATGCTTAATTCATCAACCGCAATTGTGTGTAATAACGGTCATCATGTTAAAACTATAGGTCACAATGACCTTCATCATGCCACATCAGCAGTTACTTAATTTGAAAACCTGTCAACTTTTTCCAAGACAATGGTAAAGATCAGTGCTTTTAGTAACACCAGCAGGATTATGATAAACAATGTTTATGGTCAAAGTTTTCAGTCTAAATGAGCTGAATTACAGAATCTGGGTGCTAATGCAGAATCTAGGACCAGATTTTGGTATCCAGAAGAGTTTTCCAATTAAGTAGAAGTTACTGTTGCTGCTCCATGTCAACTCCATAGACTGTTTATAGAATAGACGCGGTCTGCCTCATCACTGGGTAAAGCCACCACGAGAACAGCACCCCCTGGTGGCGGGCTGTAGTATAAGTCATAAATCCCACCTCCTCCAGCAATCCCTATGGAGCTGTGGACAAACTTTATGAATTAGTTACACAGAATATACATTTTTCTCCCCCTGGTTGTGATGTTGTAGTTACTGTAAGACTGGTTTGTGCTCAAGTCCTTTTTTCCTGTGCAGCTTCATTTTTAAAAAGTTATTAAGGGGTTCATGTTTTTATGATCGACACTAGATACAGCCAATGGGCGTACAAAGATTGCGTTGCTCATCAAGGGGGTACGCTGTTTGAGCCGAGCGTCATCACAGCGACTTTCATCACAGCGACTTTTAGCGACTCTCCTGCCGAATGTGTACAATGTTACTGCGCCAACAGTGGTTCCAGGAAGTAGAGAAAATCCTGGAAATACAGAGAGCAATTCGGCATTAAATTCGTATCATGACGGAATGCAAAACCAAGTTGTCCATAGTGTATGCAGTCTACGGTTTCTTCACAGTGTTCCATACAGGGTCCCTGTAAAGATAAAACATCTAAGTGGGTGGAGGGATAGTCCTGATATGACAAAGAATGGTCAGCTCCAATATTGAGCTTGGTCCTCTGAATGAGAAGACTATCTTTCCACATCAAGATTGGAAACCCATCGTGATTAGTGTTAGCAAGTGAGTCTGAGTGAATCCAGGAATTACAGCTCATGTGTCTAAATGAAAATCAAAACTACCCACGGGGGCCTCTACAAAAGAAACATGTAACATTTAACTCAGAGAACAGCACTTGAAAGAAGTGCTGGTTCAGCTCGAATGAGGGAATACAGGTACTAGTCATATAATTAGAATATCATGGAAAAGTTGATTTATTTCAGTGATTCCACTCAAAAAGTGAAACTTGTATAATGTATACATTCATTTCTCACAGACTGACATATTTCAAGTGTTTATTTCTTTTAATATTGATGATTTTAACTGACAGCCAATGAAAACCCCCAAAGAGTATCTCAGAAAATTAGAGTATTGTGGATATAATATTGTGGTTCAATATTGAAGATACCTGGTGCCACACTCTAATCAGCTAATTAACTCTAAACATATGCAAAGGCCTTTAAATGGTCTCAGTCTAGTTCTGTAGGCCACACAATCATGGGGAAGACTGCTGACCTGACAGTTGTCCAAAAGACGGCCATTGACACCTTGCACAAGGAGGGCAAGACACAAAAGGTCATTGCTAAAGAGGCTGGCTGTTCTCAGAGCTCTGTGTCCAAGCACATTAATAGAGAGGCGAAGGGAAGGAAAAGATGTGGCAGGAAAAAGTGCACAAGCAATAGGGATAACTGCACCCTGAGGAGGATTGTGAACCAAAACCCATTCAAAAATGTGGGGGAGGTATGCAAGACGTGGGTTTCAGCTGTCGCATTCCTTGTGTCAAGCCTCTCTTGAACAAGAGACAGCCTCAGAAGCGTCTCGCCTGGGCTAAAGACAAAAAGGACTGGACTGCTGCTGAGTGGTCCAAAGTTATGTTCTCTGATGAAAGTAAATTTTGCATGTCCTTTGGTAATAAAGGGCCCAGAGTCTGGAGGAAGAGAGGAGAGGCACAGAATCCATGTTGCTTGAAGTCGAGTGTCAAGTTTCCACAGTCAGTGATGGTTTGGGGTGCCATGTCATCTGCTGGTGTTGGTCCACTGTGTTTCCTTAGGTCCAAGGTCAACGCAGCCATCTACCAGGAAGTTTTAAACCACTTTATGCTTCCTGCTGCTGACCAACTTTACGGAGATGCAGATTTCATTTTCCAACAGGACTTGGCACCTGCACACAGTGCCAAAGCTACCAGTACCTGGTTTAAGGACCATGGTATCCCTGTTCTTGATTGGCCAGCAAACTCGCCAGACCTTAACCCCATAGAAAATCTATGGGGTATTGTGAAGAGGAAGATGCGAAACGCCAGACTCAACAATGCAGAAGAGCTGAAGGCCACTATCAAAGCAACCTGGGCTCACATAACACCCGAGCAGTGCCACAGACTGATTGACTCCATGCCACGCCGCATTGCTGCAGTAATTCAGGCAAAAGGAGCCACAACTAAGTATTGAGTGCTGTACATGGTCATACTTTTCTGTTCATACTTTTCAGTTGGCCAACATTTCTAGAAATCTTTTTTTTGTATCAGTCTCAAGTAATATTCTAATTTTCGGAAATACTGAATTTGTGATTTTCATAATTTGTTAGTTATAATCATCAAAATTATAACAAATAAACACTTGAAATATGTCAGTCTGTGAGAAATGAATGTATACATTAAACAAGTTTCACTTTTTGAAAGGAATTACTGAAATAAATCAACTTTTCCATGATATTCTAATTATATGACCAGTACCTGTAGGTGCCCTATCTGGAAGGGCTAGTGTCCCTGTCACCGGTTGCAGGATTGTCTCATCATCTTCAAATGATACATACTGTAGTTAAACATGCTTGCTGAAGCAACTTCAATTTAAAACTACTAAATCCAACTCATCTTTATTTATAAAGCACTTTAAAACAACCACAGCTGAAACAAAGTGCTGTACATAAAAAACAAAAACAACTCAGACATAAAAACAATTAAAAACTACGTAAAAAAGGTTTCTCACCACTACATTTCTATTTTCTACATCTCTAGTCAGCCTGAGCACTGAATTACCAAAACAATGCCCCGCCTCTTCACATTGATCCACCTCCACTGCAGAACAATAGTTACAAACGGTACAGTCAGAGCAGAGCATGAGGATGATGGGCCATACCTTAATACCAGCTTTACTTTTTACCCTAAGTAAGTGCACCTGTCAATGTTTTATCAGTATGACCACTTTCTTTAAACACACTACTAATGTAGTCATGTATTGATTGGTTCTCATTGAATTCAAAGTGTAGTAATCATTTGATGTTGTCTGATTTAGGTTGGATGTCTGTCTCAGTGTCTGAGTTTTACACTCTGGAGGTTCAACTTGGTGAAACAGTCACACTGCTATGCTCCAATTATTCCAGTTTTCCTGAACACATATCGTGGTTCAGACTGAACAGCACAGCCAATGTCAGCCGAATTTCCTCCATGTTAGACTCTGATGGAAACGTAACATACTTACCTGCTTTTCAAAACAAAACATTTGAAATGACGTCCAACCTGAGTCACCTTTTTCTCAAGATCAAGCAAGTGGAAATATGTGACTCTGGACTGTATTTCTGTGGATTTATCTCACATAGACACCCAGTTATTGTCAGTGCAACATATTTGAAAATTCATGGTAAGTCAGTTTTATAGTGCTGCTTTTTATCTATCTATCTACTGTATCTATCTATCTATCTATCTATCTTTCTATCTATCTATCTATCTATCTATCTATCTATCTATCTATCTATCTATCTATCTATCTATCTATCTATCTATCTATCTATCTATCTATCTATCTATCATATCTATCATTTTACTGGTTATCTACGTACTGTATCTATTGTATCTATGTATATTCATTTTACATGTTTTCTTAGAGTTTATTAATGTAGTGCAATCAACATTTAGCAATGTGCATTAGTGTAAATATACAATAAATATACTGCCCCTGTGATCCTAAGCAGCCACTTACTGAAACAGAGATCATATGTTACAACTGTACTTAAAAAACAAATCACAGGATAGTTCACGGAACAGCACGTAAAATAACACGCTGGCAGTTTTTCATTCAAAGTGACACATTTTTTCCATTGTGGTCTACAAACCTATTGAGAGTAAACTGGTAAAAATTCAAAATGGACCTCCAGGAACGAGCATCAGAGGAGGCGACAGATAATATTCATGATTACATGACTGGATTGTTTTTAATCAACATCAGGTGAAGTAGTTCCTGAACATCTAGATATGAGCTGGTAGTGTGTTCCAGGGATGTGTACCTCTGACAGACAATTTGAAAGAAACAAATTTTAATTTGTCTTAATTTGCTAAATTAAAAGGCTATTATTACAATTTGTAAATATCTTTTTATCGTTGTTGAAGGGTTTGTTTTGGGAAATATCCTGGTCAAAGTGATCCCGGGTGCTCTGATTGTCTTCCTCTCCCTCCTTGTCCTAACTCTGGCTGTCATAATAAGAAAACTTAAAACAGGTAAGTTTATTGTGATTAAAATTGCAGAAATGTAGCAATTCAGAACCTTGTCAGTGCTAGAAGTATCAAGTTTGAAGTAATAACTGATCGTGTTTCATTTTTTTGTCATTAAGTTCATACAACAGAGGAGAAGAGCCAACAGAGAAGTGAGGTAATGAAGGTTTGAGCTGAAATTAAGTTAACATCAAGTCTGTTTGTATAACCAGATCTTTTATTGATGCATAATGTGTGACTCTTGCAGATTAGCGGCTCTGATGATTTGAACTATGCAGCGCTGGATTTTCATGAAAGAACAAAAAGCAGAAAAAGACCTCCAGCAGAGAATGAGATGGAGACAAATGTCTTGTATGCTACAACCAGATAGATTCTCAATTTTTTTTAACCTGAAAGTGTCTGTTTACTTTTGTTTTATTTGGAGGTTCTATCATTTTTATATTAGGGTTTAAGATAACAGTCTTCAGTTGATACGCCTATGACAATTCAATCATGTAATCAGAGATTTTCATGCAGAGATTTTCATGACTGTTGCTCACAAACTCTTGAAAGTGACTCAAAGGGGGCGAGACTGCAGGCCTCCTTTATACAAAGACAGTGCAGCTTTTACACCCACTGAGTCAGAGATTTTTTTCTTTCTCTTATATTCATCATTCAGGGTTGTTTTTTGTTTCATATTTTGGTCAAGTGTACTTAAACTCTAGACCAAATGTTACTTACTTGCTGAATATCAATAGTTTTCCATTTTTCCTGACTTACTGAAGGATGACAGATGACAGATTACACAACACACCTGCAGATGTTACATTCGAAAAATTTAACCTTAGCAAACGATCATTTATAATGTTGGCTTAAAAAAGACTGAAAGATAGCAGGAGACATGTATGCGTATATATGTGGCCTGTCAAATTGTTGGTCTTCAATTGTGGTCTGTTTAGAAATGTTCTGTGCTACTTTAAATAAAAAACTAAATGAAAACCTCATTGTTTCTTAATAATGTCATTTCCTGTGGTTTCTCACCAGATGACAATATACATTATGAGTGGGTAACACCCTCAGTGTTGAAAAAATACTGACAAAAGGCTGGGGGCCGAAGGGCGTTAATTCCTCCGAGTTGCTGTTAGTCTTTACTATTAAAGCATTCAAGTAAATTATGTCTTACGTTTCTTCTTCAGTCACTTGTGCCTGCTAAACCTGAGCAAATGAACCAACAAGACACTACAAAGCACATGCAAAGTGCTGCAAGGCAATTATCATCTCTTTGCTCCTGTTTGTTAACATTTACACAAGCAATTATGCACTCCTTGGATAAATCTCATTCACAAAAAAAAAAACAATATTCAGATATTCACAATTAGAAATGAATGTTTACATTCTGCTAACATTTGGAGGTACCTAATTTGCACTATTTACTGACTGGTAAAAGTGTTCCCTCCTCACAGCGCTAATCCTCTGCATGTGGACAGAGCTGAGTTCCATCAGGATGAGAGCTTCCAGTGCAGCTCTGCACAGCAGGGAGTGGAGACTGCTCATCTCCACAATTACACACTAAAACAGAAGCAAACTGCACAGAGTTGCGAAATTTTATGGATGTAATTCTACTTGTGGCTACAAATCATTCACAGTGAATTTTCTCAAGAGTTTGTTTTCAGCTAGAAGAGGAAAGAGGAGGCCTGCATCAGATAAAGAGAAGTGGAGAGTTGTGGTATATGCTGCCACCAGAAACACTCAAGGGGGAAACTGGAACTGCAGCCTTGAGTAGAACAGATTCTGAATCATTTTAGCTTGCATTTGTTTGCAACTAATGCACATGTGAAAATCTGAAATGGAAAATATAAAGTTTTCAGCAAGTATCACTAATGAAACTTACTAATGAGAGTCAGCGGGCAAACAGAAAAAAAAGATTTTTATACTGTGCATATCTGACCAGATCCTAAAAGCATATATACAGTACCACAAGTATGATAGACATAATTGGTAGTCTAATTTTCCCTTCATGACCTTCATACAATTTTCAAGAAAGTCAGTGTAGTGAACAGCAGATATACATAGAGACTCCATATTGAATTTAGTTATTGAATCCAGACCCCGTACTCAATAGCTTCACCTACTGCTAAATCTAGTTTTCTTTTAAGTCATCATTCATATGTAAGTTCTCACATTGCTGTCACATTTGTTTCAAATGCTGTCAGCCATGGAAAGGAGAAACATTTTTTAAGATGCGGTTTGGGGCATTTATGTCTTTACTACACTGAAGAAAAATATAAACACAACACTTTTGTTCTTGCTCCCATTTTTCATGAGCTGAATTCAAAGATCGAAGACTTTTCCTGTGTACACAAAAGACCTATTTCTCTCAAATATTGTTGACAAATTTGTCTAAATCTGAGTTTGTGAACACTTCTCCTTTGCTGAGATAATCCATCCACTTCACAGGTGTGGGCATATCAAGATGCTGATTAGACAGTATGATTATCGCACAGGTGTGCCTTAGACTGGCCACAATAAAAGGACACTCTAAAATGTGCACTTTTATCATGCAGCACACTGCAACAGATGTCACAAGTTTTGAGGGAGCATGCGATTGGCATGCTGACTGCAGGAATGTCCACCAGAGCTGTTGAATGTTCATTTCTTCACCATAAGCTGTCTCCGAAGGCGTCCTCTTCTTGTGGCCAGTCTAAGGCACACCTGTGCAATAATCATGCTGTCTAATCAGCATCTTGATATGCCACACCTGTGAAGTGGATGGATTATTTCGGTATAAGAGAAGTGTTCACATTCAGAGATTTTGAAAATTTGTCAACAATATTTGAAAGAAACAGTTTGTCTTTTGTGTATATAGAAAAAGTCTTCGATCTCTGAGTTCAGCTCATGAAAAATGGGATCAAAAACAAAATTGTTGTGTTCATATTTTTGTTCATTATATATAGGAAAGCTGAAGAGAGCCAGGAAATGTGAGAAGCAGAGGGGTGTCTAACTAGCTGCAACGAGGACTATGGCATCTAAATGCTGGGTGCACAGACAACTAGGCCATCAACCACCTAAGGGTGAGACTTTGTAAAAGATGTTATTACACTTGAGCGCACTGAGGGTTGCATGCCTTACTTTGTGCCCAGGATGTGTACTGGGGTGTCTGCAGCAACCAGCCACCTCTACAGCTGCTGAGCCAGGTCTCCACAGACATAAAGGTACAGCTGATTTGTTTTTTTTTTTTTGTTTTTTTTTTGCTTTGTTTTGTTTTTTTTCCCAAATAAGCAAATTATTCTAACAGTAATTGACTGTAAAAGTGACTGACTTCTTCCAGTTTTAGCTTATTTAGGACAAGTTCAGGGACATAAGACAAAATACCCAAAATGGAAGATCGATTTGAGCATATTGAGAACAGAACACTTGTTTCCTTATCCACTTTTTTTTCCTTTACACCCCAAAGCTTTAGTCACTCTGTAAAAACATAACAAGCTATGTGGTGCTGGCTAAAGTACATGTGAAAAATACCCCGCCTCTCCTACTGTACCATCATCCTGTAGCTTTGCTGCATTGTCTTGGCAGCGACACATCTGTGCACAATGAGGAACATTTTCTTGGTAACAATTTCACTTCTCTGCAACCTTTGTAAGTTATTTATTCACTCTACTTCCAACTACACTGTTAAATATTAATAGAACAATCTAGTGGAAAAGTTTGAATTGTTGAGATGATAGTTGTGTTTGTTTTAGGCTGGGTCTCTGTCTCGGTGTCTGAGTCACAGACTGTGGAGGTCCAGTCTGGTGAAGATGTCACACTGCTTTGCTCCAATTTTTCCAGTTCTTACACTCAGATAATCTGGTTCAGAGTGATTAGCAAAAGTCAGCCAAAGTGCATCTCTCATATGTTCAAGTCTTTTGAGCCTGCCACGTTCTGCAGTGGATTTCAACATGGAAAATTTGAAACAACGTCAAACATCTCTACTATCTTCCTCAGCATCAAACAAGTGGAATTATCTGACTCTGGGCTGTACTTCTGTGGGTTTATTTTTGATAAAGGTTCAGTGATCGTCAGTTCAACATATTTAGAGGTTCGAGGTAAGTTTCTTCTTTCTTCTTCAAATATTTTCCTTTTTTCTTTTTCATGAAACCTGAGATGTGAGAATCTGATTCATTAAAATCAGATCATTCAAGTTTACCTGCCATTTGTCATTCTTTCTAAATCAGGTCACAGGAGACATAACTGACATGTAATTCAATGACCTTTTTTTTCTTGAAGAGTTGGTTGAAATGACAAAACTGACGAGTGTGATCCTGGTTGTCCTGGTTGTTGTCCTGGTAATGATCATCATCTGTTTGTCTGTTCAAATAAAAAAGCTTCAGAGAGGTAATTGGATTTACTTTGGGCTATTTTTTAATTTCACATCCACTTTCTTACAAACTGAACCCTTTTGTGCTTCCCTTTAAAAAGTACCTTTTAATATTTCAAAGCATTCTTACATAAAACTAACTGTGTGTTTGTCTTGCACAGCTCATATTGGAGAACAGAACCCACAACAATACATAGTAAGGTTTATTATCTTTTTTTTTAATGTCAAGCTTCAAAGGGACAAACATCTTTAACTTGTTGGACAGTTTTTGGTTTAGTATTGAAGTGAGATAACTAACTGAAAATACTTGTAATTACAGAATCCAGGCTCAGATGACTTGAACTATGCAAGTGTGACCTTTCGTCAAAGAACAGCGAGAAGTCATGAGGGTGCTTTAGAGGGAGAAATGGAGACAACTACGATTTATTCAGCCACCAGGTAGACTAAAGAAGCAGCTGGAACAACAGCCTAAATGGCAGCTGATACTTCGTGATCAATACAGCAGTGTAATTTGGTTGCTCAGAGTAGCATCATTTTAAATTAGTACTTGCATCAAAGTAAACATTTCATGTGTCTGTGTTTTCTCATTGAATTAGAATATATCAGATCAGTTTTGGCCCAAGCTTCTTTCTTTGTAAACATGACCAGAATGGCAAAAAATATCGCTTTGTTCTTTTTCACTGTTGTGCTGTGAGCACACAACTTTACCTGCCCATCGAGCTACCTGAATGCAATAAGCTATCCACACTGCATCACACACTGTCTCTGCCTTTTAATAAGTTTTCTTAAACCCACATCATACCTGCGATTATTCAATTGCAAAACTCACCTGGTTCAAACAATGTCAGACACATTCCCTACAATAGCTCAATATGTCACTTTTTTCTGCTGTGTTTTTATGGTTTTGTGTGCTCTATTAAAGCATGGTCATTGTTAATGCATTGAAATCAGCATTCTGATGAACATTTTTCATTGAAAATAAATTTTCGGTTGTTTTTGGCTCGCAAAGTTTCTGCAACCTTTTTGCACCATTTTTTCTGATACACTTTGTTAAGCAGGATTACCATGTCTTCCCCTAGTCTTTCCTCCTAACAACTATGTTCTGTTCCCTCAGGGTTAGGGGAAAGCATACCATACACAAAACTTATCTTTTAAACATTTCCTGGCCATTGCAGCATGCTTGCCCTTGTAACATCTATCTTCCATGTTAGTCTCAGAGAACAAGGGTGACTAGTGTGTTTCTGTTTTTTAAGAAAAAGCTTCACTAGAGGGACAGTTTCTATTTTTCAATTATAGAGTGTTTCATATCTAGTGTGTGAAAATAAACTCCACATCAACAGCATCTCAGTTGTTGGACAGAATAAGAAATGTGACTGTGTGGTTTGCACAATGATGAAGCTAAACAGGAAGGCCTGCTTTAGATCAAAGCTCTGTGAGGCTAACACCAGACAGAAAGCAGTGTTTACTGTAGATTGCCGTTATTGGTTATACAGTCAAAATGAACCCATACTGACAGTGTGGAGGTTATCAAAAACACTCTCAAGTGTCAATGTGATGTGCTTGTGAAAAGATACAGCAAAGCTACGTGTGAAACTGTTCACTCTGCTAATTTAAAACTTGACAGATCCAAGTAATGTAACAGCAGGTGCAGCTCCTATCAGTACCATAGCGGTATGATTTATGGTCAGCGCATCTGTGTTTGCAGATATATTAAGAAACAGACAACACAAGCAGACTAAAAACTGAGGTAACATTAACAATGTAGACAGTAAGACACCAAGATTATGCAGCTGGGGATCAATTTTCCTTTTCATGGCAATGCCTCAATCAGACTGAATTTGGCCCAAGCATTCTGCACATGCTCCATGTCAGGCCTGTCAGCATTTTTATCATCTGGCATACAAGTTAGCCATTTTTTAACACACCTATTAATTGTTTTGTTATGATGCTAGCAGGTCACTACATGGACTGACTAGTAATACTGAGCTGAGAGGGGCAGGTCGCCATCTTACCATAGCAGAGGGAGACATACTTTTGTCAGTCAATCAATTCTAACATTGTGCTTGGAGACTGGAGCAAAGATAATAGTCCAGGTAAATCACCTAATCTAATGCAATAAGCAGTAAAGCGAATGTTGTGTGACTATACACTCACCGGCCACTTTATTAGGTACACCATGCTAGTAACGGGTTGGACCCCCTTTTGCCTTCAGAACTGCCTCAATTCTTCGTGGCATAGATTCAACAAGGTGCTGGAAGCATTCCTCAGAGAGCTTGGTCCATATTGACATGATGGCATCACACAGTTGCCGCAGATTTGTCGGCTGCACATCCATGATGCGAATCTCCCGTTCCACCACATCCCAAAGATGCTCTATTGGATTGAGATCTGGTGACTGTGGAGGCCATTTGAGTACAGTGAACTCATTGTCATGTTCAAGAAACCAGTCTGAGATGATTCCAGCTTCATGACATGGCGCATTATCCTGCTGAAAGTAGCCATCAGAAGTTGGGTACATTGTGGTCATAAAGGGATGGACATGGTCAGCAACAATACTCAGGTAGGCTGTGGCGTTGCAACGATGCTCAATTGGTACCAAGGGGCCCAAAGAGTGCCAAGAAAATATTCCCCACACCATGACACCACCACCACCAGCCTGAACCGTTGATACAAGGCAGGATGGATCCATGCTTTCATGTCGTTGACGCCAAATTCTGACCCTACCATCCGAATGTCGCAGCAGAAATCGAGACTCATCAGACCAGGCAACGTTTTTCCAATCTTCTATTGTCCAATTTCGATGAGCTTGTGCAAATTGTAGCCTCAGTTTCCTGTTCTTAGCTGAAAGGAGTGGCACCCGGCGTGGTCTTCTGCTGCTGTAGCCCATCTGCCTCAAAGTTCGACGTACTGTGCGTTCAGAGATGCTCTTCTGCCTACCTTGGTTGTAACGGGTGGTTATTTGAGTCACTGTTGCCTTTCTATCAGCTCGAACCAGTCTGGCCATTCTCCTCTGACCTCTGGCATCAACAAGGCATTTCCGCCCACAGAACTGCCGCTCACTGGATATTTTTTCTTTTTCGGACCATTCTCTGTAAACCCTAGAGATGGTTGTGCGTGAAAATCCCAGTAGATCAGCAGTTTCTGAAATACTCAGACCAGCCCTTCTGGCACCAACAACCATGCCACGTTCAAAGTCACTCAAATCACCTTTCTTCCCCATACTGATGCTCGGTTTGAACTGCAGGAGATTGTCTTGACCATGTCTACATGCCTAAATGCACTAAGTTGCCGCCATGTGATTGGCTGATTAGAAATTAAGTGTTAACGAGCAGTTGGACAGGTGTACCTAATAAAGTGGCCGGTGAGTGTATGTTGCAGTCAGATCTGAGCCCCAGCAGGTGAACAGGATGTTTTTTTTTATCCAGTGTGCTGCCTGAAAGCTCACTCACATCCTCTCTTACCTAAGCCTATCATCTATCACTCTGGTGTTTTGTTATTCAAAACATTCAAACTATATCTGAATGATTATAGTTTTCCACATGTTTTTGTTTGCATCCTTCATCCTATGTTATTTGTTCAAAAGCAACACAAGATGAATGACTTTTTCCCAGATATCAATTTTAGACCAAATGAGCTCTGAATGGGGTAATGCAAGTAGGGCTGGGCGATAAAACGATAACAATATATCGAAAATTAATTTCCCTCAATATCAACACAAAAACATGGTCAATATGCTTTTCGATGTGCAACATTCTGTCATAATTTGGTAGACTATACAAATAGCCAATGAACAGGGGAGTTTCTCCGGGTCCACTTAGGATAAGAACCAAGTAGCAAACAACTGCGTAGTAGCAGGCTGCAGCTACACGCAACCATAGCACCAAAACATTGGTGGTGTGGAGGTATTTTGGTTTTTTGAGGTCAGACATGAAGCAAAGTGATGTGCACTGCAAATTATGTCGAGTACATGTTCTCGCAAAGTCAGCAAATTACTCAAATCTTTTGACCATCTGAAGCAGTGCACAATACCTTACAACAAATCATCAAAGAGACACAAAGACCTCACAGATGCAGTAGCTTATTGTATTGCAAAAGACATGCTACCAATGAGCACTGTTAAATTTCATTTTTGTGATATTTATCGATATCAACTGATATGAAAAAATATATCATATAAACTTTTTCCCATATCGCCCAGCCCTAATTACATGTCAACACAGCCAAAAATCAACTAGTAGAAAAGCAGAAAGCAGAATGGTACCTCACTTTGAGGGTCTTGTGCACACATTCAGGTTTGTGCCACCTGTCAACATGCAAACTATTTTATTTCTCTCCGCCTCTTTTGGCATGTGCTATGAACCACTACTTCTCTTTTTCAAATTAACTGGTTATCTCATAAGTTCAATTTACGAGATAAGTTCCCTCTCATGAGCTAATATGTTGTCTTTACAATATCTTAAATGAAAAATAGAGTTAACATGGTTTATAACCATTAGAAATCTGTTCAATGAACATTTCATACTTTTTTGTAGTACGGGTGGTATATCTTGCTCAACATTTAAGTTTGAGGACAATGATATGAATCACTGAAGATGTGTATCTCTATTATTAAAGTAGTTAAATGGAAAAACAATCAACAAGAGAAGAATGTGGGGCTTGGTGTTTTAGCACTTTTTCAATCTCTGCTTTGTCTGACTGATAACAAGCCATTTCCTGAGTTTGAAGAAAGGTCAGTTATCACTCAGAGAAATATTTGGACTCATGCACAGAGTTAAAGATGTAGGTCGGGGGCAGAGGACAGAGTTAGGAACACTCATTTTTCTAGTGGGAAGCATAACGTGTTGCACTCTGAGCACAGCCAACACAACGTTGCATGTATGCAAAAGTTTCATTGCCTTGCTTGTTGGTTTCTATTTAAATGAGTAGCAGGGCTACAAGCAACAGATAAATATGACAATTCAACCACAAGAAAAAATTTCAGCCATCTACATCAAATCAACCACAGGCAATAAAAATGTTTCTAAGTTGTTGGGGTTTTTTTTTTTTGTAATGTGACCTCTAGATAGTAGAAATATTTGTTCGATAATAAAAACAACCTTTACATGCAACTAAATGTACTACATCAATATGTTTTTTACCATATGTGGTAGTTGTAAGATGCATTTGTAAGACTTGCAAAATCACACTTCAAGGTGTGAAAACCCCAACTTCATAGACCTGATCAGATGACTGTGAAAGTTCCCACGACAAAAAAAAATAAATAAATAAAAAAACTCCAACAGTGATGAAGGTATTCAAAGAATTCTCAATTCACTTAATGTCTGATTTTTCAAAAAAATGTACTGACCTTTTTACTGTTCCATGCTGGATATGTTCAATTGATGGATGGACAACAGTTTAGTGCAGACCTTTTCAGGACCATAATGTCCTTTTCAAGCAGCAACACTGAACACTGTCAATCTACAAATACTGTGAAAAATAGCTGGACTACAGCAGTAATTTGGAGACGTTTATGTCCAGTGGTGCTTTTTTTGTGGAACAAGTTAAGACCAGACTTCATGTGAAAACACAATAACAATTGGCCCTGTAGACATGTGCCCCCTGCTGGTCTATATTGGCATCTCAAGGTAAAGAAAACTGAAGCCAAACTTATGACAAGATCTAATTTGACCACATAAAAAAATGTTATCTGGGTAAAGTCAAAAACACATTTTTTATGCATTTTACTTTTCATATTTCATATATTCTGATTCTGAAGTCTCAAAAAGGTGCATCTTCGTACATAAAAAATGAATATTTTAATCAATGATTTTTCTTATAAATGCAGGGGTCTTACTTATTATTCCACAAAGCACACAGACCAGCTTTTGATCAACTTCTTCGAAAAAAAATGGTTGCCAAACTTCATTGCTTACATGCAATCCAAATGTGAACTTCCATTGAGGAACTCTCTGTACAAGCAAAACTGCTGAGCTCTGTGGTATGAAAAAGACAAAGCTGAACGTTATGCAAGAGTATAGATTTATTTTTGTCACACGACTATAAGTAAAAGGATCTGAGGACTTGTGGGACATTTTTTGGTTATTTTGTCTCGTAAGACTACACAAGTTTTTTAAACACTGAATGCTTTTGAAATATACGACAGTTTAAAAGAAAATGTGTTCACTTCAAGTTGGTTGTCAAAAAAAAGAGTATTGGTTTAGATTGTTTAACACAGCTGTAATGCCGGTATAGTTATTGCACACAGTGTCAGTCCCTTTTTACCTCTTTCACAATAAGGAAATAATTTGATTTCCTGTCATATGACTGTCGGATCAGAAGCTTATTTGCAGGGTTCTTATTATTAAAGTCAATATGTTCATTCATGATGACCTAGGCTCCTGTGCTAGGCGGGCCTGTGATCTACAACCTCATAAATGGTGTAACAACACCAAATGTTTGAAACCTCAAGTTTGTACACCATTGACAGTCACACTAATCCTCTTGAAATATTTCCCAACTACTTCACACACAGCTGAAAAAACTAAAAAGTAGAATGTAAAGTTTCCTACATGTCGATTACACATCTTATATCACTGTTACCTGATTCTTCCTCATCTTCTTCCCTCTCTGTGACACCTCTCCCCTTCACTATTTTCCTATCTTCCTCTCAGCACTGATGATCACATATGAATTCACCTTGAAATATAGCATATTCTGACTTCAAACAAAGCAAAGACAAATAATCTTACAGGGGCACTGCTAAAGAAAGACTTTTTGATATTATGGGAAAACACTGCTTAATCATATAAAAGACTTAAAGAGTATGAGTGTGTTCAACTCTAAGACTGTTTTCACACTTTCTCACCTGATTTTTGCTCTCACTCTCCTCTCTGTCCATTCACCTCTCTACCTTTTTGAACCAACACCTAAGCACAAACATGTTGCACTTCGACAATTACATGTAAATGTGATCAAATATTTATGATGTGAACAAATGTAGGAGTAAGTACCTGTACATATTTGACAAAAACCTAAAAATGCATACTTCTTTATTCAAAACCATTAGATTTTTTCATTGCATGCACAGTAACAGCTCCCTTATCTAAAGTTGTGGTCTCCTATATCTGTCCTCTTTTTTCGCCTCATTCTTGCTCTCCCTCTCCTCTCACTCAATCTTTTCTCCTTCTCACTCTCTTCCTTCCTCCTCTTCATGCTGTCAACCAAAAGGCAAACATTAAAAAAACACATAATTTAAAATGAAAATAACATGATTCATTAATCATGTTGACTGAGCTTCTCATGTTTACTGAGCAAGGGCCTAACTTCATGAAGCTAGGCCCTTCCAAAACTCAAAGCAGTGACATCATTTGGAGAGAAAAAAAATGCAGCAGTTAGTGTGTTTGCTGGAAAGTTTTAAGAGACTTAAAGTACAGAACTAATATAAGTATCATCTTACTGCACCTAATGTCTTTAACACATCTTCACCTATAATACATAAAAGGTATTGCTACAACACCTATAAGACTAGTACCCATGCACAGGGTATTAAGTAGGTGGCATGAGGTGGAAAATTACAACTGCACCCTGCAACCCCCAGCAGACACACACCATGATATACATTTTATAACTCAGTGTCTGTCACTGACATAAAATCTTCATCTTCCATCAAAGTCACTGACCACAGATCTTTCTGGGAGTTCCTCAGCTCCCTCGTCTGGTCGGTTCTTCTGGACTGTTTACTGTTTTAACACCAGTTTGAATTTTTTTTTTTACAGATTATCATACCTACTTGAAATTGATAAGTGTAGCCCCTCTAAGATGTTTCCTTTTCACCCAACAATTACTGCCTCCTTCTGTTAAGATGTGCTGTTTTATGGTCATGATTCATATGGGTCACCTCTTCTAGTTGCAAGACACCAGGTAAATCCAGAGGACTCAAATTCCTGCATGTCATACAATAAATTATAAAATAACTTATTCCAGCAGCACCTTGCACCTGCCAACACCAGAACTACTACCAAATGGTTCACTGAAATTCCTTTTGAGCTATGGACATTACATCACATTTTATCAGTTAAAAATATAATTTATCTGTAAATTCTGTTAGGGACAAACATAACTCATTCGCAAATTTCTATTATTTGAAATGCATCTGAAAGTTTGACCTGTGTGGTAAAGTTCAAAACATAAGAGCAAAGTTTGATAGCAACCGTTTAAAAACCCCATTTTAAATTGAGAGTTGGACAGTTATTTTTTGAAAATGTTTTATTCATGCAGGTCAGATTCCAAAATGGCAACACAATGCAAAGTACAGTTCACACCTTACACCCATCAAAACCTATAAAATCAATTACTGTATCATTTCCAGTGCATTGTTCCTTCACTTTGTATGTCAATTCTAAAAGAAATGGTCCCTATAAGACCTTGTGTGTGTCATTTTCCTTCAGTTCATTCAGATGTCTTCCAATCACTTAACCAGATTCACATTTAATAGATCTGCCTCAAATCCCTGCTTTTATCTTCCAATTCTGAAATGTTTTCAGTTGCCAGAATTCAGGTTGCTGAAGATGGCTGCAGAGGACTAACAAGAGTAAATGTAGCTATGATAAAGAGGCCACTCAGCAGTGGTAATGGGAGTAATATGATGAACAGCTGAGTGAATATTTGTTGCACTGAATAAAAATAATAGAGTTTGCCTCCTTTTGAGAGCCTGTTAATATCAAAAGTTTATTCCTATAAACCAAAAACCTCACAGGACATTACAAACCAACATTGTTTTCTCTCAGCATTACTTTGCATGTGTAATCCTTGAAACCCTTGACTTACCTGTGAAGGTCTTCAGAGGGTTCTGATGTCATGGCCGAGGTAAACTATTCTCAACGTTGAGATTTCTCTATTTCTTCACTAAGCTGCAAAAGTGGGCAAGTTACAATTCTGGCTCTAGGAGGGGAAATTCAAAAAAAAAAAAACTGCTGATAAAAAAAGTGAAGTATTTAAGACAAGACGGCAGAGCAGATATGTTTTCAATCAACGTGATGGTTTTGACGAAAGTAGTTCAGCGAGGTGTGATTTTAATTCAGCGGTTGATGGTATAATATGAAAAGAGCAGAAATTTACGATACACTTGAAGCGACTGCACTGGTATTATAAACGGCAGGGCATAATGGGAAAATCTTGATATTACTGCTTAAAAATCACCTCCAAAAACAAGTTTGACTGTGGACAGGTTCAGATGAACGTTTTGCGCTTATTATTGCAATAACAGCTACTTTACTTTTCAAACCCATGCAACTTAGCTCAGCAAATTTTCACAGAGACGCCACATGGAAGTCTGTTTTTTGATGGCAGGGTTTTACATAATGGAACCAACGTGCAGAATAGATTTTACACAGAACATATTTCAGATTAATCTACAGTCACACGTACCGCCTGGTTACTCCTGCTGAAATTGTTCAGCCTTCTAAGGTCACACACAACACCAGGACACTAGTTATCCAAACGATTTAGTACAAATAAAAATAGAAAACGCCTAGATCAGACGTCAAGCATTTAAAATACTACACCACATTAATCAACTAAAACAATGAAGGGAAAAAATACGAGTGTAAAATCTGCTAAAATAATAGAAACAAAATCAGACATTGACGTCGGCATTTCAGTTCGTCCTGTGAGCGTCGCAGGGGAACAAAACGCGCTCAGCCACAGACAGGAGGAGGATATTGTCACGTGCATCAGGAGGCGGCGAGCGGCGACGCAGTGGGACGGCGGTCCTGAAAAAAGAGCAAATAACACAAATGACCTGTCTGCAACTGTTGAAACAAAACACGTTTTTTTTCTTCCATCCATGTGGTTTCCGGGCACTGAAACGAGTCCTGTTTTGGTTTAAGATCTCTGACCACTCAGTCTGTTAATTTTGGACTGTGTCACTTAAATGAGCAGTAATTAGCTGGATTTCAACTTAGTCCACAGACTTATGACAACTTACTGAACAGCATTTTTAACGGAATGCTTTTTTCCAACCTTGCTTTCTCCACAAGATCTGTAACGTGCAAGACAAGTCGCAAGCTGCCTCTGCCTTTAGAGGGACGAATGAACACTTTAGGAAATTATGACCACTCTACCTCACACCTAGTCTCACCTTTACATGATCAATAAGCGTAGCGAGCAGGCGGTGGCGGAGGCAGCCGATCTGCGTAGGGGTCCCTGGCACGAGGCATTCCGTATGCTGGGACCCTGGAAACCGGGGAGAGGCGTGAGCGCTCGTAGGAGTAACCATTACTGGCAGGGGGCATTGGCGCGCTAGGTGCTCTCCTGAGGGGGCTGCGTTCTCGAGGATAGTACGAGGACGGGGGAGGAGGTAAGGGTCGACGTTCGTACGGGTCAAGCGGAGAGGTCATAAGACGGTCTCGGACGACGGCTGATGGAGGTGGGGGAGGAGGAGGAGGGGCACCTGGACGTTGGTCTTCATAAGAGGGGATGCCATAAGGACGGGCTCTGTACTTCTCATAGTAATCTACAACACCATACCTGTCCCTCTCCCCCTCATAGGGACGGTCAGGATAAACAGCACGTCTAGGGGGAGGAGGTGGCAGAGGGGGAGCGGGGTAACCTGGGGGTATGTGGCTGAGGCGGCCTCTCATGTAGCCTGGAGGAGGAGGCTCATGCCTCTCCCCTGGGTAGCGAGGGGGCCAATAGCCACCCCTATCTGGGGGTGGAGGAGGGTAGTCATCTCGTTCATCATGTCTGGGGCGGCTCTTAGATATCTGGACATGGATACGTTTGCCTAATTAAAAACAAATAAAAAAAATAAATCATTAGATTTAAGATAAAACTATTTGTAATGACTACATTTTGACTTATTATACATTTCTCACCTTGAAATTCAGTGTTGTCCAGTCCCTTGATGGCATCCATAGCCTCATCTGAGTTTGACATGTGTACAAAAGCAAAATTCTTAACAACGGCACACTCAGTGACTGTACCATACTCTTCAAAGAGAGCTCGCAGCTCATCGTCAGCTCCCTTTTCAACATTAGCTACATGCAGCTTTACTGAACCCTGGTTCTTCCCATGACTGGCCTCCACATTGATTGGTGTGCCATGTAGCTTATAGAGGTGCAAGTTCTTTATGGCTTTGGTGGCAGCTTTGCGGTCATCCATGTGGACAAAAGCATAGTTCTTGATGATGGCACATTCAGTGACTGTGCCATACTGCATAAACAGTGCCTTGATTTCATCATTGTCTGCTTCTCGTGGCAGGTTTCCCACAAAAATCTTCACCATCTTTAGAAATCTAAATGAGAAAAAACAAAGACATGTTAGTGAGGCAGGAGTAAAGAATAAAGTCATTTATCTTTGTTTTTAAGATAAGAGAGCTTTGAAAGCTTTTTTTTAAAAGTGCAGTTGCTTAGAAGTACTCAGGAAATGTTGCTCTGAGCTCAGACAATTAAACAATTGCTTTACAATTTTGTAAAAGACAGATAAGACACGAAAACCTAAGCTACAGCAGGAAATCAACAAATAAAATTCAGAATGGCACAAGTTACAATCTTTAGTAAACATTCAGTTTTAATGTGAGCTTTATCAGCTAAATTTATTTATTTCCATGTGGCTTCGTTTGTGAATGGTGCTTAGTCCTTTGACGAACTATCCTCACTGGAAGAACTGTAACCATTCTTAAATTTTTTAAGTCACATTACATATATATTTAGTGTACACGTATTGATTTGTACAGTAAGTATAGATATATTTCGTGTAATAACATAAAATTAGAGGCCAGTTTGCGAAGAGGCATGTCTCTAAATACCTAAACTTCACTGTAGCGTTTTCCATCAGACTCCCCGCTCGAGCGTTAATGGGCCCTTTCATTTTAAAATGGCTGACGGCATTTCAGCGAACATTAATCGTCGTTTTTCAGCAGATTGATAAACGACGTTTTTCCACATATTCAAAAAATGTCTGACTTTACGTACAAATAATAACACTAAATATAAACAACTTGTTCAAACAAAGTGTGAATTTAACTAGAGGTCTTCCGTTTTCATATGTGCTCCTGTTAACTACGAACCGTTAGCCACACTCAGCTTGTTGGTCTTAGACAAAGAAAAGCTGTTTATTTTACCACTTAGTTCAAAGTGAATGCTAGGAAACTATCGGTGCAACATCGATGCTCCGACAAATTTAACCCCTGACAAAAAAATGTACATATATGGATGTCTGTGCGGTTACCTTTATTGAGCCGGTCGGCCTCTGTGAAAAACCGAAGCCCTGCTACAGGAGCGTCCTTACACCGGAAGAATTACCGGATGGAGTTTAACAACGGACCCGCTGGGCCCGCCTCTTTCCCTCTTCTTCTTCTGCTATTAACCCAAATGAAAACCACGGCGACGCCATATTGTATGGCGGATGACTAACAACCTACAGAACACAGATAGCCCGAGTTATAAAATTATTAAGTCCTCGAAAAAACTTGAAAAGAGTAGTGCCTTGAGTTTTTTTCTCTGGTAAAAGGGTGTTTTAAGCATCTTAAAAATTTTGTTTAATCTATTACTTTCATTCCAGCCGGTTACTTCTTCAAGCCTTCCTCGTACTGTCTATGTCTATGGTTGTGAATAACAGTTTCTTGTAAAACAGACTCATGGTAGAAACATTTCATTCAGTTTTCTTCCGTATCAGGAGAGGTCTTCCTGAAAATAACGGTCAATAGTAAATGTTAATCATTAATGTGTAATGGGATTGATTTTTTTAGACTCAGTTCCATGGCTTTGTAAAACGACACTGACATTTCTCTTTTTCTATCCAAAGGCTGGTGCAATAAGGAAAATATATATTTGCAACGACTTCCGATCTGTTTCGAGTTGCATCAGCGCGGAGTTTTCGATGCCGTAATGGTGCGTTCAAGTGCACATCTTGGGAAAAAGTGACTACATTGGCTAAGACAACGAAAATCCATTTTAGAAGATAAAAACAAAAAAGTAGCATTACAATCATGAAAGTGTAGCCAACACATAGAACTGTAGGAATAATTGGTTTTCAATATATTTCCTCTCAAAATCAAGCATTGTCGAGTTGGCTACATTGCCTACCATGTGTCGACTATTTGTCCACTGCTTTACCTAAGAAGGCATCTTTGCATTGATCTAATAGTCCGATAATGAGCTTAAAATTTACATCTAGTGTGATGGAATAGAAAGAAACGGTTTTATAATAAATTCGCTTTTGATCAACCCGACTACCAGAGTAATCATATTAGCGATTATAGGGGGCTGATAAGCTGCTACTGAATTAAAACCTCTTCATGAGTCCTGAGCTCTTAACATATGTAAATTTTGAGTTAGATAAGGCCTCTCTAGCAATGACACTACTTTTTCCAAAGTTGCACTTAAAGGCAGCATTCATGCTGCTGGGTCTTGGTCACTTAACTCCTCCTTTTGAGAGGTGTAGACAAGAGCTTGCAGAGAGAAGTAAGTTGCACACAGTTCCTGTTTTCACTCGCAGAGGTACTGTCATAGTTCTCTGTGGGTACTAAGAGTCAATTCCATTTGATCTTTCTGTTCCAAGGACAATGAGGAAGGACTGATCTGTATCTTCAAATAAGGAAGCCCCAAATAGAAGTAAGGCAAAGACAAGACATGCATATGCTTTGTTTTGTTTTGTTTTGACTTGGCAAACTACCTCAACTTACAAGAATCCTTGTGTTTTTGTTTTATGTCCTAGTAGTGTTTCATTACTGAGGTGCACCAGATTTCACTGTCTGCCCTGATGAGTGTGTCTCAAACAATGGAGACAGAGGAGGATCTCCTGACTTGCCTCCACATCAAGCTTTACCACCCTCAGCAGAATTTCAAGGGTTTTTATGAGCTGCTTCCTTTTGGGACAAGGCATCGGCACCAAGCAGATGAACCTCTCAGGGTGGGACGTGATGCCAAGTCCTGCACCTTTGCTCTAAATGACCTCCGGGTATCTCGCAAACAACTGGCCCTCATCGCCTACCGCACACCCCAGAGCCCGGATCTGCTGTTCACAATCCAGAACCTGAGCCAAAGAGGGAAACTGACAGTGAACAGCTCAGCGCTGGGCTACCTGGAGAGAACTGACCTCCCAAATAAAGCTTTGATCCGGTTTGGAGAGTATGAGATGCTGATTGTGCGTGAATCAGGTGAGGCCAAGGGGAGCTTTGAGGTGGGGTTCGAGGTGCTGACAGTGCCTCCATCCAGAGAGACATGCATCTGTGAGCCCAACAAGACAGCAGTCATGGACACAGGCTCATACGGGGGCAACAGTTTCCCATCTGTACCCTCAGCATTGGGCCCTCTGGAGTCTGATGAAACTCTAATGGGTGTCTCATGATGGAAACCAAATGCTGTCTGCACGGAAGTCTAAATGACTGTTTTTGTTACATTTGCAGTTAGTGAATATTCCCCTCTCCAATGTGAAGTTATATTATACTTTTTCTTTTGCACAATTTCTATATCTGTGTTATTATTATTGCTGTAATCTTAATAAACTTCTCATTAATAATGTTAAAAACCATTGTCTAGATCCATGTGTGTTTGCCAACAAGCACGTATAGCTGTTTCTTTTAAACAATTAAAAAAAAATACTCTTTGACAAACATATTTCTCCAGCTATTAACCTAAGTTTTGTGGATCTTTTTCAATGCACTTATACCCATACTTCAAGCTGAGCAGCTGTGCAGCTTACATTTTGGAGTCTGGCTGTCCCATTCCCGTTTAACATAAACTGTCTCAGGTTACACTCATTGGTATGTGAGTTAGTTTCACTCACTGTGGGGTGAAACTGAGGCTAGAAAATTGATTTCATTCTGCTCTGGCAAACTCAAAGGAAAGAGGCCAAGGCAGATAACGGTTGGTCAGGTAGATAAGCCAGGTTTTGGAACATGCAGGTTTTATTTGCAGTCTCATAATTAAGTCTGTTTTAGTATCCCTAACTGAATTGGATTTACAAGCAACTGTAAACTGCAGGTAAGGGCAGTGAGACAAGACTGTAAGTCATAAAAGTATGTGAAGTTCAGACAGAACTCTATAAAACACCTCTCACCAATATAGTCCTGAAAACCCAACCTCCTCCCAGGATCTCGGAAAGTCCAGAGTGAGGGAGTTTTGCTTACAGGAAACATCATGTGACCCCCACAAATGAGCCTACTCTCAAACAGGGAATAGAGAAACTGAAAGTTCTCACTCTGAGTCAGAGTGGGGTATTTTCCTTAAATTATCCACATATGTGAGGGAAGAAGAGTTCTGTTTGCATCCTGGCTGATCCAACCCGCTGCAACTTGAAGAAAGCTTATTTTCTTCCTTGACAGTGGATCTAGCAAAGTATCAGTCTGCTGAATAAACATCTTATAATAAATCAAGTGACACTGACTAATGATGCAATAATGGCCTCAGACGTGGGTTTGGTTTGAGCTGACATAAGAGAAAATTGTGCTTTTGTAAAAACAAATGTGTCTTTTTATCTTAACAGGGGCATTATAGAGTCTACTGTTTTCAAATTAACCAGACTTAATTGAATCGCTGATATTTGCTTTCAGTGATTTTTAACAGTAAATGACTCTTGTTCATTTTATTTCCTATTTTGAATAGTTTCAATGGTTGAAATATACTGTTCACATAACACTGCTAGCCATGTCCACATACAAATAAAAATAAAACCCAACTGTAACAGGACACTCTTGAGAGTAAGAAAGTTGTCAAACAGCTTAACCTCTCTCAGCTCTGGTCATCTGTGAATATTGACAAAGCAGTGTACTCTCTTGGAATTTCCTGCAGTTAACAAAACAACATGAAGTAACCCAATTGGTTCTAGTTCAGTAGAAAAAAACGTAAGGTGGGAAAACCCCTTGAAGGCCCCCTTTATGGAATGGGTTGTAAAAACATCCCCCTGAATGCCCCTCCAGCAGATAGTTTAAAGAATAGTCCAATAACCAAAGTATCTCCAAGGCCCTGCTGCAGTGTAAAGTATGAGTGACCAATTGGTAATTTTACCTTATTTCAGTTTACTTACTCTGCAAAGTTTGTGAACTAAGTTTAATGCTTTTGAAACCCTTTATAAAAGTCCACTTCAAATGCGTCAACAGATTTAATCAGGTGAGTTACATCATGATTTTTTTCAAGCTAATTCAACATAACTTAGAATACCAGGCTTGTATAAAATAAAATAAAAAAGTCTGTTCTCTAATAAAAAATTACTGGTTACCCTTTTTGTGACAATCCTTTTGATTTAGAACATTATGCCAGAAATGTCCGTATTTCATGAATGTTTTACTATATTTCCATTTTTATGCTGTTACATGCCAGAACCACTGTGCTTATGATGTTGTGCATCCCTACACTGTGGGTATGAGGGGTTTAGGAAAAAAAAAAAAAAAAAAAAAAAATGTAATTCTCCAACATCCAGGATACAATGCCAAAGTTTTCCTAATTTATTTACAAGGCTGGAACTGGGACTTTGCAACTACCATATGATTAAGAAATGAGATGCCCAATCATGTCTCTGATTTACACCAAAAAGCAAGAAATAAATTCAATATTTATACACTTTAGATATTAAAATATATGAGGATTATTTGCTTGACCCATCATTTTAAACATTTCCTTTTTATTAAATTGAGGGTTAACAATCTTTATTACACTACAATTGTACCTAAAAAGGCACGCTAAAAAGTCAGAGCCTGAAACAATCCATGTAAATAAATACAAACGTGCAGCAAATATTTGTATGTGCTTTTCTCTATGCAATAATCTACAGCAAGTTCAAATGAAAAAGTAGAGCTCACAGGTTAAGACTCATGAGAAAATAAAGCAATATCACAACAATCAGTAGCAAAATTCAGCCATACAGACAGGATAAAATGCAGATACTACCTTAACACTTGCTCTACTATCTTTGTTTTTCTGTTAGCCAATAACATGACACGAAAAGCATCTTAAAGCTTTCTTGTGTGCATCTACATCTTTCTCATGTTGACAAATGTCAAAGAAACTCTTAAAAAATCCCTGATTTCCTAATAAACAACACAGTAGAGCAACCCCATTCGAGGGCCCTTGTCAATGTGCATGTTTAGAAAAAAAACATTTTTTATACTTTTATGTGTCTGCATACACATAATCAACACAAAATCTGATTTCTGAAAATAACTGTTATTTCACTTCATCAGGGTTTGATTTCAGTTCCAGCTGCAGCAGGAACTGGGTGTTGCCTTGCAGGTTACAAGGTCTGGTCTTGCCAGCTTACTGACCAACGGACTAAGCTCTGCTGCAAAGACTTTTTGTTTCCTGTAATAGAAGGGAACAGAATAGAAGGGAGAAAAGTGAACACAAATCTCATACAAAACCAATTCCTGACTGACCACAAATGACTCCATTCTGCTTTACCTTGAAATAAAAGGACCACCAGAACCACGTCTGTTTCTGAGCCTGGCCCGCTTGGATACCTGTTACAGAGCAGGGAGGCCTGTGGATTGATTAACAGGGTCAGCTTAATAATCACCTCTCCTCTACCTTTAAGGATACAAAGATAGTTTCAATAATTATTATAATGGAACACATCTGAAGATCCCCAAAGCTTTTGAGACCAAGACGAGCTTTCTTTATTGGACTAATATAGCGTGAAATGTTGGCTTAGCACTATACAAAAGGGAAGGTCAGGAATGGTGATGAAGTGAAGCGTATCTACAATGTGAGAAAAGAATTTTTATTTTTTTTAAATATTCATCTCCAGTCAAAAATTGCTAGATGATAAGCGAAAAAGGAAAAATGTGAAAATAATCACTTCAGAAAGTAGGTCAAGATTTGAAAAAACATAGAAACACTCAAGTATGAGCACAGCAACAGAAGAAGGAGCTAGGAGAGTGATAAAGCATATATGGAGGGTGATTTTTTTAAAGTAAAATTTAAATATTACCTACCTCACTTCTACAGAAGGCTGCACGTCTTCAAGGTTGACTTACCAAGAACTGGAATCTCCTGTTTAGAGTCTAACAACCTACAAAGAGCAAAAATACTAAGAAATCCAAGGCTGCATGCTATATAAGGGAAAACTATGAAGAGGGGTAGACACTGAGAAAACAGACAATAATGGAATGAGTGACTTTTATACAGGGATGAAAAGAGGTATGAAGATTTCAAATCAGGACTTAAGAGTGGCAAGACAAGAACAAGAGCCGTCGCAAAGTGTGGTGGAGATTTTTCTACTTGTTTGGAACTTCAGTTTGACATAAAGTTTGGTTACAGGTTACTAAGTTTGAACACAGTTACTGAGGTAGGACGCGGTGAGAAACTTGTAGAAACTTGCTCAAGGAATTTTAAATCAACAGGTATAGGTTACGTTCTGTCCAGAGTCAAGATGTTCAGTTTTTTTATCATTCAATTCTACCTACAGAACCAAGAAGAACGGAGCTGGGAAAACCAATATGTGGTGCAAATTTCTAATAACTTCAACCTGATCAGCTTGTGCATAACTGAGTTGTCGATCGGTGCCATGTGCTGTGATTCTCACGCATATTACACTCCGGTTGAGGTTTTAGTTCAGTTAAGATGTTGTCCGGCTGTTTGGTTGAGCAGACTTGAGATTCCGACAGCGTACAGGTCTCTCTGTTTCTCTTTCCCTCTGTACCGATCACTTGACTCTATGACGAGGGGTGTTTGGGTCGAAGTAGAAAACTCAGGTACTGCTCTGCCGTCAACATACCGTAACAAATATCTGATATTCAGACCAGTATGATAACCATTTACTGTAAAGTCTCTGCTGTCACAGATAAAGTTTGAGTCCTGACTGTTCCTCATGCAGAGGAATGGCCACTATGCAGTGACAAAACTGACAACATGACAGAAAGCCAAGGAGGTCATAAATGATTAAGTCTAAATGTCTGTTTTTCAAAAACATACATTCGAATTTTGACAGCCCTAAAACTCACAAACCATTTCCAACTTAAAGTTACAGGAAAAGCAACCAAAACTGCAGGTTTCAGGCAGAATATGGGACACCGGTATAGGACAGTCAAGTACAAATTAGTTTTTGCGCCTCAAGTCTTGAAAAGCTACCCTATGGATTTCCCAGACTGACATGATCAAAAGTGAAAATTAGTACAAGAGGTCTCCTTCAAAGTTCTGCCATGGGAGAAGATGCTTTACATAATTGTTCCTCAAACTCTGTTTAAATTGCTACAATGGGTTTTGGACTGGGAGCAGTTTTGATGTTTCTCTGCAGAAGAAATTTTCACTACGAAAAGCTTCACGTACCATGTGTCGAGCTTACAACCATGGGGGATGCTAGAAGTCACTTGAGTGGTTTTAGTTAACACAGTCTGGCGAAGTCACTAGGCTAAAATACCTACAAAGCGAGGAATAATTTCACAGTTAAAGCGTGGTTTTGTTTGATTTGTTTATTAAAAGGCCTTCAAATGAAAAGCATCTTTAAAGTAAATAAAACCCATACATGACGCTGCTAAAGAGTCTCGCAAGAAAACAACACAAAGCGTAAAAAGAACAAAATCACACTGGAACTTTTGATTTGTCATGCTAACATGAGTCGCAAATCTTACTGATTGCTGTACAATCCCTACACACCAAGTATTATATTAAAGCATTTTGATGCCCATGTTTAATACTCAAATTTACTCATGAGCAACTTTTCATAAACCTACAACCTTAGTCTGAACAAACTTGTTTGAACAAGGTTTCCTTTACTTTATCATTAAACTGGTTTCCTTATTTTGAAATTATGTCAGTTATCCAGAGGCCATATCCATGAAAAAATGAACGTAGAGTAAAATGTTTTCGGCTATAAACAGTATTGAGCACACTGAAATATACTGAGCACCTAAGCCAGCAATCTATCTGCAAACATTTTAAGGATCTGAAAAGTAAAACAAGCAGAGGAACAGAAAAAGCAGATCAGCTCAGAAGAGTACGTGAACTTTGGACATGGATTCGTATGGTTTTTGGAATACGGGGGCTGTCCGCAATTGAGTATCTTCCAGTAAGTCTCAGGCGAACGCAACGCAATCCGCCGTAGACGAGGGGATGCATAGCGCCACGTGCATCAGCAGACGGCGACGATCTTGTCATATTCTAAACCTGGAAAGAGAGCACACCACACATGTCAAGGAACGAGTTTTACCAAGGCTGCGCGCAAGACTTATCTTTGATGATAAAGCAGCAATAGTTTAGGATCATATGAGCAGTGATGAGATGTTGCACTCATTTACTTGACTGGATTAATTTAAGGTATTAGGAGGAGCTCCGGCTGATGGAGAAGTTTTAAAGCGTGATATTGCCTCAAGTTGCGCATATTATTTATTTTGGTAGTTATTCATGGAACAGTACCTCAATTACATTTTCTTAATTATGAGTATTCATATATGATCATGGTGTCATGAAACATACACCGTTTGACTCACCTTGGATGTTAGTGTGTTCTTAATAGCCCGGATATCGAGGTGGTGGGGGTGGCAGTGGTACTCTGTCTGCAAAGGAGTCCCTGGGGCGAGGAGCAGCATACATCTGAGGTCTTGGCGAGAGGCGAGACCGCTCATAGGAGTACCCATTACCCGATGGAGGAGGAGGAGGTGGTGGCGGAGCTCGTCTGATAGGGCTTCGGTCCCTGATCATGTAGGATGGAGGAGGAGGTGGGAGAGGGCGGCGATCATATGGGTCAACAGCCCCCATTGTTAGACGTTCTCGAACCAGTGCTGAGGGTGGAGGTGGGGGAGGAGGGGGGATGGCACGGGAGCGCCGGTCTTCATAGCCTCCTGTGCTGTAAGGACGAGCTCTGTATCTCTCGTAGTAATCAACCACGCCATAGCCGTCCCGTTCAGCATACGCACGATCGGGGTAGGGTGCTCGTCTTGGTGGAGGTGGGGATGGAGGTGGAGGAGGGTAAGCAGGCATGCGACCTCTGTAAGGAGGCTCAGGCCTTTCCCCTGGATAGCGGGGAGGGTAATAGCCTCCTCTTCCTGGTGGAGGTGGTGGATAGTCCTCCATCTCATCGTAACCTCTGGGTCTACTTTTTGATATCTGGACATGTATGCGCTTTCCTGAGACACACAAACAAATCTCAAATCTGACGGCTGAACACGAACACTTTGGGAGAGCCAACAACCCTAAAACTTTTCACCGGTGCTTCACAGTATTTAATCTACTCACCTTGAAACTCTGTGTTATCCAGACCTTGTATGGCATCCATGGCCTCCTCAGAATTAAGCATGTGCACAAAAGCAAAGTTCTTGACCACGGCGCACTCTGTGACTGTGCCATACTCTTTGAACAGGTCCCGCAGCTCCTTATCGAAGCCCCGTTCTACGTTAGCGATGTGGAGCTTCACAGGGCCTTGGTTCTTCCCTCTGCTGGGCTCCACATTGATGGGTCTGCCGTTCAATTTGTATTTATCGAGCTCTTCGATGGCTTTGTTGGCTGCCTTACGGTCTTCCATGTGCACGAAAGCGTAATTTTTGTACTTTGCGCATTCTGTAACTGTGCCATACTGGGTAAACAGGGCCTCCACTTCATCCTTCCCAGCCTCAGGAGCCAGGTTCCCAATGAAAATCTTCACCATTGTTGCTCCGGTGTACTCTCTGAAATAGATGAAGATGGCTGGCATGTAAGTGCCAATGAAAGTACACCGATAAGTACCTATCTATGGTGTTTAATAATGAGAAAAACTGCGATCAAACATGTGTTTTCTATCCTGCAGTTATATTTCATAGCAGGCATGCAAATATCTCTGCAATACAGCATCATCAGTATGCCCTGAGCAAAGTCTGTATATATGGACAACTTGGTTCCACCTTCTGCCAGTATATGTAATTGAAGCCGAAAAACTTCTCAGTAATTCTGTGTTTTTTTCTCCACTACCTGAAACCAACATTGCACAGTAGCATTATACGCACGCCACCACTTGCGCAGTCGCATTGTACGCATTTGGCGGGAAAGTTGCTGTGATAACGCTCGGCTCAAACAATGTATCCCCCGAGTGAGCTACGCAACCTTCGTACGCCCACAGGCTGTATCAAGTGTCAAATTCAATCATGGAAAACATGAACCCCCTAATAATTTTTTAAAATGGAGCTGTACAGAAAAAAAGAGGACTTGAGCACAAACCAGTCTTACAGTAACTACATGTCAACATCACAAGCAGGGGTGAGAAAATGTATATTCTGTGTAATAAATTTCTAAAGTTTGTCCACAGCTTCATAGGGATTGCTGGAGGAGGCTTATGACCTATAATGCAGCCTGTCACTTGAGGGCGCTGTTCTCGCGTTGACTTCACCCAGAGAGGAGGCAGACGGCGTCCATTCTATATACAGTCTATGTGTGGCAGTGCATGGCAGATTTCACCCAGAGTGAGTACATTATTTTATCCTTGGTGTAAGTCTGTGTTCATAGATATGTCAAATTAAACAAAATAGTTTCATACGATCAGATAATTGGTCATAACATGTATAAGCTATATTGTGAGCCACTTCAGCCACTGTCCGCTATTCTGCAGAAGCACTGTTCACCGCCACCATAATCCTGCTCCAGACAGGATTTTTCTGGACTGCTTTTATACCAGTTTTGATGCAGTGTTCACAGGATCACAGCTGCTGCTGAGATCCTTGTTGGTTTCCACCACAGATGTGAGGATATCCACTTTCAGCTCGGAAAAGTTTCGAATCTTTCTAATATTTCTCCTCTTTCATGTTTGACCTCAGTGGGCGAGGCTTCTGAACCACGAATATTTCAGGGCGTAAACATGTTAATGATGATCGATTTCAGCCGCCGCATTTATCAAGACCCGAGCATACGTACGATCGGATTGGTCAGATACGAACACTTTCGCGTGTCCTATCATACGATTAATCCTGCGCTCAGATCTGCGCAAGATTGATAAATGAGGGCCATGGACTCTTTAGGCACGGCACGCCTACCGCCATCAAAGTCCATGGAGGCTCAGAGGTTTGGCTGTAGGGTGGAGACTGATTGGGACTGGGCCAGTGAGGGACCAAATGGTTACCCTGCAGCGTCAGTACCAGGAAATAGAGATCCTGTAATCGAGGCGACTGCCGGCCTCTGGAGCAAAACTGCAGTCCTTGAGTATACAACCGTTTGTAATTTCACTGCAAGTATTTACTAACGAATGCAGAATTTCACGTGGATCAGCCTCATTTAAGACAACAATCTAAAAGATCTCCGTGTTTGTACTTCCTGGTCAGAGCTGCTGGCCGCGCTCGGTTTCTGCTAACAAGCTAACTAATGTTAGCCGTCTTTTCTCGCAATAATTCACCAAATGACTATCAGACAAAGTGTTGGTATTATGTGGAATTGCGCTTTCCTTTCTGTGAAACCCTAAATAATTTCATAAAAGTCACAAAAACATAGATGAACAAGAAACACACGACGATACTCACTGCTAGTAACAGGCGAGACAACGTAGTCGAAACTCCAAAGGTGTAACACAATGGATGCCGGCTGGAAATAAGCGCACAACTACGACTCTCATTGGTAAAGGGTGTGTCAGTCAAAGGATTAACGAATAATGATTGGCTTTGGGGTATGACGTAATTTGTATTTAAAAAGGGGCATGAGCTTTTTCTTGTTTTTTATTCTTCCAAAACTTTATTGCAAAAATTAAAACTTAGAACATTCGTAAAACATTATTAAGTTGTATTCAGATCAATAAACAGTCACGTGAAAAAAGAATGACGAGCTAAATTTAATGTTTTTATTATTTTTCTTGTTTTTTTTCACCATAACATGTATTACGAGCAAAAAACTACTATGGTAACGAAATGGGTCGCCATTTGAGGACATTTAACGTGGAAATCAATTTAAAGGTGTGGTGAGTAGTATTTTGTGGCATTTAGACCAACATTTAGTACAAGTGAAACATGAACTTAATATAAGTCCACATCAGTGTATTATTGCCAGAATACGAGAATAGTTTTGTTTGGGTGACTTGAGATGAACATTTCATATTCACCAAAGAGTGGGTCTATTTGGATGGAGGCTACAATCTTGCATCACCATGTTAATGTAGTTTTACAGAACAGACAGCTACTGGTATTTATGTACTGAGATGAACCCTCTGCACTCTTGGCACTCCTGACATTTTCTGGATAATTACAAGTCATAGATTTTTATTTTTTTTTTTTTTCAGGTTAGCTGCTTTTCACATCCACCTCAGAGTGGTTGATTATCAGGGTCAGATGCACTCTCAAAACTGGAAATACTTCCTTTGGTTTCAGTGGTTTTGGTGGCTGGGTTTCGCTGGATATTTGTGACATCCTTCCTGAGTTCACAGAAGAGTCAACTAAGTTTTGATCTTCCTGGCCAATCACAGCACAGCAAAACATAATTGTACTTATTTTGAAATGATAAGAGCCATATTTAAGGAGGTTGGTGAATAATTAACCCAACCAAAACCCTGATTGACTCATGATCATATGAGGAACACAAATAACATAACATAACAAACTGGTGAAAAAGGCTGGCTCTGTGGTTGGACTCAAGCTGGACTCATTGGAGGATGTGGTAGAGAGATCTACACTACAGAAGGTGGAGACTATTCTAAAGAACATGGATCACCCACTTCACAACACCTTGATGGACCAAAGGGCCAATGGTGGTGGATGGCTCCTCTCTCTTTGCTGCAGGACAAAAAGATTCAGAAGATCTTTTGTACCAACAGCCATCAGACTTTATAACTCATGTGTAAATAGTAGATAACTTTTAGAGACATGTCAAGTGAGACAACAGACAATTGAATTTCTCTTCAGAGATTAATAAAGTTCTTCTTATCCTTATTCTTATTCTTATTCCTTCCATCACTCCCTGAGTAAACGAAAGCATGTACAGTATGTATTGTCTTTACAGCAACTTGTGGCTCCAACAGGTAAATGTCCAGCAGAGGGAGACACATACTCAACAATATGAAGTCACACTGATGTTGGGGGAACATTTTCCTCTTATTTTATCGTAGTATTCTCAATAATAGTTTAAAAGTCATCATATCATCTGAATGCGTGTTCACCTTTCTCTGGACAATCTTTGGTAATAGCAACGCAGTGTCAAAAGCAATTTTATCAAAAAATAAAAAATATACAAAATAAAGAATAAAATGTTACAATACAGTCTGAGAAAAGCTTTTCACATCAGAATTTTATGATTTACTGATTTCTACGAATCAGTAGATCTACAAATTTTTTAACTATTACAGAATGAGCGGTTAATGAAGATGGTGTACAGTGTAAATGCTGGCTCCTGAAGTAGTATGAAGATGCATCAGTGACCATGTCATGGGTGGCTTACACATTGTTGAAGGCTCCTTTACAAGATTCCAACCACACATGCTGCTATTCAGACTTTTTAGGGAAGACCTTAGATACTCCAACAAGACAATACAAAAATATATTCCTTGCATACTACCACAACATGACTATATAGTAGAAGAGTCCAGTTGCCTGCATCCCAACTGATCACTTATTCACATTTGGCATGTTAAATGTTTTTATTAAAAAAATAATGATGAAAAAAAGGAGATACTGAATCACTGAACAGCTACATTTTCAATTCAGGAAAGCACTCCACTCAAAGAATTTAAACATGCCTAGGTTTTCCTCGAAAGGAGAAGTGATATAGCACACACCTGTCTGAACTATTTTGAAACATGCTGTTGCCATCAAAGTTAAGTGTTTATTCATCAGTTTTAACAATAACGTTTTAACAAGTTACCCCAATCAAACTCTAAAGTTCTAAACATGAATTGAAAGTTTAGTGAGGTTTCATAATCCTTTTTTTGTTTCAATTAAAGAAACTGATTCCAAAGTTTGACTCCACCAGGGCGTTTAAGGACAAGTGTTACCAGGACTGTTTACTTTACCAAACTGATATGGCAGTAGATGTCCAGTAGAGGGAGACACATACTCACAGAAGTGAAGACACATAGCTCCGTATGTTAACTGGTGGGGTTATCCAGCCAACAGTTGCTGTCTGTCTCAATCATGGAGCTATGACTGGAGTTATGACTCTGCCTGCTATGTCACTAATCACGCTTCATTTATAGTTTCATCATACATCAAGGATGTCTTTGACTCAGAGTTTGCTTTTTTATAGTCAAAAGGATACCATACTGCAAAAAGTAAAATAATACTTCTAGCCAAACTGAATTGGGCCACAGATTAGAGCCATTGGCAGGTTGATATGTCCACTAAAGAGGAACAACTGCAACATGTTCAAGGTCCCTGCTAGTCCAGGCAGCAGCTGTGATCCTGTGAACACTCTGCTGAGTCACCCTGCTGTGTTTAGTACCTTGGATTTACAAGAGAAGACCCTCATCAGGAAATAACTGTCATGTTCCTTTTGTGTCCTTAAGTTCATTTGAGGAGCTCAGTGACTCAGTGCAAGACAAGAAGTAGTCCCAATGAGAATCAATCTTTAAAAAGGTGAAATATAAAAAAGAAACAGCAGGGAACATGCTGAAATGTTAGTGGATGAACTTCATAGAGGCGCCTTTAAACGCAAATTTAGGACTCCTCAAAATAGCTTGTGACAAATTTAACACTAGTGACGCAGTCTTATCTTTTCCTCTGTCGATTTTTCTAGCCAAGTCGTTTCTAAATGATTTGATTTTTTATCTACCTTACAAGACTTTATTTTCTTTTGGACGTGTATCAAAAGCACAAACTGTAGAGAGAGAGAGAGTATACCAAACAATGAAAAGTCCTTTATTGCCATCAGAACATGAGTGAGAAAACCAGAGACAAAAATCTGACAGAGTGAGGAGTCGACTGTACAATCAGCATCCACACAGACACACACACACACACGCGCACACACACACACACTCACACTCACAAAGCAGCCAGCAGTCTTTCAACAGGACGGGAGGGGTACAGATACATAAGGAAAATACAGTACTCACACAATGAGGTATAAAGGTAAACACAAACATACCAGATAGGGCTTCATACTCCACTCGCACACATGCAGCTTAACCGAGGTACAAATACTCAAGTGCACGTTCATCCTTTAAAAACACAACATACAGGTGAGCAGAACTGTATAAGAGCAGCATCTGGGTCATCTCCATTTAACCACATTCCCGTTCATGTGTCTGTCAAAACCTTTGGTCATGTGGACACTTGCTTGTCATGCACAATTTTGCGCTTGTATTTTAATACTCTGCGAGACTGAAAAAAACTTGTGAGCAAAGGAATCCCTTCCTGACTCGAATCCAACTCTAGAAACTTTCAGGGCAGATGAGCAAGAAGGAGGAGAAATGATTTCTTTTGAAGTCACAAATAGTTTCTTCTCTCTTCAAAGTAGAGTTCCTACATTAGTTGGACATTCAATGTGTACATTAGCAGCAATTCTAGTGAATGAAACAATGGCTTTGTAAGTCAGATTAATAACACCCTTTTTCCTCATGCACAGGACAGGCACCAACGACTACTCGTTAACTAAATGCCATGCAGAGTTAGAAAAATAGACTGCAAACTCACAAGACAGAGAAATCAAAGTTCGTCTCCAGAGAAGATTTCACTTCAATTTTTTATTTCATATTTTCTAAGATGTGGAAATAGCAACAAAAAGAACTTGAGAGCGGTAACCAAGACAACAGTAACAACATGAGCAGAGAGCCACTGAAGTTTTTTTCAAGTCCCTCTCTTACTCAATCTTTCAAGCCCAAACTGCCAGGTACAAGACGGACGCTTGGCTTGAGTACAGTTTCCTGCTGCGGTCCTTCACTGTGCGCCACGCGGGCGACCACGCCGACTTACACGCACCCTGGTGTGTTTGAGTGTACCTGTAAGTGTGGGCCTGTGTGTCATGTGGCTCTCATGTCATTTGAAGCTGTCCCATTCCCACAGTCCCGCAGTCTCCAGGCCCCTCTCCCCCACTAGCAGCACCCCCCTGCCCAGAAAGGTGGTCGCCCTCGTGTGCATCCGGAGCTGTGCGCTGCAGTGGTTTGTCAAGACACTAGTGTGGCTGGAAGCTAGCACCGCTGCCCCCTCTGACAGAGAAAGAGGCACGGTTTAGTTCTCCTTTAAGTCTAAGTCTAGAGTTCAAGTCTGCCGTCGTCTGGTCTCAGCCTGTCCTGGTTAACGAGGCTGCACAGATGCTGCCCTGGACCCTCAAAGAACCGTGTTTTTCAGGCCTGGTGATAAGAGACGTGGTGGTAGAGATGCCTGACAGAGTGCCCCGCATAATAGGGCTGTGTTGCGTTTTGTTACCTCACCCCACCTTGTTTAGTTTTGTGGTTGCCAAATCTCGCAACTGTGCACACAAACACACGTACGCCATCACGCACGCACTGACCCTGACGCCGTCTATTCTACTTGGAATGAGGACAAGCGCCTTGAATTTTTGTGTTTGGCACTGCTTTGTTTTCCTCACTTTGTTGGCCAGCCACCTCTTCCTTTTCTCTATCCTTTTCTCTCTTTTTCCTCATCACTCCCTCAACAGGTCTGTTCTCTCCTTGGAACCAAAATAAGGAAAACCCAGAAGAACAACTCTCCCTCGTTTCTTCCTCTCAGGAAACAAAAACAAACTTAATGGAAAAACTCAAGTTTATTATTATTTTTTTTCAAATTCAAGGCACAATGTCTATCGATATTCCAATCTGTCTGTCTGTCTGTCTTCCGTTCCCCGGTACAGTGTGCGAACATCACGTCATAAACTATTGGACTGTCTGCTCGTATGCCACTCCCTGACAGCTTACATCTCTCTTGTCTGTAATGTAACACTGTTAAGAGACGAGTCTGTTTTGGTTGGGAGAGCGACCGCCAAGTCCAAACCAGTGATAAACAATGAACAAAATGAACATAACAAAAAAAAGAAAGAAAAAAAAAAAAGACACAAATAAAGACAACCTTTTGAAAAACAAAAATAGTCTTGTCCTGTTTCTCATATTTCAGTATTTTTAAAAATCAAGTCATATCCACCAGCTCTTTTTTGGCAAGCTAAGTGTTTTTTTAAATAAGCACTAAGTACTGATAGATAGGATAGCATACACCGTTAACGTGTGTTTTTAAGTAGATGCGTTTGTCGTTTTTTTGTACTTTTTCACTCTCATAGTATGAATTCAGGTATTTTGTCAGGTACTTTTCACTCATCTGTTTAAGGTTTACGTTAATGCAAGCAGGGACAAAGTTTGCCATGGAGTCTTGCTCTAGACTTGGGTTTGCGAGGGGCACGGCCGGTTCTTTACGAGACCCCGTTGACCAGAGTCAGGGTCTCGCTGGGCGAGGTCATGCCTTTGCTGGGGGAACGCTTGGAGGGCGTTCGCTCCGGCTTTGGGGCGCTGGTCCCGTTCTCCTGTGGGGACAGAAGACAGGAAAATGAGAGAATGGTCCAAAAATCTTAACGAATCTGAATGAAACAAAAACCCAGTTTGCACAGGATGAATAATAACTGACAAACCCTACAACTGAGTTTTTGTGCAGCAAATGTGCTCTTTGGTAAGACCTTTCTAATAGAAACTAATGATGCTGATCTGTACTGTAATACCTATATAAATATACTGTATATATAAATTAGTGTTGGGCAGTATGACGGTATATACCATGTGACGGGATAAAAGTGTCTAGAAATTTTGCTATAGTGTTTATACCAGAGACAGAGCAGACGTCTGCTACATCTCTTTGAGTCAGTGTGTAGTTGTCTGCGCTCGCTAACAGGAAAGCCGGAGTGCATCCGTTTGGGTGCGTTTCCATATATTCACCAGCATGTCGTAAGGAGTTTGTTCGCTCCGTTTGATTGGTCAGGTTTGGGTGTCCAGCAGACTGCTTGGCATAGCTTTGACGAAGAAGAAACAGCTTCACTGGTGGTCAAGGCGGCCGCGGAGATTAGAGGCAGTACTGAGCAAACGGAGGCAGCCCGACCCACCCAACACATGGAAGAGGAGGAACTCCTTCCAAAAAGGGGCGCGAGTCGCAACATTGGTTGTCTGGAGATTCTTCAGAGTTAGAAAATCTGACAATGATCAGAAACAATACTATGCAAAGAGTGTCGTGTGGCTGTTGTTGCTGGAGGAGGAAACACCAGCAACCTCTTCGACCACCTAAAGATGAAACACGCCAAGCTCTATTATGAGAGCCAGAAGATGTGTGGCGTACCCGCTGCACCTAAAACTAAAGCTGCAGCAGCTCCTCTCATACAAAAGAGCTTGGCAGAGTCTTTCACCAAAGGTACGCCGTATGATATAAAATCGCCAGACTGGTCTGACATTTTGTTTGCATTTGTATACAAATCCAAGTATTAAAAAATAAAAGGAAAATGAACAAATGTGACAGTATAGTTATATGTAAGCCATTAATAGAATTTACAGGGGTAAAAAACATACCGTGATATATACCGTTACCATGATATGAAATTACTCACACTGTGATATAAGATTTTGTTCATACTGCCCAACACTAACATAAATATATATAATGTTTCAACATGCCCATACCCAACGTTTAAAGGCTGTAAGGAACATAATGACAGCAGGTAATGAAACAAGAGCGAACCTATGATGGTAACTAGCATGGGTGCCAACAGCCAACCACAAATGTAACCACGAGGCAATCTGTCTGCAGTCTGTCAGTGAAATCACAGATGACCTCCCCTTATCTTCCAAACTGCTATAGGGTTTCTTAGTAATGCTAGTCCTGTACAAATAAAGCTCTGGGCTGGCAGCTCTGTGTGTGTTTCTGTCTGTACCTTGGGTTCGGGGCCGGCATGGTTTTCCTTCTGAGGCAGATTCTGTCTGCTCTGGGACTCAGCACGAGAAATGTAGTCAGCAACAGTCACTGCAAAACATTGAAATCTGTCAGCCAGAAAAAAATAGCTGGAGGCTTATTTGTCCAAACAGTGAACATGCAGACTCAAAATGTCCCACTGTTTGTCTTTATGAGCTATCCACATCCCTGTTGCAATAATAAACTGATGTGCTGTGTGCTGATGGAAATGAGCAGACACATCTGTTTGAAAGAAAATAACCAAACCTGTGACTTATTTGAAATAGTTCAACAGGCTGACTCACCACTATCAGCTGTCTGTCTGTCACGGCTGGTGGAACCTCCCTCAGGACGGTTGCCACGGTTACGGCGGCGCCGACTTCTGTTGCGACGCTGAGGTCGTGCCTCTTCATCTAAAAGGTTGAATGAGAAAATGTGCAACAATCAGAATTTACACTCCTGTCAGCGAGCAGTTTAGAGTTCCTGTTCGAGGCTTCACAGACAATCACAAGACCACCATACCAAAGTTCTCACCCAGTCCATTCTCACTGGGTCCAGCCTGGCTGTCAGACTCTGCAGCAGCATCCATCACGCTGGGCTCCTGGTCATTGCGGCGGCGCCTGGAGCGTCTGCGGCGGTCTCCTCCCATGCCGTCGCTTATATCTGCGTCAGCCAGCTCTCCCTCGCCCTCCAGGAGAGAGTACGGGTTACTGTCTGGGTCTCTCAGCACTGGAAAAAAAAACAGAAAACCATTTGACAAAATCTATAATTGTGCCCATATTTAGCAGCAATTCATTCCAGTAATGTTCCCCTTTTTCACATGCTTGAAATACAGGTTGGAATTAAATTATAGTCAGTGTGAAAATGTGTGAGTTCTCTAATTTTCCATAAAAGCCGGCTGTCAGCCAGCCATAATTTTGACTAATTCATACTTTGATGCAGTGTTTCATGTCACATCACAGTATTTTTATTTTGGCTGAATACTAAATTTGAGTAGGCCAGTATGCTTAAATATGAGACAGGCTGGCACAGAGTACTATTCTGAAGACCGAATTTAAATCTGAAGGTCCTTTAGTTAGTGATTTTAACTGTTTTTAATCACTGAGCCCTCTGGTGATAATTTGGCTCTGAGAAGTACCCTCTTAAAAACGACCACTGAGGGGTAACTTTGAGACTGTTAACAGCCTGCCAATAGGCTGCTCCATGCAATGCAAAACAGCTCCCGCCACCATAACAGCATGGACATGGGCACAGAGTTTGAGAACTGTTAACGGGACATCACTCCACTTTTTGATACAAAGCCAACAGACTGGTAGAGAGTCAATGCAGAAAGATTTCCCAGGCTGGCAAAACTGGCACCAGTACCTCTGCATACCAGCAACATCAGTGTCTCTGAGCATGTGTGTTCTGACCCAGTGTGTGCCCCCAGCTGACACCTAACCATGTGGATGTGTTTACTTTTCTCACTAAGAGCAAGTGAGTGTTGATCACTGAGTGATCATTAACATTTCCAAAGTTTTTCAAGGGAAATGCTTCAAATCTGGATCTTGAGTTGATCCACAAAAAAATGCAAGTCTATCAGTATCTTGTTTACCTGAGCTGATGGAGTTGGAAGGCTTAGATCCTGGTCCTCCACGGCCACGTCCTGAGTTGGAGCCCCGGCCCCTGCCACCCCGTCTGGAGCCTCTTTCATCTCCACCTATGCCTCTGGGCCGCTGGTCTCTGTCAATGACATCCTCTGACTCTGAGGCATTGGACAGTTCAGAGTTTGTTCCTGGATTGGACAGAGACACATCAGAAATAGCTCTTCACCTCATTTTATTCTCTACTATCTGCAAAATGAAATCATAGTTTTGTTCTGTTGTTCTCACCATATCCAGAGTACTGGCTGTTGGAGGCCCTGCGGCCTCTGCCACGGCCCCCGTAGGTGCGAGAGGTGTGCAGTGAGTTGCTGCTTTCATCCGTCAAGTAGCCTTTCTCCCGGTCAACACCAGGGCCCCCGGTTCGGCTGGGGGGAGCGCGGTATCCGACTCCAATCTGACGGAGCTGCTCGTCAATCTGGAGACGCTCCAGGCGCAGCTGCTCCACTTCCTTTAGGACAGGGAGACAGAGGTTGATAGCGCGAATAAGAAAACAAGTTAAAAAACACTGAAAAAGTTCTCGTATGTTTCACTATGACCAAGAGGAAGAATGGCAGCATATGAATGTTTTCTCCTTACAGCAGTCACCAATTCTCACTTCCTATTTTACCTTTTCTTCTTTCTAAATCAAAACATGCTTGTTGAGCCTTGAATGGAAAAACTGAAGATGGACATGATCCCCTGACTTTTCAATCTCTTATAAAACAGACCGAATGAATACCCCATTGTGAGCTATGAGAAGAGCTGAAAAACCTTCACAGTCCGTTTGTTGGCTCACCGTTTCCTCAGTCACAATGATTCACAGATGCAAAACTGGATTACCTCAGAGACCCTAAATTCGACCCTTTTGACTAAGAATGCTTTCAGTACGCAATTATAACATATTGTATGGAGACATCAATCCAGAAGTGGGCATAGCCTCTTTCAGAGTCAAGAAGAACACCCCCTCCCCCCTGTATTTGAGTTGCATTATGGTTTCATTATACTTTTAGGATGACAATTTCATTGAAAGTATTGTTCTCCGATGTACATTTGACATAGCATAAGTTACTGAGTATAATATCAATAAAAAACATACACACTTTCCAGCAACTACTTGACAACCAGTTGACTGGATAATTTCTACACTGCAAAAAACTTGAATCTTACCAAATAGATTTGTCTCAGTTAAAGTCAAACTACAATGACCTATCAGCTTCACATATGGTTGACTCTGGCTCCAAAAACACTTGAGGGCATTAACATCCACAGCTACTACTATGCCTTCTCCAAACTGATGGGTGAAGTTACACTGGCTTTGTCATATCGGGCCTGTGATATCATGTCAATATCATTCCATCATATCAGAGTTAAAAGGTATCATGATGGCTTGCAGTGTCGTTCCTCTGGGGATCCCCTGGACCATTACTCTACCTCTATGACAACCTAACTCAAACCAACACAAAGTCAGAGCCAAGAGAGTGTCAGAGACAGTATCATGCAGCCTACAATTCAATAAAATCCTTTCAAATACTGTTTGTCTTCAGGGTAAAATCTTTCACTTAAGCCTTGTGTGCCATGTGCCTGGGGGGGGGAGGTGGGACCTGAAATCTTGCAGTGACGGCAGTTTCTCTGCCTGTTTATTGGTGACTGATTTGGGAGAGTCGTGGGGTCTCACTTTGCAGTGACAGCTGCCTCCACCAACAACAGCTGAACCTCAGGAGGGGTGTGAAGGAAGTGAGGCAGTGGAGGGGGAGGGGGTGGGGGTGGGGGGGTGTCTGACGTTATTTCTGGATGGCTGAGGGTCCAGATAGCTGGTAATCTAAACTCCAGCATACCTTTCACCCCATCCCATAGAGAGGAGCTATTTATAAAAGCACATGAGGTAAGGGCAAAATGAGGTGCTCTCAGCAGCTTTCCTCATCAAGCGCTGGGACAGGAGAGAGACAGGTGACCAATATGAGAAGCCCCAGCACATACACCCACACTCCCCAACCTCACCCTACCCCACACATAAAGGATCTGTGCTTCTGAGAGAAACACCTCCTCAGCTAAGTTACCAGATATTCAAAGAGGAAAGATTTTCATCAATTCAAATTCATGGAAAACAATGAAGGCTAAAATGCGGTTAGAAAAAGACCTTGTGTTTTTTCTTTTTTTTTCTTTTTTAATTGACAGAAACAGAGGAGAGGCCAGTGCTGCCATCTCCTGGTGAACATGAAAGATTAACTTACCTGGAGATAGGACACGTGGTACTCCAACAGAGCCTGGGCATTGCTGATGTTCTCTTTAGTTCCCACAAAAACAAAGGGTACCATGCCCTGATGAGGCACAGAAGGGGAGACACAGAGTTGAGTGTTTTTATTGAATACACAATTATCACTTAAAATGCTCATCCCCTTTGTTGGGGAAATATCAGTGACCTGGACACAGCTCTGAACTGACACACAGATACAAATTCTCAGTGAATAACAGACCACTTCTTGACAAAGTGGGTAGAAAGTCGTATGAAAACAAACATACCAACCCATCAGAGACCTAGCACAACTAAATGCCCACACATGGCCAATAGAACTGGTTAATGCTGTAGTGTGTGCTGTGTGTATTGGTAGCAGTAAACACAAGTGCTTGTGACAAAACAACAGAGACAGAACCAGCAGGATGGAACAGTGTCAAAGCAGACGACACACAGGACATATACACTCTGCAACTAAGAAGCTTTGCTTTTTTGGAAAGCAAAAAGAGAGCGTGAGGGGGGTTTATCGAGGGCTGGGAGACCCAGCTGAACGGTCCATTCACCTCTTTGCTGTTGGCAGTGTCGTCCCTGCCTGCCCCCTGCCTGCCTACCTCCTCCCGGGGAAGCTTTTTGTCGTTGTCTCCCTCGATCCGGACACGCACCACGCCTGACTTGTCCACAATTTCCTGGATGACTTTGCCGCTCTTGCCGATTACTTTGCCTGAGAAGGACAGGGAGACAAGAAGGTTGAAATACTGTCTTTGTAGTCTGTATATATGCTGTGGCCATGAAGTGGGAGTCTGTCCTACACAGTATGAGCTCATTCATAAATGCTTTGTAGCTCACTCACCTACAAGGTTCCTGGGTACCTGAAAGTAGTCTTCTTTGAACTCAAGATATTCTCTTGCCTGTTTAACTGCCTCTGGGGTCTGTAACACAACACAAATACAAGACCACATAACACCTGAGCACATTTATCCAAGGACTGATGAATAGAGAACAACCACACAAGCTCATGGAGTTTTTTTTTGTACCTCTCCATAGATCCTGAATGTGCAGCTCTCCTCCTCTAGTTCGATGGCTGTGACACCAGGCACCTTCCTTGCCTGCTGGATGTTGGCACCGTGAGAGCCGATGGCAAGGCCCATGAGGTCCTCCCTGACCTTCACCACTTCCTGGTATGCAGAGGCTAACTGCTTACTTGTCTGGGTAAGAAAACACACGAGTGGTTGGTGTGCAGTTATGTCCACACAAACTTAATTCAAGACTTGTACAACTTTAGGATGTTAAAGAGTGTGTTTACCTCCAAATGTTTGGTGGCTTCTTCGTTGCGGGACATTAGCATGAGTTTGGTTCGGATGCTGCGGAAATGCATGTCGCTCAGGAGAGTCGCACGCTTTACTGTGGTTTCATTTGTTGACTGCAAAGAATAGCGAAGGAGGGACAGAGTTACAAATCTGACTTATCACACTGAATTCATGAAAAGGGGGGGGTTAGATCTTTTTATACAACCTCCAATCCAAAACAGCTGGAATATTATTTATAACGTTGATAAAAATGGAGTACTAATACCAGTTTATGACGGATGCATGATCATTTAAAATAAAAAGCCAGCAAAAGCTTCCAAAAAAGTTGGTTCAGCTGCATGTTTATCATCTAATCTTATCATACGTTCGATTTACAACACTCTAGTGACGTTTGGGGAGCAAGGAGACCAGTTTCTGGAGTTTAAGAAGTGACATGTTGTCTTGTTCTTGCCTGATGGAGGACTTCTCAACAGTGCAGGGGTTTTATTTAATGATACACAAAAAAGCGTTACAAGCAAGACAGTTTAGTACCTGGACTCTTCTACTACCAAGTTGGGCTGTTATATCTGCAAATGTGGTTTGTCCTTATCTTTCTGAAATATGACAGTCTTCCCTAAAAAAGTCTTTGTCTGTATGGTGGCAGATGTTGGTCCTAAACCTATAGATATTGTTCAATGGAGTCTTTACAGATGTGCAAGCTAGCTATGCCATAGGAACTCTTGTATCCTTGTTCTATCAGGGGTGCTCGCCAGGCTCCTCATAGAAGCTTTAAAATTAGAATATGTCTTTAAAACAATTAAAACTCTCACTTTCAACATTACATGAGGTGTTTTTAAACTATTCTTAATTCATTTAAGTGACCTGCAAACCATCTAAATCTGTTTTTAATTTACATTTTACAGCACAAATTTTTGGAACTGACTTTCTGAGGACAAGAGTCAGATACTGAGCATGAGCTGGGTCCAAATCAAACCAGACAAAAGCTCTGCAAAAATCCATTGAGATTTCTCTTCAAGAGATACTCTAGCTCCTTTGTGTTGCTCCCCCATCTGTGAATATATAACAAGGCTATTGGCGTGTTCATGAGGTGAGCAGAAGTGTGTGTTACGAGCACTAACCAGCACAATGAGTTCATGTGTTTGGGCACTGTAGAAGATGCAGTTCGCTCCGATAGCTTTCCTGAAGTCTTTGTGAATGTTGTCATTTGCACAGCTGTTGATAAGAAAACAATCCACAGGAGAGGCAGCTTTGTTATTCATTTGGCAGCAGAGGGTCATTGTAACATAAATCAAAGAAAACCCTTATTAAACACATATTCAATTAACCATTCACACACTTAGGAAAATACATTGTCATTGTAGGTTTTAACTGTTTATTTTCCCCTGCGGCTGGCCAATAGCAGGCCTTCAGCCTAGTGTGTCCCTGTTATCTCTAATGCAGCTGAAAAAATAACAGCGCATCATCACTCACATGTCCCTCAGGTCTTCTGGGACAGGGATGGGGACTTTGTAGAAGGAGTTCCGAGAGGAAGGGCTGTTTGGGTTCAGGGGCCTGATGCGCTCAGCTGTGACAATCTCGTTGTATGTGGCGTCGCATGCTGCGTATTCAATCACATAGAACTAAAACAAACAGCAGAAAAGACACAGGTTTTTAATGATGGGAACAAAAATATGACAACAATGGCTGGTGACTCAGAAAAAGTCATGAAGAGACACTTCAGATAACTGATGTGAATTTTAAAAACACAATCAAGACAGAAACAGAGCAGAGCAGCTGTATTTAAATCCATCATCATGATAAATTAGCCGTCAGGATGAAGATTAGTTCATGTGTGCCCTCAAATTAAGAAATGACACTTCTCATTACAAAGGAGAGAGGTGCAGAGAAAAACGGTGGAATGTAGAAAATAAAAGGGGACTCGAAAGAGGGGGAAGAAGAGATGAGCGCTGCACACTCCATGCTCAAAGGACAGAATTAAAGCCATCAGTCAATGCTAGACATTCCTGCTGGCTCTTATCAGGCTGCTCCAAATAACAGCACTATACGAGCAGCGCCTCCCCTGGCACAGTAGCACGACAAAGCTGTCCTTTCCATATCCCACTGACCCACTATTCAACCTGCAGATCATGCTGGTGAGAAAGATAAGTAGAATATTGTAAAAAGTGGGAAACCAAAGTAGGTGAGCTACAATTCTGGCAGCAGCTGGTGACAAGAAAAAGTAAGGGGTGTGTCAGACCATATCACGACATACCGACTCGGAGCTCATCACCATAGAATGGGTTTCTTACTACAGGCCTGAATTCACTTTACATACAGAAGCACTCAACTCAATAGAAAAAACTTCCTGGCAATACAACAGAACACTGAGGCAAAGTGAAGGATTATTGCTCATCATTAAATACTCGGATACAGAGCAAGCGAGCCGAGCTGGGGGTTTTTTTCCAACAAAAAGTACAATTTTCTCTATATGATGAGCCCCTTTTAGACAAAAAAACCCCAAAACAAACAGCCATAGAAAATGTAGGTCTATGGAGCTAAAACAAAAGAACCAACGCATCTCCCGCATACTGCTGTTTCCACCACATCTGAAGCACTGGGAAGATTAGGAAAATTAGGCCGGATTAAAAAACATAGCAGTCTTAATTGTATTTTGCTTCATGAGACAACAACAGCAACATGTTGTGCTTTTAAATAAGCTTTTGTGTCACTGTGATGTTTGAATTAATTAAGACAGGCTGAGGCAGAAAGCGGATTTAAAAAAACACAAAGGCAAAACATGTGCTGCCAGAATGAGCAGGATGTGCTCAAGGTATTTATTCAAGTCACACCACCTCTTCTAGGAACTTCTTTTCTATGTGAAAAACCTCAAAGTTTCAAGTTTGCTCAGAAACACTGCCCAAACAGAAATGTGTATAAACAAGCGTCAGCTACACAGCACACCATGTTTCACTGGTTGTTGTCTGATGATCTGTTTCTACTTAATAATGTTTCTCACATTAAAAAGGCTGATTTGGTGCCGCTGACATGAGGGGGTTATCCCTTTGAGTGCTGTGATAGTCGATTGAAGAGTGGTTGTCTGGGAGGTGCAAGTTTTTGTGCAACTTTTTTTTGTCAGATAGATTGTGTGTAATTTCCAAAAGGAGAAAAAAAATCAAACACCATAGTTAAACTTGTTTTTCTTTTTTTTGTCAATTCAATCACAGATGTCGGTTATTAAAAACTCATTTATCTTTACCTGTTTACTTTTCTAGAATGCTGTTAATATGATCACAATAGTGTCCAGTGTAAGTTGACTCCTCACTTTTCATGATAAAATACAGACAGCAATGTTGATGTTAAACAAACTGTCAATGGAAACAATAGCAAGATGTCTGGTGATAATGTTCTCTTAGAGGGACCAGTGGGTTCTGATCTGGACAACCAGGTACATTAACCAGTGCGTTTACATGCACAGCTTAATCGGACTGAGCTCATAATTCGTTTATTTTTGCCAAATCGGACTTCTCTCGCGTATACATGCAGCTGAGAAAATTGAATTATTAACATGAACGTGTCCTCCTCCCCAAAACTAAGAGGCGATATGGGTCTTTTCAGCGGCGCGGTTTCTGATCCCATACAACTATCAACAACAACAGCAGGTCAGTGCCAGACATCAGAAGTGGCTACAACTGCTGCTGGGCATTTTCAAGCAGGAAGATGGAGCATCGTACAGCGTTGTTTTTGTTGTACATGATGTAAGCTCTACTTTTTCTGCAGATGAGGAGCACGCTACTCCTCTTCTCTGGTGTTTTTGTTTCGGGGTTACGGGGCGTGGCGTACGCGCACATGCATTGTCCGATCATACTCTGACTACGCTGGTTACATGGTAGAGAAAATTGAATTCCAATTGCATTATCTGGGTGTCTTAATCGGAGTTCGCCCACTCCAATCAGAGTTCTCAAACTCCGATTATTGTCGGACTAAGGTGTTTACATGCGCCTCAGTTGACTGGTCTTAATCGGAGTAAGGCAGTACTTCGGTTTTCTCGAGTGTCATGTAAACATGCTCAATGTTTTTTTTTCCTTTGTAACCCTTTACAGATCTTTGCACTGTACAACTGCTCATCTCAGGGATACAAGAGGAGGACAAAAACGTTGCAGATTCTATGTACACCCCAAAATGACTCAAACTAAACTAAGCTAAAATCAAAGTGGTTGTCAAAATTAACACTGTTAAAATGACAAAAGGCAAACAGTAGACAGATATGGGTTTGTGTAAAAATGACAACTCGACAAATACAGCATGAACACAAAGCAGCTGATGTTACGCTAAGCGCAGCAGTAGTCCAACACTCAAACTCACCTCTCCCTTCATCATTCTGACCCGGGCCAGCCACCAGCCACATGGCTCCTGTTCGTTGGCCCTGGAGTATACCTGAAGAAAGGCACATTGTGAATTACGGCTGAGTCAGAGAAAATAGAATTATTACACTCATTAACTCGGCCCAGACAGTTTGTTTTGGAGAGGAAGATGTGTTGACAGTAAATGTGGGCTTGGCTGCATCTCCAGCAAGCTATTGGTATTTATGATCTATACTGAGTCATAAATGGAATCCTGCCCATCCTTCATACGACGAAGCGCTGTTGTGAGATGGACATTATTCCACATATGTAGTTAAAAAATTATTCAATATTTCACAGACAGTTAAAAAATGTTAAGTACCTCATAACATTTTTGCCTGAGACAGCTTTGGCTGGTGTAACGTGATAGTAAGTGATTAAAAACAGCTGATACAGATAAAGAGTTAATCTGATGAAATGCAGAGTAGTGCTGAGCAGTGAATGAAATTTAAACAGCTATTCATGACAACTGTAACAAATTCAAACAATTTTCCTTAATAAACCCAGATAATTGGGATGAAAACGCTGGGCTACTGACTTTTTTCACGCATAAATTAAATGCTTACATGTTCACATGTGGTGGATGTTGAAAAATAATGGAGGAGCTTGTTTAAAGTCTCCTCAGTCATGTGAAAGTGCTTCATTTGTTGACTCATCAGGTACAAACCACAGTCTCTGTAAAGTTTGTTCAAAGTCTGTGGCAAATATCTTAACTCATCTACTCTATTCTCTCAGCAGCAGCAAGCAGGTGAGAGTGAAAGAAGCTGCTTAAAATACGGTCGCAACATTGACTAAAATTCTGAACATGTTGTGAAATTCGGTTTCGATTTCAAGCCCAAACTGTGCAGCTCATGTGTAATAAAAAAATAAGAGCATTACATGATATTTGGGTTAAAATGTTGAAAATAACTGAGTGGTCAGGGCAGAAGGCCTTACCTCCACCTCCTCTCCTTCACCAATATCCTTGTTGTAGTCGGCTGGAGGAGGCAACCGCACGTCACTGAAGGGCAACTGTCTCTCTGGCTGCCAGCTGTGGAAGGACGACACAGACACAAGCACTTGTTGGCTTATCAACAATCTCACAGGTTAAAAATGAATGTAATGGCAGGAGTGGAAAGAGTTGGAAAATATTCAACTCTTGTGAACCTACTGTAGTAAAATTACTTATTGTATCTATTAATATACCTCCAACGTCATTGTTGTGATGTTAGAGCCAGAATGTGTATTCTTCCTCTATGTGACCGTTGAGCTCACTTAACTGTCGGGTGATAGACCTCAGCAAATCAGCTGGCTTGGTTTTTCAAATGTTTGCCTCTGTTTTGCTTTTTTTTGCTTATGTTTTGTAAAATGTAGTGAAGTGAAAAACTTAAACAGAAAATAAATAAGTAATAGTACGGTCAGGGGTATCAAAAAGGACATTATCATCAAGATTGTGAGGGATTAGAATATGTCTACCACCTGCAAATACAGACAGATTGTGGTATTGGCACATTATATTGTCAGCATGTGTTTGTTTGCAAGCATAAGCCTGCAATGTATGACATCAGTTACAATGCTCAGCACATGAACCCCATGAATGGTCTCCTTCGTTGTTAAGCTGTGTTTGAAGATCCAACTTTATAGGAGTTATTTGCAGTGTACTGCACAGCTGGTAAACACAAAGACAGGGCTTTACTCTATCTTCACTCTCTTCACTTCCAGCGCTGGATGAGTGGCAGCCTTTTACAGCAGCTCTGCAAACTCTAAGGAGTTTTTCTTCTCTTTTTTTCTATTTCGTTTGCATCTTTTGTTCTCTATTTTGTTTTGTGAGTTTTTGGAATTTCCCCCTGTGGGGCAAATAAAAGGTATATCTTATCTTAGCTCATCTAAAAAAAATAGTTGTCGCATACTGAAATACTGAATAACACTTATTATTTGAAAAAATAATTCAAGTTTAAGTAGTTTAAAATATGGTTAAGATTATGTTTTATATGTTCTCTCCTGTCAGACATGAATCATGCAGAATAAACTGTGTGCTTAGAAACAAAGGGTTAAACTCCAATATAAATTCAGCCTGTGTGGATACTCTTCTGTATGGTTTCGTAGGTGTTTGAGTTCAGGCTTGATTTGTTGATCATTTCTTGATGATGATCAATGGATTTATTCTCTTCTCACTTTCCCTAACTTCTACCTTCATATGTTTTCATTAGATCATGGACTGATGGTGTGTTAAACCTTATGATAGAACTCATACAGTAATCCGAGGTGTGTATCATTGAGATCAATGGTTATGTAAGGAGACTGATGTACAAGCTTAAAAAGCTAGCTTTTCTTTAAGCGAGCGTAATCTTGAGTGTTCTATGACTGAACATCGTTAGTTAATGAATTTAGGAACAATGTCTGAGAGTTCCTGAAGTCTTCTTTATACCAGCATTCTTGTTTAATGTTAGCTGTACTTGACCACTGGGCTGCTCAAATTGCACACACAGAATAAATCTGATCAGTGAGATACTTTAGCCTGTATTGTGTGTACTCTTACTTTCTTGAAGACTTTATTATTAAACAGGGAAATCAGTTTGGTTGTACTGATCAGTAACTTGCAAAATAACCTCAAGAACAAAAGTGAAAAATTATGATAAAATTCAGATTCTTTTGACATTGTGATATGTACTTTTGGGCCTATTTCCCACCCTAAAACTTCTAAAAAAGACAAGTAGACAGAAAAGTTACTCAATTACAACATCATGAGTAAACGACTTTAGTTTCCATCCACCCCTGTACAACTGCACAGATGTAACAGTGCACAAAAAGTTCCTTTTCACTGATGCAGAGAAATGACGGGTAAATAGCCCAGGCACTGCTCACATTAACTGACATAATGAATATAAGAATTAAAATGGCTCATTAAGTTTAATGAGGAACTTCAGAAGAACTGTGTCTGGACAGTGGGTGACCGTGTTCATTGTAAGATGTCTCAGCACATAAAGCGCCATAAGGTTCAGTAAATGGTCTGCAAAGGTGAAACCCGAGATAATCACACTGAAAACCTAAATGAAAACCAGCCATGTTCAAACCTAAAGCATATTATAAATCTAACATGTCAAAGGAATTTTTCATGTTTGATGAATATCATTAGAATTTCACAAAATAAGATGGTCATTCATTTAACACTGTCAGCTGCTCTTAACACCTCCATGTGCTCAGAGAAAGTCAAAGAAGAGGGGGAGTAAGAATCGTCCCAAAATTGCACTCACACTCCACTCTCCCTCCCACCCTACATACCTTGTACCACTATTTTTAGGGGCACCCTGATCTACACTCTGAGCCAAGTAGATAAAAAGGGACCAGAGAGATGGGTGGGAGGGGGAGAGTTGGAAAAGGACAGTGGGTGGGACTAGGAGTATACGAAAGCAAGCTATCAGGATGGCAAGGGCAGGAGGGGTCAGAACAGGAGGTAAAAAACTGTCAGAGACATGAACGAACAGCTGCACGCCAAACACAGGTGCTAGGGAGGATGGTTTGGGTTGAACCTTCAGCAGTTGCTGTTCCTCTTAATTGCCCCAGTTCAAGCTTAATTCCCCCACATGCACCCTTACCATAAAGCCGACACAGAAGGGGAGCTAAACAGGAGAGCACACTTACTTGTTTTCAAAGACGATTGTAACAGAGTCTTCATGGACATCTTTGATGTAACCCTAAAAAGAAAAAGCAGAGAGAGAGAAGGATTTTTACACTCATGAATGCACAAGTAGCAGACAGTGATGAGGGGTGGGGCTGGGAGCGTTTGAGTCTGCATGTAAACAACACACACAGCCGGGCGAGACCAAATACTGTGACTGTTGCTGCTGGAAAAAAAGAGCATCTCGGGTTTTTTTGGAAGTCAAGACATCACACTGCTGACACAATTCTCTGGCTGTGAATTCAGTTCTGGATAGAGTGATGAGGAACACTGACTCCTCCTGACAGGACAGACAGCCTGGAAATCTCTCCCTCTCTCTCTCTCGCACACATACATACAGAATTAAACTACATTAGCTCTCAGTGTGTATGTTAAGTGGTTGACAGTATAGTTGTACGAGAAGGCTCATGTATGCGGATGGGATGGCAGTCCCTCACTCAGTCAAGCTTATACAGACATTATGTGTATGATGTGATATCCCAGTGACAGCCATTAAAAGAAAGGTCACCTCAACTTGTTACTCGTCCATCAAGACCATCCACAAATCTGTCACAGGGCCCTAAACTTTGACCAGCAACCCCTCCCCTGCTCTGAGCAACCACAAGACGAGAGGAAAGTGGTGGGTGTGGCTGGTCTCTCAGTGCAACACGTAACCGTATATGGGACAGAGAAGTCAGGCTTCATTTGCAAGCATGTGTGGGGGTAGATATGTGTGGTTTCACCTGCTGAGAAGGTGCTGTCTATGCATTGCATTAATTAGCTACAGTTCCAAGCCTGAGGAAGACACTACAGTATATTTACACCCTTTGAGATCGTATTTCTCAAACTGGAGTAGGTCAATGTTTAGTTGCAGAGTTAAAACAAATACCTTATTTGTCATCTTAATTAACAAAAATTACTAAAAATACCTTATCAAAATATCTAAATGCTGATTTTAAATCCTATAATGGATTTTTGCTCTTCTGTATTGTGGGGAGAGGGGTCTATAGCTGCCCTTATCTTTTAATCACATGGTTGCTTTTAAGTAATAATTGGTGCAGCTTTGTTAGATAACCACTGTTTTAACTGAAATTAAATCCACCATCATTAAAAGGCAACAACTTAACTATTTGATGAAATCTGCAACACACTGATGTATCAAGACTCTTAATAGTTCTGAAAACTTTAGGAAAAGAAGGAGATCGAACAGCCACTAGGTGCACTGGCCCACCACAAAAATACCCATTTCTGAGCTGGCTCATTTTAGTCAAATAAATTTCAGAGTAGGAACAAATCTCTAAAGATTTTAAGAAATACTGCCTGAAGCAACCAACTCTTGGCTGTAACTTAGATTTTCAATCAATACATTGATGCAAAATTTATGTCAAATTCTACAAGATCTGGCTTGCTTTAGAAGAAATTGTCAGCAATGACTACAGGTCCCCATCCTATAATTTCCAATGGTTACACTTGGTGGCAGCTGCATACCATGTTATGTCAGATTAGGAGTTGCTTCCACCTAGTACTACCAGGTCAAGAGGCAGGCAAGCCCTCTTTCTAGCACGGCATGACTAGTGGAAAAACGGGGGGCAGACTAGGGTCACAGGCAACAGCTGTGACGTAGCATCAGCCTTGAAGGCACATGAAGACCTGAGTGACAACCAAGGTGTCACGAGAATGGGTTGAATGAAGAAGTTGTAGGTCTGGCTTTGTCACAAAATCACTTGTGGTGTTCAGATAAATCCACTGGGTATGCACGAGACATTTTTGTACAAAAACTCAATCGTGAATCCCTGCAATTTTTTTTTTTTTTTTGAGTACTCCAGTTGTGTAGAGAATCAATCCAAATAGCAGGTTTGAGTGGTCCTGTAGGTTTTCATAAGCTTTTCTGGTTTGGGCTCACTGCTGAGGAAGAAGCAGACTTTAAAACCAATAAAATGTCATTCTCCTGCCATTGTGTTGGCCAGAAATTTACTGTCAGAATGCTGGTGCATTGCTCTGACAGGTACATAAATACAGTTCCTGTTCATGTTTTAAAAGCAAAAACTAAATGTTTCAGCTTGACACATAACATGATGAGGTTTTTAGTTTTTTTTTAAAAGAAGAAAAACCTTAAATCTATTACCCAGTATGTCAGTCACAAAAAGGGAAAAAATACTAATGCTTTATGCTTGAGGTGATCCCTCATCAAGAACAACTAATCTGCCGTGATATGATGTTAAGAATGACTCTGACACATTGAGTGTTCGTCTCATCCTCAAAATGAGAGCCATGAGATAATGGCCATGATAGACATGGGTGGAAAGCATTCATTGACGCCAGAGCTAAACTGTCACCCTGTAAAACAGAACAACAGGTGAAGCAGCATGAGGGGAGTAAATATAGGCTCATCTCTGAACCACCATGTGGCAGGGTTGACCAGCTGAAGAAAGAGCAGAGAAGGCGAGCATGTGGAGAAGTAAATGTGTTATCACTACAGTCAATGAAATTAACAACTTTATCAAACTTTTAGATCTTTCTACAGGAATCAGTTTTTCTCTTCAAGTTGGAATGATCTATACCAGCTTGATTTATTTCTATGAAAATCCCAAACCAAGACAGAAACTCCAGAATTACTTGGATTCAAATCTGTGGAACTGACTCATGAAGAGATTCATATTCAAACTGTATTTTCACCATAAGGAGTCAAGAGCATTAATTTTGTTAAAGTATTATTACATTTTAGGCATTATAGTATTTCTCTATGTACACATATGGAATCCCTTTCAAGTACTACTTATGTGACTTTTTTGAATTTGCTGTTGAGACATGCCTGTAGTCTCACCCTGGGATTACTCAAACGGTTTACTTTATAATCTGAAACTCCACTCTTGTTTAAGATTGACACTCAATATTATAATTTGATATTCATCTCTGAAATATATATAAAAACATCTCTTGGAGTTACAGAGTTGCTATCTCAACAGTGATGTAGCTGTGACACAGCATCAACAAAAACTCCAAGTCATGTGTCTGGATATGAAAGTACACTTTCTTTTGAAAATGGGGCAGAAATGAAACAGAAACCAAAACACTTCTTTCTTTCTAGTCTAAATAGTAGACCATTTTAGGTTGTGTTGGCAAAAACATGGGCCAGGAGATCCGGTAAATAAATCAGCTTTGATGTAGCATCTCATCATACTTGTGCGCAATAACTGCAAAACAGCTGTCTGTTGAGCAGCTCATCCCATCATCTTATCTAAGGATTTTGTCGGGAGAAACACAGATTTATGTCAACAATTGATATACTTGTGTCTCGTGGTGTGCCTTACGTCGATATTGATACTTGCTGAAAAAGTCAAAATACAGACTCCATATCTTGATGACAAGTGCACCTAGCTTATCAGCTAGCTGGAGCTAGCTGCCCACCCCACAATGGCCAGTCCTGATAGAAGACATAACCATGGTGCTTTTACAAACTGGACGTTAGCAAGCGTTAGGAAAGTAAGGGCCAACTAGGCCTGGGATAAGAGCAAAGAACCGTAACTGTATTTTATTCCTGAAACTAAACTTTTAGCCGGGACACCTACGAACTACGACAGTAAGTAACCTGGTTACCTTGTAGAAGGCCCCATTCGAACCGCGAACTTCCACGGCCAGTCCGTCCATCGCTGTCGGTAGCTCCCCACGGCTGAGCTTGTCTGTAGCCGTTACGACTCCGTGCGAGTCCGGTAACGTTACCACCCCCAGCTTCGCCGGCCCTTCGCCGCTATCCGGCCGCTTGTGGATTTCCAGTGTTTCGGGTGGAGGAAGAGGGGCAGAGGAGAAGGGGTTGGGGAGATGGGTGTGATGGTGTCAACTAAAGCAGCGCAGACGCTGTCTCCAGCTGTGGCTCGTTTGAAGCTCCGGACCCTGTTTTTCTGCCTGAACGGAGAATTTGAAGCTCGCGAGCTGTATGAAACCGCCACGAGCGATGGAAAGGTCTCAACGTGCGCGAGGAGGGAAGGGGAGCTAATAGTGCTGCCGCTGGAGGACGCTAACTGATGGATAATTAGCTGGGAGGCTAGCTATCAACACCTTCAATCCCGACAGTTTTCAGGGATGCTAGCTGGCTAGCATTTGATAGCCTGGTTGCGTTTGTTGGTTAAGCGTATGGCGCAGACGTTACGTTGAATAATTTCCCACAAGTCGCCACCGGGGATGGTTTCTTCAGTCTGTGGTGCAATTTTCACTGGTGTGTCTTTCCCAAAAGGCGTTCGAGGTGCGCTACCGCCCGGCGACTCCTTACTCCTGCTACCCGTCCCCACAAACACACGCCGATAGAGTGAATTGGAGAGGGACTGAATGACCTCGGACACTCCACCCCTTCATCATAAAGACCCGCCTGTTATAAAATCAAAGCCCATGATTGGTCGTAGACGCAGGCAATCAACTCCGACTTCTGTTAATTGGTTTAGCAAATAAGGGTTGGTCCAGGAGCGTGACCAATACAACTCTGAGACTCCAATCCTAACACAATCCATTGGTTTTATCCCGTGTCAATTACAGTTTTACTCGCACTGACTGGCTCCCATGTCTAATTTTGCCCACTCATTGATGAGTGAGGACCACCAGCCATTGTGTAAACAGCCCCATAGTGAAGTTACTACACGCGTTATGCACCAAGCAGAAGTTGTATCACTTACTAAATTCATGAGTATTTGAGAGAGGAAAAAATCCTACATAGGGTTGAGAATTTCCTTTGTGGCATTTGGCACATCTTATCTCTCATCGCAGCAATTGCAAGTGAAAAAGTCTAAATCTGTGCAGACTAACTCAGGTCAGAGTACAGCTATATAACACGAAGAATGCAGCATCAGGACGACCAGATATAGAAAAGGTCTGCTAGGAAACAGCTAAGAAGAACCCATAGGAGTCCAGACACCATGAGTGAAAGCCACACAGATTGCGGAACTGCATATTTTCTGCCCTGCACGTTCAATTAAATAAAACTATGTAAATTAAATAGAATAAAATGTTTTCTTTATTTTTAACAAACTGCTCTGAACAAATATTGCTGACGCCAGCAAGTGTCCACAGATGCAGGACTGATGGCAGAACACGTGAAAAGGCAAATTGGACAATCTTTTAAATGAGGAAGTACTCATAAAATTACTTATACTATTGATTGATATTGTGACCCCCCTCACAGATCCCCCCTTAGTCAAGTTGTGAATCAGCATCAGCAAAACACAGCAAAAGCAATAGTGGATAAAACTAAAGCTTAACTGGTATTAAATGAGTAAAACGAGTTGTTTGCAAGCAGTTTTAGCTCTCAGGTTACTGAACTATAAACTTCAACAGCAACAACTGACCCTGGAGCTTCAGTGCAGCACTTACTTGGGCCCATTGTGAATTTCTCGCTAGATTTCAAGTCATATTTGGCCAACAGAACAATGAGTGTGAGTCTTGGAGATTCAGTGTCCAGCTCTGCTCCACTGCTGTATGGGGTTCCACAAGGGTCGATTTTAGGGCCCCTGCTCTTTTCTTTGTATTTGCTGCCCTTGGGTTCCATTCTAAGAAAGCATGGCATTTCTTTTCATTGCTATGCTGACGACAGTTAGATATACGTGCCAATTAATCGGAAAAATGTTTTCTCCCTTGCACCACTTATGGCATGTCTTGAAAACATCAAAGCCTGGATGGCTTTGAACTTTTTAAACTTCAATGAGAGAAAAACAGAAGTGATGGTCTTTAGTCCCAGTGGTCCTTGTGAATCCCCTCCTGTAGACTTGGTTATTTTAGCTGACTATTTAAAGCCAACCATCTCAAATTTGGCTTTTAAGATGAACAGTGATTTTAAATTCGACAGGCAAATTAGCTCCGGAGAGAAATCTAGCTTTTACCATATTAGGCAGCTGGCGAAGGCAAAGCCATTCCTTGCACATAAGCACTTTGAAACAGTAAGGAGTCAGCCAGTCCTCCCTCTCACGTCTCCAGTTAGTACAAAACGCAGCCGCCCGGCTCTTAACTGGAGTACGTAAGAGGGAGCACATTACTCCCATCCTGGCCTCCCTCCACTGGTTACCTGTGCATTTTACAGTTCATTTTAAGATTCTTTTATTTGTTTTTAAATCTTTAAATGGTCTGGCTCCATCTTACCTCTCTGAGCTTCTCCACCCCTACACATCTGCTCTGTGCCTCAGGTCAGCTGATCAGCTGCTCCTGGAGGTACCAAGGTCCAAACTGAAGCTCAGAGGGGATAGATCTTTTTCTGTTGCAGCCCCAAAATTATGGAACAAGCTACCCCTCCAAATTAGACAAGCCCCCACAATGTCCATTTTCAAAACTCGTCTTAAAACCCATTTTTATCTATTGGCTTTCAACCCTGCATGAGACTCGGCTCCTAGTGTTTTATGGTTTGTTTTTAGTTATTTGTTTCTATGTTTTTAAATTAGTTTTTAAAAACATTGAAACTATATTTTACTTTTTAATATCTGCTTTTATTTTACCCACTGTTTTAATAGTTTTTTGATTGTTTTTTATGTCTGTGCTGTTTTGTCTATTTATGTACAGCACTTTGGTCAGCTGTGGTTATTTTAAAGTGCTTTACAAATAAAGTTGAGTTGAGTTGAGTTGAGATGCAATAATATGATAACCATGTGAGACTCTTGACTATTTTTGTACATTAAGACAAATGCAGGTTGTCATAACAGCCAAAGTCAACTGATAAACACTGTTAATAAAGACTAACACTAACAAGTGAAGACATTTGTTTCTTAACAGCAAGACGCAAAGCACTTTAATAACCCACATTTCCCAAACATGGGACTCTTTGTAAAATGCTACTTTAAAACGTATTTAGTGGTTTGCAAATCGTCTAAATCCCATATTTAATTGAAAACAGGGCAAAGACAACTTAAAGGCATGGGAAAAAAACACATCTCAAGAGTTGCTGCAGTACTGCAACAAAAACATTTAGAGGGAGAATCCCCAACTAATCAGGTTTATTTGGAACAGGTTAGGAATGTGACTGGTGTAAAGATTGGAAACTGTTCTCCACCTAGTAAGAAACTGCATATAGTTCAATCAAATCAAAAGTTGAATCAAAAGTTGCAAAGAATGCAAGAAATTTATTATATTAAGTATATTATATAATTAAAGGGTTTGGAGAATCTAGTGGGATATCTAAACAAACAGAACAACAAAAAAACTAGACAGCTTTGATCCCCAGTTACTAAGGTTGTGCTACTTCAGAATAGTCATGATCCTGTGGTCGACATCACGACATGAGCTTAAAATCACTTCCCAAAATTATTACCTGTGAACACAGATTGTTACTGCATCAATGCATGCAGGTTAAGGCTGCACCATGCAGGATATCACATGTTAAATGATCCATGACATGCGAATGAATTCTCTGGGCCTGTTTAGGATTTTTCAGTTTTTCAACGCTTGATCTGTCATCTTTGCTATATTTTTTATTGAATAAAATTTTAAATAATTTATTCACCAAACTCTTTTTGATTGTATATAAGGTTAACATAATTTTCTCTTTTTTTAATCAACATATTACAACATTTCTTGTTGCACTTCAGTATTGTATCAGTCCACATCTTAATTTTCCTTTGTTACAATGAAGAGTCCCTGTAAACAGATTTTTATTATATTCCCCTTTTTATTCCTTTGTCTACATGTCAGGCCTAGGGTGTGTCTTCTGCTGATGGTCAGACCTTACTGTATTCTTGCCACAATGATGGGACACTGATTGGAGATATTTCTGGAGCCTGATTAATCTGAAGACAACCTGCCACCAGCTCATCTGTGTAAATTAAACAGCTGGAAACCTTAAATGTGCTCGTCATGGCTACAGTGAATTGTACAGGGACCAAACATGGCAAGGATTCTCATGATTAACTCTTTGCAATGGCCTTATCTTATCTAAACAATGCGATTAGCAGAAGCACTGTGATGCATTTGCCTTTCACGAGACATGATTGACGAAACTAAGTGTTATTCAAAGAAACTGTTCTATATTTCATATTACTGACGACTAATAATGTGTCTCTGTTTGGTACCGTTACTATGACACTGTTGTTGTGTTGTAGGCGCTCATGCAGGTGACGTACAGACAGACTTAACATTGCGTAGTGACCTCATAGATTCGTTGGCCAATAGGAACACTTTCTTCAGACGCGCGGAACTTTACTCAGGAAGTGCACTGTTTGATTTCTGGTGCGTTGTATCTAAATGAAAGAAAGTCTGAAAACTTCAATTTGAGAAGTTGTTTGAGATTTTAAGGAATAGAAAAAGTTAATAATGTCGGCTGGTTCAGAGTCGACACATGTATCGTCGCTTGGGAAGGGTGACAGTTTGCATCAACAGGGTAAGAAAACCATCTCTCTGTTGCTCAGGGATCACGTCAGTCCAATAATAGGGGAATGTCACACTTAAAACATGTATGCAAGAATTAGATGTTGATTTAGACGTTTACATAAGCGAGTGGATTAAAAAAAGAGAGAATTTAGTTCTCGGGAGTTTTCTGCTGTTGTTGTCCTTGCAGTGATTCGGATTTGCTATTTCTAATAAATACGTCGATGTTTTTTTTCCACAGTTCTTGCCTCTTTTCCTCTGTCCGACATGACGGAGGAGGATTTGACCCAGAACCCTCAGTTCTGCAAGCTCCTGGCTACCCTGTCACAACATGTAGACCGAACTGGACTCACTGTCCCTCTGAAGACGGAGCTGGATAAGGTATCAGCTGTGACCCTTTTTCATGTCAGCTTCGCTTTTGCAACAAACATGCTGTCTTTTACCAATGTGCAGCTATACCTGATGCATTTCAAAGTGAATGTGAACGTGGATAGATGGTCCCGGTACTCGAGTTATCCCTCCATACTTACTCAACGAAGTATCGACCTCTACTGGTTAAAAGGAAGAACTGCAACAACAGAGACAGGATCCTGTTCCCACTCCACAGTTCTGACTCTGTTAGGGTAGTCTTACCCATTAAAAGCAACTGTTCTTTTTTTTTCTCCAGGCTGAGCAGAAACTGCAAAACCAGAGACATCACTGGCTGCAATCTGAGAGTCTTTACAAAGGACTTCAGGAGATGGTCCAGGATCATTGTATAAGAAAGCACCATACCACTGTTCCCCCTGACCAGAACATGGTACAGTTATTTTGCATATTCATTAATTTGAATAACTAAAAAATGCATTGATAGCTGTGAGTTACTCAGAGACAGACATATATTCTGGGGTGTTGTGTAAATTGTTGATAAAAACAGAATTTGATGGTTTAAAATCATTGAAAGCCTGTATTTAATTGAAAACAGTACAAGCACAACATATCAAATGTTGAAACTGAAAAAAAAAAAGTTTTCTTATATGCATATTTTGAGTATACATTCAGCAAGACCTTTGAAAATGGTTTGGACATGTATAGTGTTTATGGTAAGTTTAGTGTACTTAAGGTCTTTCTTGAAAAAGTAATGTCTGGATAGCAGCATGTGTGTCAAAACCAATTTATCAGTCAGGAGTAATGGTATTTTTCCAGATGTATAACCACACCATGCAATGGGCACTTATGCATCCCCCAACCTTCCCTGTTATACCCTCTATGATTTCCAAAAGAATGTTAATTCTCAAGATAGAATCAAGATTGACTCTAGGCCTTAGCCATCTTACACTGGCTGAGGCTGAGAGAAGCTGGCGGTGTTTCTGGATTGTGTATATTTATGGTTTCCTCTTAGCATGGTCAGCTTTAACCTGCATTTGTCAATGCACTGCCAAAGTGTGTGCACAGACAATGGTCTGGATCTGATTGTAAGTCCATGCAGTGATTTCCACTTCACAGTCATGTCTGTTTTTCATGCGGCAGCACCCTCAGATCATGGCCATGCCATGTCAGTTACTAGCCTCGTCTTTCTTGAGCGGTTTCCCCAAATTATGTTAATCTTTTAATGATATTGTGACCAAAGTTGATAAAAACCCTAATTTTTTTGCAATTTTGATCTTATAAATATTATTCTGGAATATATATATTTTTTTTCTCCGCCAGAGTCTCTCACACAGTGGTGAACCTCCTCCCAGCTTTACTTATGATAGATTCAGCGGCTCAGGAAAGACCCATTTATACCCACACATGTTACGAACCTGTAGCAAGTCAATGTAATCAGTTGTAACATATTCCTCAAGTAGTTTTTTTAGCATGACAGAACTGTCCCTGTGTTTTAAAACATTCTGCTGGCATCAAAATGAGTATTTGAATGAGTCATTATTTTTTGCAAATAATGACATTTTTCAGTTTCAAAATTTGATTTGTTGTCTTCGAACTATTACAGTTTAACATAGACGTTAAATGATTTTCAAACCTTCAAATTTTATTTTATTTACATTTTACACTGCATCCTAACTCTTACAGAATATGGGTTGTAAATCTGGGTGAAAAAAATCTGCACTGAGCAACTTTTTGAATGACTGGAAATGAAATAAATGTTTTGATATACAGTATATCACATTAACTGTTTTTGTGTGTCCCTTGTGTGTAGTTCTATGAGACAGTGGAGAAGTGCCTGCTGGTGTCTCAGTGTGTCAGACAGCTGGATCCCAGCACCACCACCAGCCAGGATCAGCCCTCTGTTCTGGGTCTGAGCCCCAAACAGGTGATGGAGCTCATGCCATCAGAGAAGGTGAGTCATAAAATTAACCCTCGTGCATATTACTTTTGCAGCAAAATATACCAAAATGCTGCTTTTATTAACCAACAATGCCATATTTATCGATGACAGAATGTACAGAGGATGAGACAGAGACTTCCAGTCGAACTGGAGAAACATCTGAAGAAAAAGTCTTTGAGCCTCCTCTCCTACTATCAACCTGAATGGGGTACAGAGTCGAAATGCTTATTTGACCCTCTTTGTATATCATGTAATTGTTCTTCATGATGACCTGGATTTTGTTTTGTACCACTCAGAGAGTGAGAGTGAGGGCCTGAAGACTATAAAGCTGTCTCATCTGTCAGCTCAGCTGGACAAAGAGAAGAAAAGAGCAGAGAATGTGAAGGAAACCTGCCGGGAAAACACAGTTCTTCTGCAGAGACAGACTCAACTCTACCTCTCTGTCAGCTTTTACAATATTTTTACAAGAAGCAATCATTGAAAACATAAACATAATCATTTATGTTACAATGTTTGATTAATGATGTTTTTCCTCCCCCCATGACCTGTGTCCAGGAGCTAATTAAGTGTATCCAGCTTCTCCAGACCCTCATCTTGGACCATAGGCTGAAGATCCAGACAGATTTAGACAAGAAGAAGTTGGACTACTTTGAGGGGAAATTTGAATTAGTCTTTCAAAAAATCAAGTAAGGACTTTTTAATACTTTTGCTTCTAGGTTTTTCTTATCAGAGCTGTATGCATTTTTGTAACCTATGTTTTCTTTCCTTCCTTTCAAGGACTGAGATGGTGGAAATTCAGCTTGACACATATACAGTGGACTCAATATCAGCCCATAGGAAAATAAGGCAAAAAGCTTTTTGTCCATTTGTGGCTTCTTATTCCCTTGTTATTGAAATAAAATAAATCTAATATCATTCTGTCTTTGTGTTTCATTTCAGAGAGAAGCTGGAGTCTGAGCTGAAAGCCCGTCAGGCGGAGAAGCAGTCTGTTGAGTCGAAACTTGCCTCCTTTAAGATCTTGGGCAAAGAGTTTGAAACTCTGGCTGAGGAGTACTGCAGATTACGGCAGGAGATAGAAATGAAAAACTGGGCTCTGAAGGAGTTCACCCAGTACAGTAACAAGTGAAGATCATATCTGAAGCTGGGATAACAACCAGCCAGTCCCTTTTCTGCATGCCATCCTCCTCGCTGATAATGGTATGCAGGCTTTGTAGACTTCTGACTCAAGAATTTTGCAGAAGTAAACACTCCCTTTGGAGCTCTAAACTTAGAAATGTTTTTTAAACCTTGGTTAATACAGTTCAACTAAAACTGTCCAGTTTCTCCAAAGCGTTGCTCATCCGAATCATTTTTTCCTCCATTTTCTACATTAAACTCATTTAAGTTAAAAGGTACCTTTGCTCAAAAATAGCTTCCTGGTTTGCAGAGGTGGCAACAAAAAGTTTAACTGACTTATGTCACCTGAAACATCAAACTGAAGGTGTATTTTTGTAGATTTGACTGAAGTTTAGATATGTTGTCACCACACTGTGACATACTTGTATATCAGGAAAATGGGCAATCCATTGTGAAGTGCTGGGAGTGGATTAGTGCATTGTGAAGATTTTGTCTCGTGAAAAATACAAGATTCAATAAAGGATTGACATCTCTTAAATTTTTCTCTTTGGTATTTCTCTACAAAATGTGTACTCTATTTTTGGAAACAGTACAGATACTGCTGATATGCCTTTATTCATAAAGAAAATGATTGTATCAATAACAAAAGACTATTGCAATCACAAGTCTACTTCTGTAATCCAAACCTTTCTCTTAAAGGATGGTATCATGCTTTTTAAATGTTTATAAATAATGTCAATCTTAAATCAGAATATTGGATGTCAATACTAAAATGTGAGGTTGATGTGTATTAGTGTAATCACAGGATGAGACTGCAATGAATGGCTTGTTCAAAAAGTCACTTGAGAGTTAAACCAGAGGCCCAAGAGATTTGCTGCAATCGTGACAGATCGGGGAACCTCAAAAGATTTGTAACACTGAACAGAAAAATCCTGTCCTATAGTTTGTTGACAAAATTCCAAATTTTCAGGATAGATTAGTTGATTAAAATATAAATCCATCTTTTATTTTATTTTTTATTTTATTTTACATTTTTAACCCAGAATTATGACTGTCTGATCGCAACCGTGGATAAGGTTTGTTTCACGACTGTGAAAGAGAAAAACAGTCCTAGCTAACATAGGAGCTGCTGCTGTGCAACATTTTGGTTCAGAAATATGGTCAGACTCGTTTCCTACAGTTTGCAGCACAATCCACAAGAGGGCAGCACATACTTATGGCAGTGTAGTCATACATTCACGTCATTGAAAGCAGGCTTAGTGGTTCTGATTTATTATTATTTTGCCTAAAGAATGACACTTAACCATTCTTGACCACATATACATACAAAGTCGTTAAAACTAAACATAGAAGTGAAATGATTACCATGTTTACACATTTCACAGGTTAGTGGAACTGATTCAGATCAATTAATCAGTTGAAGCTTTGGCACATTTAGAGGCTTTTTATTACTGTAGCCCTGAAGATCAACTGCACAAACCTTATTTTCCAAGAATAATAATAATAATAATAATAATAATAATAATAATAATAAAAAGAAAAAAACATTTATAAAAGAAAAATCAATTCTAAAGACCTAATAATACTTTGCTAAACTCGGCAATATTTCACAAAATGTAAAGGAAAAATTATTACCCTGTAACGGGTAATATGCTTTGTTTAGGTTTCCATTTTTATGCCACTGTTAATATGATAGTGTTTGCTGAGGCACATCATTTAAAACAAACAATCTCATTGATTCTTACACTTTTAACTTCTTGATCATAGATAACATATTATCAAAACAAACAAAGACTTCTTCTGAACTCCTCTTTTTATTTGTGTTTTTTGTGTTTTGGTTTTGTTTAGAACTCATACTGTCAGGTTAACGCCCACTCAGTCGTCATCTTAATATAAGCGAGCTTTGTTAGTCTGTTCATTGACCTGCAACGGAACTGAGTAAGAGTGAGACCTCTCGCGCTATCAACCCCTCTCTGCTCCCCTCTCATCAGCAGCAGCAGTAGCAGCCCCGCCTCGCGACGCTCACCGCTGGCTGGTTCTCCTCCGACACAACCCACATCTGGCTGTCATACACACACACACACACACACACACACACACCAGTGCTGCTGCTCCGTCCGGTACTGCGGCATGCTCACATTCACACCGGGACACACCAAGTGGATTTACAAACGAGGAGCACCATGTCTGAGGTGCGAAAATTCACAAAGAGGTTAAGTAAACCCGGGACGGCTGCGGAAGTGAGACAGAGCGTGTCTGAGGCTGTGAGGACTACTGTGGACCTTGTGGTGAGTCTACCTCAAAGCTGTCGGTCATTTTAGCTAACGGTGACAGGACCAATTCGCTCAAAGTCGCGTCCTCTAAGGTTTACGGGTCATTTTTTGCGAAGATTCAGATGTCCCGTTTGCCCAAAACCTCTCAATAAGGGCGTTTTCCTTAAGACGAACCCCCCATTATCTTAAAATGAATGATAAAGAGACAGTGAAAGAGAAACGCTGTTAAAAAGTGGCGCCACCGGCTTGGTTCGCGTCGTTTGCCGCGTTGACGACATGAGCGACAAATTTGCCGCTTGCAATAGACGATAAATGGGAGCGAATTAATTCGCGCGTCAGTTCGCTGTCATTTGGTCCATGCTGTAACAGGGATACTGCAAGTAACCGGTTAGCCTGCTAACCCCCACACCACGATTCTCCTTGGGGAATTGAGCTACCCCTGTCATGTTTCCCACAATCTCTCCCCTCTCTTTTTCTGTTTTATCTTCACATTTACAAAGTCGCCTATTTCTGTTTCCTCCCCCTTTCATTCACTGTGTTTACACTAACCTTAACGTTAACCCAAAGCTACTACAAAGCTTTACTTTGTCTCTAATGCACTTAAACAATTGTACAGCCAGTGTATTCAGTGTAATGTTTAAAGACAGAGTATATGAAGCGGCTACACGTTGGTTCGCTTTACGGAATTACGAGCAGTACTAGACAAGATGACATTGTCCTCAGGAACACATGGTTTTTCGGTGCTTTGCGGCTCCTTTTGTGTGCTGGCGGATGAGGAGCAGTGCCAGTTGGACAGCTGCAGCATGGCTTCCCCGTCTCTGCCTTGGAGCAGTCTGTGCGCCTCTTTATTCCTGCTGGAAACAGCCACATTGTGAATAAGAAGGTAGTTTAATGCAGGCTCTTGTAAATGATGTATATTTCTCATGAGCTGTATGCAAAGTAAAGTATTTCCAAATGGTTTTTGTTTCCTTGATTTGAATGGATGGTGGTTGAGAGTGGACTGCAATAATGCAATAATGAGGAGATTAGGGCGCATGCCTTGAGATGAATAGCGTTTGGGAACCTGCTGATGCAGCATTTGTGTGTGTGTATGTGTGTGTGTGTGTGTGTGTGTGTGTGTGTGTGTGTGAATTTATCAACATGTCACTGTCTGCTTTCAAACTTCCAGAGATGTCAGAGCAATTTAACGCCCTTCTGTTGATATCATTATGTGGCAATGGCAACCCCAAACACACCAGTCATACATCTGTGGCTGTGTGAAGACTGGTGTTGAATAAGTTTGTAGAAGACATAAGTTCTTGTCCCCCTGGGATTAGGCTCCAGTCTTATGGTGATCATCTTTCTCAGTGTGACGCAAACATATTTCAATCATGTGACCAGGTTTTCATTTCCACAACAGAGTTAGGATTGTGTTTGTGTCTGTAGCTACGTGTGAAAAGTATGTTTTTCTGTGGAAGTGTTGCAGGTTTTGGCTGCTCTTTTACAGGATTAAATGGTTGGCTTGGTGACTGAGAACAAGAACTGTTTTGTGGGGGTTTCATGACCCACGTTCCTCTCACACGGGGATTCCCTCCGGCATGCTGTGACCATGCTTCCTCTGTGACTGTGTTAGTGTGGGTTCATTCTTGACTTCTTCAGTTCCACAAAGTCACTCCCATTCATTTCCGCTGTCTTGCTTTCTGTGCCCTCTCTTTTTTCCAAACTGGGTTTCATGTTTCCAAGAAAGTCAGATCAAACTTAAAAGAGGAAACAGTTGAGTACAGAGCCTGAAAGTTGCTTTGTGGTGAAACCTCCAAACACTTACAGGATTTCTGTTTTGGGTTTGCCACATGCTAAGCAAGATTTTTGATTTGTTACTTACCACTAACACTAAACTTTGTCCAAACATCAGATAAAAAGTTATGATCTTTTTAGACAGGCTCAATATCAGCTGATTCTTCAGCCTATCAACAAATAGTTTGACATAGGCAGATACATCTCTGTTTCCCTGGATGGAAATACAGATCTGTGGTCGACCAATATCACTTTTGCAATGGCTGATATTGATGCAGACAATGAGAGAGCAGCTATGCCAATGCAGATAAACAGTGCTGATATCACATTGTCGCTGTTTTCTTCTGTTTACATTTAACAATACTTAACTATGAGGAAAAAAAATACAAAACGTCATTGAATAATATGTTAGTAAACCCAGAGGAGATAATATTTGACTCAGATATTACCATGAAGAACTTTTCTGTCCAGCTATCTGAAATGACTAAGAAAGAAAAAAATGCAAGTTAAATGTTGATAGATATGAAGAAGTTCATGATTGCATGCACATTAATAACTGGTAGATATATATGGTCATCTTAGCTCATTACATAATTTGGATGGATTTCGATGAACTGATGAAAAAGGAAAAACGTTAGTTATACTTGGACTTCACAGCTGATGTACATACGGCGAAAAATAAACTGCTTTGTTCTATACATAACAGAGTTTATAATGAATATCAGTCACTGACTGTTGTAGATGTGATTAGCTGCCATATATTAGTGGTTGACTGATTACAGTTTTTAATGGCCAATGCTGATATTGAGAGAGCAGCTTGGCTGATATATGATGCTTATATCACATTGTTGTTATTTTAAAAATATAATAATGCGAACAAATGAGAAACAATAAATTACTGCATTTATTGAATAAATATAGATGGAAAAATATTGGGCTCAGTAAAATATTACCACAAGGGACTTAAGGTATTTCTGCCTAGCTATCTGGAGTAAGTAAGAAAGAAAATAATATACAAGGTAATTATTATTATTATACACACATCATAGCCATCAGAATTGATATTAAACACTAGGCAGACTTGATATGTTGTCAAATGCATTGTCATTTGGAAAGCTAATGTTGAAATCAACCTTGTGATGGCCAATGCTGATATGACGCCAATTGCAACATAAAGCTCTATGAAGGTTCAAGTCTACAGTATACTGCTTCTGTCATGTTTGTTAATAAAGTTGACAAAATACAGGAAACACCTCTCAATACAAGAAAGTCACCACCATTTTTGTCTCTTAAGATGAATACTGATCATCAGTCAGATCGTATCAACAAAAAACAGAACTTAAGAAGCTTCCTGAATATAGAATCTGCAGTAGAGCTGATATATTGGACTATGTTAGATTGCTCAGGCAGTCATTGTGTTATGACTGGTGGGTGTATTTGTAATATGAATAAGTGTGAGTTGCTGCGGTGTACAGCAGTTTTTTTTCTGAAT